CATACCATGTTTCAGAAGTAATGGACATGTACAGTAGGTGATATCTTAAGTAGCATAAAAGGAGACGGAGTATATTCATTGAAGATGTTCCGGGCATGTTGCTCGGTTATGATGAGTTTGTTTCTGACAAATGCTGCATCTTACAAGCCATTTTGGGGTTCCCTTACATTTTGATTCGAGATGTCTTAGCCGGTTTTGTTTTTGCATTATCTGCTTCAGAGCACTTTTGCCAAAGTTTGTAGACCGAAAATACCACTTGGTGACAAGGTCATTTAATTTTTCCAGACATTGTTGGCAGAAGAATGATATGTTACCATGTGTTCTCATTACTTCTGGTACATGGTATGCCAGCACATGCATATATGGAGTGATATCCTTTGCCAAATAACGTCTGATACAGTTCTAACCATTTCTTGGCGGAGGACCCAAACCGATCAATATCAAATGGTTCCAGGTTTTTATTCATCTGGGCTACCAACTCCTTAAACGAGTTCCAAAGGGCTTGAATATTGGTCAGTTTAGGATGATCAGGGATGATTGCATTTAAATCTATATTGAAAAGTATTCTTCTGTGCTCAGGGCCGGTGAAGGATCTTGACTGGCCATCATTAATAATGTATTTCCAGTCAGTAATACCCAGTTTGATTATGAAATTTTGAAATCTCATAAGGTTGTCGCATTTGTCGAGATTGAGGCTTGGATTAAGACGTACACAGTTATCAAGATGTTGCAGATAGTATGTGAGTTGGCACACTAACTGATCCATAACCCGAAGAAAAAGATGAAGGGTGTCTGGGATAATTCTAGCAATAGGAACGGATGAAAAAATTGGTTCGGCATCACAATTGAACTTCGTTTTGCTCTTTTTTGGCAATTTGGCACACTCTGATATTTCCTCGATTGTCCGAGCTCCCTGAGAAGTGTCGGTCATAGACCATTTCTTGGTCACATCCGACCGTTCGAGTTTGCTACATTTACACCAAAGACAAGAGAATGTTGATGCAAAGCCTCCAATGCCTGTGACCTGATTCAGAAATTTTAGGTCCCCACCAACAAACTTAACAACTTCGATCAACTCACCATTAATTTCAACAGAATCCAAGGAATTAAATTCGTCAATCGGATCCTTGAGGGCTTTGCGTAACTTCTCTTGTCTCTGGACACTGAACAGCAATAGCTAACAGGTAATTTCCACGTTCTGACATACAGTTTTTGTCACCGATTACAGTGTAACTCATGTTTACCAAGTGTTTTTTAGTTCCAGCTCTGGTTCAATCCCCACTCACTTTGATCTTTACTTTCCCATCCTGAATAAAATGAGCGTTAGTATCATCACTCAACACGTAAATTAGATTAGTTTTCAGTGATTTGAATACACCGTGAAAATCACCCTCCAATGTTTTTATTTCAAACATGTCATTCAGCTCATTTCTTCGTTTGGCAATCCTACATGCTCTAGGAAGAGCACTGTAACGTTGGGCAATTTCATGGTACCCACTTTGCGTGACTTTGAATGTGTCCATGATGAATATTATCTCATCAATATCCTCTTCACATATTTGGTCTGCCGTTCTTATTATATAATCATTGTCATTCCGAACAACCTTCACTGTCTGCCCATCCTCCTCTAGGAATTCAACACTCAACAAATCTTGCCTACATTCAAGAAAATCTTTCATGTCAGTGATTTGTTTGTGTTTGTGTCTACGTCTTTGTCTCTCACTATACATGTAGCTCTGTTTTCCTTTTGTTCGCCCCCTTTCTCCCTTTTCACGTTTTTTGGGGTTTGAATATCTTTCCAATTTTCTTTCAACTTCCAATTTCTCTTCCGAGCACTTCACCAAGTCATTGCTAACAGTAACCAAACTTTCTTCAACCTTTCTCCTTTTAATCTTTTCACTTTCTAATTGATACTCTAACTTTCGCTTTGTTGGGCTGCCAGTTTTGTGGGGGACTTTCAGAGTGTATACATTTTTCTCAAATGTTCTCAGTAATTTTGATCGCCCGTTTGAGCCTTTCTGACTTCTCCAAGAATGCCACAGCCTGCCAAGCTGACTTCTTAATGCAGTCAAGGAGTTGGAGTCAACTCTTTCAGGGGAGATGTTCTGACGGGCTATTATTCGTTGAAACACTGTTTGCACATTTTCAGATGATAGTTGTCCGTTTACATCTTTGACCAAATTGAAGAGGAACATTTCCGTAACATCAATTTCAGCAATGTTCGGATAAACAGTCTCGTCTTCGGGACTGGCACAAAGTGGTCGAACAATACATATGAATGCCAAAGCGGCTACAATGAAAGTGTCGATGGCACCCATTGTTTCAAATAGGAAGAAAATGGATCAGCGTAGAAACCTAAGTTAAACATAACTGAACCAGAGAATGTGGAAATTACCTGTAGCTATTGTTTCTGTGAAACCTACATTACAAAATATGTGCACATGTACATGTTATTGTCCATGTTATTGTCCATGTACGCATGTACATACAGGCGTACTTGGAATACCAACAATTATGAGCTCATTGCAAGTTAGCTTACATAGATAAAAATAGCATACAATCATGCACAACAAGGAGGTGAACAAAAAAGCTAAACACACGATGTTAAATTTAGGCACTATAAAACTTCTGGAAATCAAATCGGTTTCCAATGCCACGGGAGAATCTGAGTTGGAACTGGAACCCTCTGTGGATCAGATGCAAGCTGCCATCTGGTGAATACTGTTCAAGTGGCTTCCTCTCCTTCAAGCAAAAAGATACAGTTCCTGGCTCTATGAAGGAATAATCGCCTTGAGGGTTAAAAATTCTCCAATTCCACCCGTCACCATGTAAGCAGTTTAAATCTGTAGGCGATTTAAGAAAAATGCGTGAATTGTTCCCTTTGATGCCAAATGAAGTTTGGTGTAGGAGCGGAACGATAGTATGCGCATGCGTACAAGTGCAAGTACGTACCCCCCGCGGCGCGCTCCGAGCGATCGAACCGAAAATGACCGCGATCATTCAGGGCGCGTGCTCGTTTCAAGTGTTAGGTTGGCTCAGTGCGGAAAGGGCATATTTTTCATCATTTTTGCCGAAAACAGACAGAATCCACCGATGTTTGTTGGGTGCACATAACGTGAGTATGTCATGAGGTATTGTACGGAGTTTAGGGGCAAACTGTGCGGCGGTTCTGTGGGAAAAGGCTTGGTTGGGATGGACGTTTTTGTACTTAATTAGTGTTTTGTGTTGACAACAATTTTGCGGGGTTCTGCCTCATAGTGGGGTGGAGCCTCATAGTTCTAGGAGTAGTCGTCATGAACGTACCAGAACACGCTGCACCCCTCTTGTAGAATAATGAGGTGATCCAACGCGAAGACTCCAACTTTTGCCCTAAAGTGCTGGATTTTTACACGAATGTAACATATGACAGTCATCAAGAGAGAAACTGGAATATATCTCCTCTTTGTAGAATCCCTTCACTTCTCAAAAAAAATCCGATTCAAGCAGTTTTTCGGTCCTGAATTGGTTGACTATGAAGGAAAATGACCAACCTCGTGTTTCACGAGGACAGAAGTATGCGTGGCATCGACTAGTTCCCAGTACAACAAACGTGTTCGTGCCCCGCATACCGGAAAGCCAGTGGAACCAGACTATACTACGATTTGCATATATTATTGAGGTCATCCTTCAGATGAAAGGAGCTCAACAATTTGATTGGAACAAGCCCATGCTTTTTCTGGACCAATCAAAACCATTCTTATATATCTGAAAAGAAAATTGTATATAGTTTATTTCGACATGCGATACAGCGGTGTACGATAAACGGTACACTTTTGCTGTTCGATTTAGTGAGCAGACCCCCGTGAAATCGTGTTGACCTCCATAGAGAATTTCAATTTTGAGCATTTTTACCGATTTTCTTATCAAAAAAGGCCGCCCCTATGTTCCAGGATCGATTGAAATAAGAAACTCCACTGAACAGAAAGGGGATGTTTTACATTTTCAAATGGTGTCCATTTTCAATGGTAAGGTACATAGTAACACTATTCAGTAACAGAGGGAAGTTTGAGGATAGTGCCCTTTTTAACCATGAATTCCCCGTGTTACACCGCGCGTAGCGGAAGTCAGACACGGAAATTATCAATATTTGTTCATATTTTAGTAACTGTTGTTCTGTTTCAAGTCAATCACTTTCTTCGTGAATGACTGGTGCACGGTATGAGGTATTGGTTTCATGTCATTTGGCTTGGAATAACAGGGGAAAACCTTTAAATATGAACACAGTTCAAACGCTCATTTCGACTGCGCGGTGATTTGTTTGGTTAATTTCAAGATTTCAAATGGGGGGTGGGGGGGGGGCACGGACATCCACCCCCTTCTGTTACGACCCTCTGAAATACCAGTTCTGATGTAAATTCATTGGCCGAATGAACGAGGCACATGATAAATTGGACAAGTAAACAAATATTCTATGTTAGGCCCCTTTACTGTCGCCCTCTAGTTCAAAGGTGTTCCGCTGCCAAAAGGGACCAACACAAAGAGTGGAAGAATTTACAAATCTTGTGTTGAACTAAGCGTTTAAATTCTGTATAAACTACATAACGACGCAAGGAAGACCATGAAGGGACAGTTCGCCGACAATTTCGATGGCTTAGCTAGAGAAGAACATGAGCTTGCCAAACTCGTGGAAAACCTTGAAAAACATCCTCAGCCTGTGGCATGGAAATCAGTGCAGAGAAGACCAAACTCATGACCAACAATATCAACGGCATCAGCACTGACATCACGGCCTGATGCTGAGTGACTTCCTGAGAATGTCTGAGGATCGAGAGGGACGAAGGAAGCTGGTTGCCAAGTCTTCAATTGAGGGTGCCACAAACTATGGGATACGGGTGCGGTAGGTAATAATTAAACCTCAAATGGCCCATTATTCAATCAGTTTTGTATGAACCGTGCTTTTGTAAGGATCGCACGCTTACACATTAAGTCATAAAAAAGAATAAAGATTTTTGGTCACTTACACTGTACTGAAGTCACGACAAGAAACGCGTGTAAAACTGTTTAATTTGACACGATGACAAACTCTGCTGGGTGTTTTCTCTGGGTGATGAGCTTTGGTACAAACTGCCTTAAAGACCACGATCGTCAGGCTTGTATTTTTTAAAGCCACTTAATTTCACCGTCATTACGTAACCCCTCGCGTAAGGCTTTAATAACATAATAGTAATAGTCGCCCTCTACTACGTATAAATTAACTCTTAATTATCAGAAACACTTGTTGATATATGTGAGAGGGTATAGAGCCAAACATTCCGCGGCTTTCCGCTAATCCCCTCTGATATGCGAGCTGTGATTATGGTTGGCCGTGGATGTGTTGCGTTTGCCCCGCGCAGTCGTTGACGGAAAGGCCATTGGGCAGTCATGGTGTAAGCCGGGCATTTTATGCACTACCCCTGACTACTCCAAACACGTATTAAGGAGTTAAGCCTGTTTACAAACTGATAGAAAGAATATGTTTAGTCAAGTGTTTAATTGCTAAACACACTTTTTGCAATGTAACTTACTTCACGCATGGAGATATATAATTTCGGTATATTATTTCGTGCGCTCGGGGCGCACGTCATAGTTTACATGGAGAGCATGAAATAATTTCGAAAGCACCATATGGTTTCGAGCGAACGAAATCTTTTATTTCGAGCCCATGCACGACATGATTTCGAGCAGACGAAATAATTTTACACAATGTAACAATGCTGAAACATACTGTATTTCCATACTTTACAGTCTACCTGCAGCAAGACATATAAATCATGGAGTGCCAGTATAAATTATAAGTGATATTTTCCATCCCAAATGATCTTCCACAGATAAGACTATATATGATTTAATTTATCCAAGAGCGCTTATACAATTAAGTGAACACAATCTATGTTGGTATAAGAGTTCAATTTACTTTATGGTGTGGACAAGTCATGAAACGACCGACGTCACGCATATATCAAACGTTCGGCCGGAGATGGGCTCCGTGGAGAACAGAAGAAAAAAAAACCGGGGGCTACGAAAATACTGGTCTGAGTATCACCCGTCATCCACGGAGCCAAGTCTCCTGTATAACGTCTGACAAAGCATGCAGACTGTTCTTATGCGATCTCGCGCCTCAGCCAATCGGAGTCGACTTTACTATATCGTGACATCATTTCATTTCCAATTCAGGACTAAACGTTTGACTGGTCAATTCAAAAGCTGATTGGTCAAAATTTAGAGGTCAAGGTGCGGTTGTCTTGTATAATTACCGTAATCAGCGAAGCTGCTCAAATATTATAGACCATTGGCTTTTCGTCGTTCTGAAGCATGGTGCCAACCATGAGCGTCACCCCCCAAAATAATAATATTTTCTTCTCCTTATAAAAAAGTGTGGCCGACATTTGATTTTATAGCTCAGACTAGCTAATTCAATGACTCCAAAATTAACTCGAAAATTGTGTTTAAAAATTATCATTTGCTAAAACAAAACTGGTTAAAGTGGTCACAAATTGTCTCAGATCGCATCACGGAGCATCTAGAATCCTAGAAGGATCGGGCCCCTTAAACGGGTCCCGAGCCCCGCACGCCATTTATGTTTGCACTCTAATCAAGATGCGAATGAAGATGATCAAGATGCCTGGCTGTCATCACGAAAGAAAAACATTCTGGAGAGCCCGCATTTGTTGAAAACTGGCTCGGAAATGTGCTTATGAAAGCGCTCTCAGAATCTCAGAAAGTTGACTGGATATTAACGATAGGCATCATCATCCAGTTTGTAACAGCATGGAGCTCCATGGTAACAGTTAACTAATAAGAATAAATTATGCTCCACGTGTGAACGCAGTTTCTGCTCTGCACTCTTTTATTACAATCTGTAATCTCCATATAGGCTGAAGTACATGTGATCTGGTACACGGTACCCTCTGGAGACATGACGCACAAAAGAGAACAAAATATTGTATACGGGCTCCACAGAGCAATTTCTATAGATGAATACGTATCCACAAGGTTATCACGAAATAGATATATGGATTTTATTCAAAAACTAGGAATTTCCAAGGTGTATTGATCAGTCGCAAATTGAAGTATTTTATGTTAGGGATTTTAAGCCCGAATTTCAGCCCAGGAAATTCATTGTGGTTAACATAGGTGCTTTTTGAAACAACACTTTCAAACTCGACAATTTTTGTACACAGTATATGACTCCACATGGATACGAATTCCTGTAGATGGGCATTTACATGTTTAATCCCCACACAGACGTTTCGTATGTGCATATGGTGATAATGGTGGTTCCCTTGCCAGGAGATATGGTAGCTTGTTGCACAACAATGCAACCCAAAATCACATTCATTGCATGAACAGGGTATCAGATTAAAGCTGAGAGCTTATTCTTTCAAATACTGAAAAAAAAAATCACGAAAATAGCACTTTGGGTTGCTGAGAAAATGCAAATTATATCATCCTGTTCAACAAATACTTCAAACACTAAAACATTTACTGTAAGCCTACTTAAATTTGCAATTACCCCTCATTTATGGAATGTCTATAATATTTTGACGGGTGCATACCTATGTTCCCCATATATGTTCCCAAATACTGATGTTCCCCAACCCTAACCCTAACTTAACCCTAATCTAATCCTAGGATTTTGGGGAACATCGGTATTGGGGAACATAGGTACATAGGTATTGGAGAACATCGGGTAGACCCCTATTTTGACATATTTATGATGCTGGAAATGTTTAAATAGAACTAAAAAGGATGAAATACCTGCTTAGGTAAAAAAATAAAAGGTATTTCCATCAAATTAATTTGTTCTCTTGTCATATTATGTACCGTGTTGTTTGTAAGGAATAAGACATGCACAAGTAGTACAGTGAAAATCCCTTACTGTAGTAATATTGTGTACAGGACAAAAAAATGACTACTTTACATAATCGGCATTATCTCAGCAACCCAACAGTGCTATTTTCAAGATTGTTTCAGTTTTTAAAAGAAAACGTTGTAAGATTTAATCAGATACCCAAAACATAAAAATCCACAAATCTCATTTTTTTTCTTAAAGGCAAATGTTTTAGTGTTGGTTGGTGTTTATTTTTTTGGGGGGTGGGGGGGGGGGGGTCACCCTGTACAATTCACACATACCAAATTTGTAGGCCCTATAAAGTTGTCTTAAATTTGCTTCAGATACCCCCAAATCACTATTTATCTTCCTGATTATTAAACAACAAGTGACAATTAAGAATAATAAAATATGGATATTTTATGATTCTTACCGATGGATTGTATCACACGATCATTCAAGATGAAGCAAGGTTTTACTTTTTCACGTATAATTGACACATCATGGCTAAATAGAACGCATAGAGGTTGTGCGAGAGGGCGCCATACTGAACCCACGGTCTATTATTGTACTACGCTATACTCAGTCTAGTCTACTTTCATCTTAATATCAACAGCATGGCAGGGTATAGGGCAGACTCATTAGGCCAAAACGGGATGAGTTTTGACATGCAAAACAAGACGTAGTATCACCCGTTATCCACAAACAAAATTTAAAAGTGAGGCTTGGAACGCATTCCAATCATAAAACACGATCGAAAATTGCTTCCTCGTGATGTACAGACAGCTAGCCGACAGCTAAAACGCTGACCCTTATCAAACTGCATGTGGGTGGCCAATTTGATATCCACGCCCCTTCCCCCGCTCGCAAATCTTTTTCCCCAAACGGCATCCGTTTCCCATCTTCTGATTGGTCCATTATATACTTATCTAATGCATTGTTCTCCACTACATAAACCCAAGAGAAGTGTTCCTTCCTCACTTTATTTTTTTTTTAAAGTAAACCAGTTCACGAACTTGATCAGCTACCAATTGTCGGTGATTTAAACACCATTATTCCTTGTTATATAACTTGTTCTCTAAAGCCCTGGACATCATGAATATGCACAATGCAGTAAGAGCGCCCTCTTTGATATTGCTCAATCTCGTTTTGAAAAAAAAAAATTCGCCACACGCTCTAGACAAGGACTGCCAATTGTATCCTCAAACGCAAACCCAACTCCAGCCTGAAACGGATTATTCGCCAATTGATTTACCCTCAAACAATTCGGTCAAGGATGAGAGAGATTGTGTGCTAAAAATACGTCAATAGCTTTCCCGAGTAACGTAGATGGTATGTGTGGGTCTGCTTATTTTTGTTGCACAGTGTGCGCAGGCGGTGTTTTGACCCGTTGGGTTAGTCATGCAACTCGTACAAGAAAAGCAAAGAAAAGTGACAAAGGAAAGTCCGTCATGCATGCAAAATAAAGGGCGTATGGCAGGGAACACCACACAATGCCGGTCCGCCACCTTGAATGCTTTTGTGATCAACTGGTACGGGCGACATCCAATACGTTTACGTACACACACAGTGCTACAGTTCGGATAGAATCCACTTTGTTCCGAAATTTTCACCTATCACGCGAAACTAGAGGCCTATCTACCACTCAAATGTTCACCTGTTCCGTGTTTTTTCTTCACGATCAACATGTGAGTCTGACAAACGGCCACATAATGGGAAGTAAGCACTCAGCAGGTTCTACAAGCTGGATTGTATATCTCGTAATTGTTTTATTTTGCTCAACTTCAACAGGTAAGTTTTTGACAGCCATAAAAATGCCAGTCATATGTGATGATGTCTAAGTTCGGTCTCCGTCAACATCACCAACTCACTAATTGAGTTACGATTTAATTGTGTCATATTAGTATTAAAAGTCTCTTCAAAAGTTTAGGTAATCACGTTGTGACAGCCTTATATATTTCTCAACCAAATCCCCATTGGATGTTTTTACCGGTAACTTGACACCACATCGGTGGTTGCGCACAAAAGTCCATGCTTGAGGAGTCGTGGTATTTTCCATGTGTTCTCTAAAATTGGAAAGCTAGGTGAATCAGTCCTACGTTCATATACACGTAGTTCAACATGGTTTTTAGTGACTGATGACCCTCACTTGGGTCCTGATCCTGTTGATGGGTTCATCAGGAAAAAATGTTGTAACCTGACTCAACTTTTTTTCTTCATATATCATCTCAATGAAAGTCATTCATTGCAAAAATGATGATAAGACATGAGTCCCGAGTCCGGGACTGGGACACATTTCCAATTTTGTAAGGAAATACTTAGCAATCTTTTTGACTCTCCATATAGACTTTGTTCACAATCGCGGCATTTTTGTCATCAGGTTTCAACACCATTTTCCTTTACCAAAAAAGTCGGACGCTAAACGACGTATACACATGTACATGCATAACAAGGTTAAATAATTAATGTAAATCATTGTAAATGAGAAAAATAACGACCAATTTAGGCCTACGCACACACATAAGCAGCCCTGTGAGAAATATCAATGAACTAATACTCAGCTACAAAGTAATCAGTTATTAAACTGGTTTTTGATTTAGGTCTGAGCAAGGAAAGGCTGCATGCCATATTTTAAGTTCTTGTCTAAAGAATTTCACAGCTTAATAGGACCTTCATGCTTGACCGGTCTTGAGGACAGTCTTAGTTCTATTTGATGTCTTTGATGTGGGCGGCGAGTATGCATAGGATTCTGTCGGACTTATAGCAGCCATCAGCTGATGAAATCAATGTATTAAGATAGTGTTCAAGATAACTCAAAATGAACTAGATGAACTTTTGTAAATCCACAGACTCTTTTAATGCCTTATAGTTATTCGTTGAGTGTACATTTTTCATATTCATGGAACATTTGCGGATTGCTCAGTTGTGGTATCATGTTTCATTGGGTCCCAATGCCTGACTTGGGTAAATAGGCCTATATGTTTCCCTCTAAAACCAGCTTAGAAATAAGATGGAATCGGCTTATGAACTTAAAAAGAAAATATTGGAAATAGGTCCTACCCCAAGCTTGTTGATACGGTTATTTGCTCCATGACCAATTGTAATGAGCAATCCCAACTGATATAGCACACCTATAGCACTTAAAACAAACAAAAACTGTATAGCAACAGTATAATAAGTATGGACTGAAGTCACCAGAGATAGGTTTTAACAATCCGACTGCAGTCCATTGTTTTGCTTGAGTTGCAAACATATTCCAAAGTTTATTTGGTACATTTCTAGTTGTTTATTTGTAAATTTGTGTTTACATTTATACCAAAACACTCTTTCCCCCTTTTTTGGCACAATAATTTTTATCAGAAACCTACCTTGCATTGAATGTATGTGATTCATATGTTGGTGTTTCAGAAGAGAGAAAATATGATGCCAACATCTACACTTTAGAAAAAGAATGCTTCTTTTGGTCAATTTTGCTTTCCCTAATTCTTTCCTTGTTTACTTCTTTATTTTCATGTTGTCTTCACATCGGGATCAACAAACAGAAGCACAGTAAGTCAAACCCCACCTCCTCTCAAATTTCCTCAACTATCCGTGATAAACAAAAAGAGCTATTTTCACTAGCAGAAAAAAATAATATTAATATACATGTACTGTTATGTTAAAGGAGTCATGTTTAACCGTGGGGTAGGCCTACTACTTTACTGCAGAAGTTACACAATATCCGATTTTGTTTTATTGAACTAGCTTATACAAACAAGGCTGTCTGCTTTACATAATTTCAAGGGCCATGAGGTGAATATTTCTTAAAAAAACATTTTGTGCAACTTTCTACTCCTCGTAAAAGCAAAACCATTTGACATTCATTTTTAGTTAATGTTATTAAAAAGTGCGCTTCTTTAAACGTGTAAAATTGTCCAAGCTTTTCTTGATAACTGAGGGTGTTGTTGCTATGATGTCAGTTCAGGAACACTGTTCAATGTAGGGGTTTTCTGTTGAAATTGTGAACGCAACATTTGCTCATTGAAAACATTTGTGCGAAAAGTTTGCTCATTGTATTACCTGCCATCTACTGACATAACAACGAATCACCACAGAAAAGAAAATTTACGACACTAAATATCCACAATTCTGGCAACTTTTGGCACTGAAATGTCTGTAACATTAATGTTTTCTGCCGGGAATGAAACATTCGCTCATGATTATGGAAATTGACATTAACATAAAAAGGCACCAAAATACCCTTGAAAATGGCAAAACGAAAATTGAAAAAAAAATGGTTCAGTGGGACACAAAGGTGCATTTTCAAGGATATCACATTGCATGGGCCCTTTACGCAACATCAGGTCATACATGTATATGTACGGTTTAAATTTTACAAGTAATGGAAATACAGAGTTATGCTAACATGGTAAACTTGTAATTTGGGGTTACAATTGGAACTAGATTAATTATACAATAATATATTGACCAGAAATTCATGTATAGAGAGCTTCCATTATTGTAATGTTGACTATAATATGTAACAAGAGTTTTCTTTATTTTCAGAACGGCGGTGGGATTCGAGTTTAGAGAGGACTATTCTAGGATCGCTCACGATGTGGACAATTTTACAAGGTAAATTCTGAAATCATGCAATATATTTTTTGATAATTCGAATAATTCTGATCGTTTTAATAGATCAGATTGAAGTCGGGTCTATTTTTGTTTGTAAATTGACAGATATTACATCCTGTTTACAAGCAATGTGGTTTGAAAGAAGAGTATTGTTACCCCTTTGGATAGAACAAAAACCGCCATTCAGTCCCGAAAAGAAACATTCCCGGACTAGAATTCTGAAGAAAAACGATTTCCTGATGTCTTTTGTAAAATTCTAAAAAACGTTAATTTGAATCGATTAATCACATTTCGCACTTATTGATTTGATTGTCAATATAATACCTCCACACTAACACTTTCATCAATAATCTGACAATTAGAACAGCATTACTTAAAAGCGACATGAAATTATGAATACAGTATTTATAAAACACTGTACTTTCCGGGTTTTTTTTCACGAAATCACTGCCTTTTACAAAATAAAGTTTTACCGAGAGAGCAGATTCTCTTCTTGTCATCAAAATTTACATCAGACATTTTCTCCAAACTCTATTGCAATTGAAAAGTTTCATAGGGTGATTTTACACATGTTAAACAAGAGAGAAAAGGGAGGGGGGAGGGTAAAAAAAAGTCACAAAAAAGTCTGTTGTTAGGCCCACAAAAAAAAGTCTCCGGTTTCTGGTATGCGCGCGCGTCGCCGTAACCATGCGCGTCGGCAAAATGAAAAAGTTTTTTGTTCAATAAAAGATGATGTCTCAAAACCGCCAAACTCACTTGTTTGACTGGAATCCTGCTGCTGCACAATTTCAACGTGTTTTTAGATGGGGTTATGATCGAGAATAAGCTTTATGTGGCCACTCTGGTCTCCCATGATATTGGCACTAAGTTTAGTCGGGCACCATTTGCAGTCATCAGCCTACATTGGAACAAAAAAAAACAGGTAAAAAAAAAAAGCCATGTCGCCGCACCACTTTTCGGGCAAGCTCCATACCAGAAACCGGAGACTTTTGTGGGGCCTTATATAGGGTAATCTTGAAAGGAACTTTCCATGTCATGTTGCAACCCCTTTATAACTAAATGGAGGTGTTAGTGCAAATGTACATTGCGCAACCTTTAAGGCAAAATGTTTTTTTTTAGATTTCAACTTCCGTCTGTGGTTGGCAATGTAAAAGAAAGGCTTTCATTTTGAGGACCAGCATCTATAGGCTTGACGGTGACCTTTGAAAAGTAGGCACCCTGTAGGGCATATAATGGCCTTGACGGGAGCGAAATCCCGCAATGAATAGGCCAACGATAGTTTTTACTTGCATAGACACTCCTTCCTTTATGAATGTGTTCTTTCAAAACATATTTCACAATGAAAGCATAAATTGGAAATTTCAAAACCTTCAGCCTTGGGAAAAAACTCCCCAGACTTTAAGCTAATATGTGTAGTGAAATGTAATGCATGTACATGTACATTTTATACGGGCAATGCATGTCAACTCTCAGTACGTTGTAAGTCGACTCGGTGCTGTTATTCTAAGCCAAAGTAGTGGGGTGTATTTTTTTTGTACAGAGATGATCGCTGAAATTAAGTGACTTAACAACATAAAAGAGACCAACTAAAGAAAGGCCTGTTTGCTTTGTAAAAAGTTTGTTTTTAGCGGTTACTCACATTACATAACAGGACATGGCAAATATCTAAATATCTTGCATTTGAAAGTTTCTTCACACTGTGCACTGTTGGGGGAAAAGTCACATTATAGTGCCCTTACGTCATTAGGGTGTAGATCATAATTGTGCTACCATAAACAATCATGATATCTCTAGAGGCATATACATGCATATCGGGAACTCAGTTTGTGCGCCCATCTTTGGTATGAAACATTCTATAGAAACTTATGATTTAACAAACAACTTTTTTAGAATGACAAATTAAGAGATGTGGGCACATATGTTTCAAATATACGAAAGTAAGGTAGCACTTTCAATGACTATAACTGGAATGAATATTTACATAAGCTTTCGTAGCAACAACTACCTCTTCGGATACAATGAAAAATGAATCTTTCCCACTGCCTTTGAATCACAAACGCATTTGCCTGAAAAAAAACAAGGTGCTTAAATCCATAATTTGTAGCCAAAAATACAGGGTTTTTTTTAACAAAACCACACTAAACCGTATTCTATCTCAATGCCTATACACTCAAATGAAAAGTCTTGTTTTGCCCCTTTTATTTGATACCTCGTTTGAGGTTGTTATTTGCTTGTAGTTTTGAAGATCCAATTAACTTTCAACTTTTCAGTCGTGTCCACTTTCTCATGGAATTGCCCAAGCTGTCTGTGTTGGTAATATTAACAATGTTACATACATTATATTATTCGTCTTGTGATTGATTGGAATGAAGTGCACCATTTTAAAATCAAAACAAGAGTCATGAGTCTGGAAATGCAAATTGTATTAAGTAGCAGGTCTTGGTAATGTTCATTTAATCCTTGTCATTTTGCAGTTTACTTCAAACCGATATTAGAAAAGTCTTCACATTCACCAACACTACTGAAGTATCATCCACAGAGGTTAGTGTTATTTCACGTTAAGCTTTAAAGGGTGCCACGTTTCAACTGACATTTTGACCCAAAATAGAAAAATTGATTGACAGGAGATTCAATAACAATTTTCAGAATAACTTAAAAATATTGACATTCCTCATTAATTCATATTAGGTTTATATATCCTCATTATGTTTCCCCACTTTAGCAAGTTATGTTCCCCACTTTAGCAAGTTATATATCCTCATTAATTGTTTGCCAAAATCAGACATTACAAATGTATTTACTCCGTCCAGAAATGCCAAAAATACGGTTTCACGCGTAAAGAGGACGCAAACTTAGTTTCCTGCTATTTGTTTTGTGATAATTCATGGTCAATGTGGTGTGGTTATTTTAAGATGTGTTTTTGTCTTACCCAGGATAACACATCAATGTTTGTGTGAAAATAACTTACTTACGGTTGAGTTTTTTTTTTACATGCCTTTATTTGAACATACATCATTTCAAAACCCTTTTGAAAAATAAAACCAATACATACCAGGGATACAGTTAAGATTCCAACCTTTAAAATGCTATAAAAAATAATGGCGGGACGTGTTTCCGCGGCGACGCTAGAGCCTCGCAGAGAAAAAAAAATGTTGCGGGTATTTTGGGACGCGCTGTAAATTCAAATAGATTTAGTGAAATGTGTTTCCATGCATTGAATGAAAGATACAACTAGCGGGAGTTCACAGTATTTCTCTGTGTATTATTTAATTTTGCAAAGTATAGATCTCTTACATGTCAGTAAATTATGTTTCTAACTGATTTCTTGCATGCATTATCCCACAGGTAACTAGCAGTCCTCACGGGAAAATTAGAGTAAACTTTACGCTCACCATCGACACAACAATCGACTCAAAGATACGAGCCAGGAGTCATCTTGAAGACAGTGTGAGTACCTCATGGGTTTGCGGACTAAGCAGGAGATACGAGAGCAGTCAGAGAAATGAATGTTGTTCCTAAACTTTTCAACCATCATGCTGGCCGGCCGGAGGCGACATTTTTCTTCCCAAACGAAATCGGACAATATAAAAAGGGGGGCGCTCTCACTGCGTTATGTATATTCATGGTGTCCAGGACTTTAGAGAACAAGTTATATACATGTAACACGGAATAATGGTGTTTAAATCACCGACGATTGGCAGCTGATTCGTGGACTGGTTGGAAGTAGTTCTGACTTCTAATCAGGTGATCCGAGTTCGAATCTCAGTGAGCATTTTTCATTTCTTCTCATTTTACCTTTCAAATAACTAAAGTGAGAAAGGAACATTTCTCGCAAGACGTAAAGCCTATCCTTGGTTTGCGTTGTGGAGAACCATGGAACAAGGCACTAGATATATGCATGTAATGGACCAATCAGAAGATAGAATACAGATGTTGTTTGGGAAAAGAAGATTCGCTGGCCGGAGAGTATACTCTGACAAGTCACTGAAACGCAGAAAAAATATATAATATTTGATATTCGCGTGTACATTCATCTTTTGTAATTTGGGTGTTTTTAATAACAAAATACATTTACCAGCAAACTTACAGAAGTTCATCTCTCTCTTTCCGGAAGTAACCATTAGAAAGCAAGCCGTAAACAATGTCATTTGAAGGCTAAAAATGACGTCCGAATCCTGTTGGAGTCCAATTGCAGTTGCACAAGAAAGAGGGGTTGAAAAATAATTATTTGGGCAAGTTCTTTTCACGTTGTTTTAAACCAACATTTCTACCTTGTTTTAGAGAGGGGGGGGGGGTGGTTAGGTTGTCAAACTGGAACATTATGCTATCAGTTATATTTGTTAATGTGCATGTACATGTCATTGTTATTACAGCTGCGGATGGAGCAGTACGAGTTTGTCTTTGAGGGTGACGACTACTTAGTGAATGGTTCAACGGTATGGATTATGAACAGCTTCCCTGACATTTGGCACCAGTATGCTCCTGAAATCGCAATCGCAGTCATTTGCGGACTGGCGGCACTGGCGATATTCGTCGCGTCTGTTCAGCTTATTGTGAGTGAATTGCTTGTCGTCTTTCGTGTTCCTGCTTTCGTGTTCCTGCACAGGGTGTCTCAAAAAACTGTAGCAGCAAATCCATAAATAATTAAAAATAACACTCTTTTTGCAAACTTATCTATAGAGCCTGAAGGTGTAGTAAATGTTCCACACAATGGTCTTTATCCCATCTTAATTTGGACACCCCAGTCCAGAGGTACAGCTAATTAAATGAAATGACTTAATTCCAAGTTGGGCCACTTGGTATCTAGTGAATTGCATTCACATACCAGGAAGGCGAAGAGGCCCACACAGATGTTAGCAGTCGCCACACTCTAAAGAAACACTATATCGTCTCATGATAAATTGTAAAAAAAACCCAAAAAAAACAACCACGATTTAAGATTTCTGAGAGAAAAAAAAATTGTTTGACTGCTACATTTTTGGGACACCCTGTATAATAATGAGCTTGACTCAAAAACTAAATTGCGTTCAACAGAATCATGCTAAACTATCTGGGGATGGGCCGAAGAGGGTAAAAAAAAACACTAGAATGCCGATTTCCATTTACTACACGCTGTATGAAAAGTCAGCTTATCTTTGTGTCGTCTTTGATTCTTTATAAGATAGAATTTGCGTCGGGGTGATGTAGGCCTAAATCTATATTAGGGTTTGCTCTTCACCGACGTATAAACACTTGTATGCTAAGATGTAAATTTGTCTTTGCTTCTTGTATCAGTGTATGAACCGAAAACGTCCAAGGCGGGCATCGTATGTCCCACGGCCCTCCCTGCCCGTGTCCTACAGTGGCAACTCCCTGGGACGAACCAATGGAGGCTTCATGATGGAGGAATTAAACGGCGGTAATAGGGTGAGTATACTATTGATTTCAGTTTACCTCCAAAGAAGACAGACAGTGGAGGGTCCAGATATAGGTAATATAGATCATGGCCATTTGTTTACGAAATTGCATGTTGAGGTCGAATGATGCCATCTTTCAGTAAACGGTTCTCTTTTACACTGCATATAATATCTCTTCATCTCCATAGGTATGTTCTCACGAGCAGATGTAGATTTTTTAAAAAGACATTTCCCAGCAACTGCTACATGTGTAACTACAACAATGAACTTGCAACTCTAGCTGGAGGACCCCCCCCCCCCAAAAAAAGGGGGGGATATATCCGTGTAAAAGAGAACTCAGTTTTATGGGCACATGTTTAACATTACAACCCTTTCCTATTTTTATCATCACTTCAGGTGCACACGCCCAAGTCTAGCATCGGCTCAACGAGGTTCTTCTATGACCGGGACACGTTATACGACAAGCTCATATACGGTGCCTATGAAGTCCCACCTAAACACATGTATGATTTCCTGTAAAACCGCCAAAGTCTATATGCAACTCAAATTTGAAATCCATGGTGGTCCTTCGGGTATTTCCATTTTTGACGAAAACGTCTTTGTTACGTTTTACTGCTTACTTAATTTTAATCAAATTGAGCATTATGCAAAAAAAACCAAATATATATTTTATCTCAAGTGAGCAAATACGCAGTGGTAGGAAAAAGACATTTATTTTAGGTTGTGGTTATGAACTAACATTATAAAAAAAAAATTAAAAAAAAGCTTTACTTATGTTTTTTCATCGTTTCAAGAAAAACTGATCGATAAAAAATGTTGGTTGCATAAATATGTTGATGACCACAAATTCATTAGACAAACGGTTACTTTTGTTATGGTCTAATTTTGGCAATTGACCTCACGGGCACAATTCTATTCACCCTCGACATTAAGCATAAAGTGCAATTTACGTTGTCACTTACAACTTACTCCTTATAGCAAGCTAAATTACATTCAAGGAATTCACCTACATGTAACTACACGTAATGTGTAAGCAATTATAAAAATGGGACATTTTTTTAACGATTGGTGGCAGAAACCACACTGGCCAATTGTATTTTACATTTTGAGTATGCGCACATTAGGCCAAGTTAGGGCAAGTACCATTAGTCGACTTGTGGTTGATTTGTGACGTAACTTACACCTGCGCACGAATAGCAACGTGCGAACGTCTCTATAGTCGAACGCTGGTCCAAATGTCATCGCAAAACACATCTGGATCCTGGCTCCCTGCTGTACGTTATGAATGCGCGCGGCTATTGGTTACCAGCGATGCAACCAGCCCCAGTAGGTTGGTTTCAAATACATGTAGTCGACTAGCGTAGTCAACCACCGTCGACTAGACAGACTTCGGGCTAACTTTTAGTCGAACTATGGTTAACCGCCAATGGTCAACAGTAGTTCTTGCGCGAACTTGCATGCGCTTAGCTTAAACATGACGAAAACAATAATTGGAGTGGACCGGTGTGTCTGCTGCCACCACTGATCTTAAAGTATTTCCAAAGTCTCCTATTTGAGGGGAGCTGCAGGTTTTTTCTTTCATGGAGTTAACCCTAAAGGGGCCGGGTTATTTTGACCATCTCTCAGCCGGGGGGGGGCGGATTCCGCCCCCCCCCCTAAGATCTCGGCCATCGAGCGACGAAAAATTTTGAAACTCAGCACATGCATAGAGCAACTCTTCCTAAACATGCCCAAGAAATTTCATGACTATAGGTCAAAGGGTTTTGGAGTTATGGCTAATTAATTATTCATATGTATGAATGGCAATTCTGCTCGGTGTACACGACATATATGCGAAAATTCAGTTTTTACGGCGCGTAGCGCCGGAAAATTTTTCGCTACCGGCTAACCCGTGGTCCGATTTTTATGTTTTTGGTATCAAAAGATGCGCAAAGCTCGAGGCTAAAAAGTCATAACAGCTCGGGTCGCGAAAAAATTTTTTTTAGAAGCTATCGCGGAAAATGTTGAGGGGGGGCGGATTCCGCCCCCCCCCGGCCCTTTTAGGGTTAAAATGTACATAATTATGATTTCACACGAAAACACCGCAACATGTTCATTTATGGTATTGGACTGGGGAAGACATTCGACGCATAAGCGGAAAAAAACAACTATTACTTGTAGTATATGTACAAGTATACTTTTTATACTTTATTTTGCTGCAAAGCTTTCTTCAAATTTTACTCCAATGATAACATCTAAAATCCTAAAATTAAAAAAAAATATTCCTATCAAAATTTACAGCAGCAGGTCTGTGTGAACATCTGTTTTCTTTTGGGTTTTTTTTTTCCAGTGAGATACGGTCACACTTGAAACCTTACAAGGTGGATAGTTTATGGTTTATCTGAAAAAGTATTGAAAATACAAGGTATGAATTTCTAATTGAAGCGCATGATTTGATAAGAGTCTTTCTTAATACAAGGATTTCTTAATAAAGGCTAACATAATGTTAAATCTCGAAGAATGTTTAAAAAATATAAACATGTAGGCCTACAGTGTATGTATTTACCTTGTGCAAATATTTCTAATAATCTGCGGCCATAACCATGGAGTTCCTACGTGTATTATATAGGTTGGCGATATATAGAAAGGCCTAGCTCTCTTTGTACCTGACTAACTCACTGTCGCTCTGGCTGACTGTCACTTGTGAATCAGACTTGCTTAAGTTTCACCTTGGCTCAACATTTGTATTAGGATTCTCTTGTAACGCCAATGAATGCGCTAAAATGATCCGGCCCATTATAGTCCACATGCATGAAAAGACTTTCGCTAAGATGGCAATTATGTATAGATTGAATAGAACTGTGTGCACTCTAACACATCTGTTTTCATGGATGTTGTGGTCACGTGATGCCATCTTTCAGCAAAAGGTCTCTTCTACACTGCACGCAAATCTCTTGAAATATGAACGGTTTAAATGTGTTGACATTTAATGTGAGCCACGAAATATGTATAACATTCTTGCATGTTTGGGTGGTCAGGCGGTTGGTTGTCGACATGACGTCACAGGGCACGTGGTATATCCGTTTAGTTAGGAAAAACGTCATACACGCGCGCGCAGCACTGATTACTAGCGCCCATTGGATAAACACTCACGTTGCGTTAACTTCCGGTTCCAATGCTACTTAATGGCTATTGGGCGTGGCTTAAAATGAACTGACGTCACACTAACGTACTGGATAGGTTTTCCTTGTCTTCTCTTTGATTGGTATGTGTATGTGTTAAACAACAATTCTTTTGTTTGCTTATTCACACTCACTGAGATGGGACTCAGGCAATTGTTTTTTTTTCTTATACTTTTTGTCTTTCTTGTAAAGCTGTTATTACAGGGTAAGGTTTTTGCATGTATAAAGGCAACAAGTACGTTTTACCAGTACTTTTAAAGTTATATACAAAAGAAGGCCAACGAAAGCCAATAAAAAATATTTACGCCATCTCATGGTTAATTAACTCTCACTGCTGTATTGTAGACTTCTTGTACAGTTAACTTCAACCGTTACTAAAAGCTGCAATCACGTTTTAACGAATTATTAAAAGTGACAAAATGTTTTTAAAATGTGAGTCATTTATTGTAAAGGATTTTTCTATCTTTCAAAGAGTAAGCTATGTATATAATATCACAAAAGCACAAAAATGTCGGTACAGTCTTATATAAAATGGATATGCCGCAATACTGTTAAAACGCGTTTATGGTGCCTTAAAATTAAACAAGAGCCAACTTGCGTCTTCATGTTCTGTCTCAAATTCATATTTAATATCTGGTTTTGTTTCGGCCTTAACTAGCATTTTGACCAACCTGATTCGACATTTATACAGGTATTCCACTTTAAGGGACTATTTCCGATACTTTCATAGCGATAGAGGCCGCTATATAGCCTTAAAGGTACAGTCCATCGTTTGCAGCTATCCAAAAGTAACTGACGAAATTATTGATGAAAAGCATATTTGGTTTATATAAATAGTAATGGGACTAAACGCCCAGTGAAATGATTCTTTCTCACAAGCTGTCATTTTGAAGAAAACAATGAAAGAAGGCCATTTCCAACGATGCGTCTAAAGAAGTATTTTTGAAAATTTCCGTTAGTAATTCGTTTTTAATTCGGCGAAGCTGGGAATGAGTAAGCGCCCGCGGTTGCTATAATTCGTCGACATCGCGTAGCTGCAATCGACTGGATGAGAACGTGTCCCGGACGCTGAAATCGGGCCCAATTCAAAACATGAGTTGGCAACTTTTGATTTGAAATCAAGATCCTAGAATATTGTTTTCTAATTCTCGGAATATGTACAGCATTAACTGATATAAAACTTCATCAGGTTACTTGTTAAGCACCCTTCTTTAAATTTTGAGCACTTTTGTTGCTCCAAACGAACAAAATGCACAACTTGCAAATGATGTACCGGCACTCTATCTTTAATTCGTTTCGGAGAGAGACACTTAATTTCTTTTCACGGGAATCTTAATTTAGTAGCAATTTCTTGGGTCTAAGTTTGATTCACGTCTGCATTTTTCTTTTGATGTAAATAATAATTCAACTCTACACTCATCACAACTCAGCAATACCGTCTCGACATCCAAATTTCGTGATTTTTTTCTTGATTTCACACAGTGCAACCAGCCCGATACGAACGGTACTCTTCTAGTGAGTTGGACTCGGCCAACCCCTTACTATAGGTGCTTTCTGTACATGTATATAACTTCTTGTGATTTAACCATCTTACATCCTACGTTGGAGGCGGTTTGAAATTAATCAAATGGAGATTCTGTTTGAGGACTACGGCCAATGACGACATGTCCACCTGAACCCAAGGAAAACCCCAGATGGGTGAGAATATAATGTTGTACTTGTCACATTCCGTGACGAAGCCCACAGCCAAACACAGGGCCATCAACTGTGCTATGACGATAATAAATAGAACGATTATACACACTCGTATAAATTGGTAGATGAATATGCAACCCCTGCTTTTCGATTGTGCACTTGTCCCGGTTTCACGGAGCTCGAGTGGAGCAGCTCTGGGGGCGCTGTCGCAGTTCACCATTAAGGCCGAGGTTTGGGTTGAGATTGACGGAAACGTTCTCCTGGCTTCCACGATGTCTTTATCGATGTAACTCGTCCCGTCAAGGTCCATTCCTTCGACCGGGGTTGGTTTCACTTGTATCAGCGCATCTGCACCAAAAAGAGTCTCATCTTTTGTTACACGATTTTCGACGACCTCTTCGCAGCCAAGCGGCGAGACACTTTGACTTTGCCATGAAGTGTGATCATTGATGTCATGGCTGGGCAAAGGTTTTTGCTTCGAGGGCAGTGATACAGCAGACACAGGCTGTAACGTACTGTCTTCGGATTTCCCTCTACTGTCTTTTATTTCCAGTGAAGGCTTGGGTGAAGTTTGGCCGGCTTTGTATCTTTTCCGTTCCCTCAGTTCCATGTTTACGCTGTCATCATCTACATGTACTTCCCTTGTTTGTACTGAAGGTATTCTAACCTCAGTGGACAAAGAATCAAGCTTTGACTCTTCGTCAGATGATTCTCTTCTTACTTTCTCATTCTTCCCAAGCCCTTCGCTCGTTTGATCCAAATATGCCCGCTCTATTTTCACAGACGCCTGATGAATACTCTTTGAAGGCCCCTGGCCCTTCAATCTTTCTTGATGCACGACACCAGAATCACTGCAGAGTGGCTTGCCCATCTCGTCAGCAAACTGGACAACTTTGACACGACGAATTTTGTCTCTACGATCGACAACACGGATCTTTCCGACTCGATGATCTTCGTCCGAGAGCATGTGGTTAGCGCTCTGAGACAGGCAAAAGCTAGCGTTCACTACAGAGGGACACTCTTTGTTCGCTGGCAGCAGGTTGCTATTGACTGCTATCACCGTGTTTGTAGAAATCTCAGTGACAGTTCGTTGACACACTGCCACCTTGACTTGGTGCGTGGTGGATATCATTGCATTGCCACAATCAGGATCACCGTCGTTCCAATCTGGACGATCGGACCTACAAAGTTTATGGCGCATTCTTGCCTCGCCGGCATGGAAGAGTTGCCCTTGTTCAGCCAAAATGAGATCTGTCGTTAAAGGATCCTCTATCTCCACCATGACATCATGTTGCTCATTACTGCGCGTCCCAGAATTTTCCAAACCATGTATTTCATCTGGAACTCCAACTCGTTGGGTCTTGTTTGACGATTCATCCTCTGTCTGTACTTCTCTTGTCGAGAATCGACCCATATCGGTTGAGTCCTCTTGTCCAGTCGTTGGCTGGTCGAAATTTTGAAATTTCACTCCTTCATCACTGCTCCATGAAAATCGGTATGCCTCGTCATCTGAAGAGGGTTCCTCCACAGCACCTGCCACTAATTGTCCTCTGCGGGGTAACGGACCTGTCAGCGATGGATCTTCATTTCTGCTCTTGTCCACACCTAGTCTTCTCTCGGTGCTTGGTGTTTGCTTCTCAGCGATGGTACGCGTTAATTCGGAAGAACCTGGTGATGCATGTTCACCGTAGGCAACGTGCATCTCTCCTGGGTCTCCTACTATCATCCCTTCATCATGCCGATCGACAGCTGCTTCTCTTTGACCTTCCCTCCCGATGTCATGTTTTGTAGAAACTGTTGACGTGTTCGGGTCTCCTTTTCTCTCCTGCTTCCAAACACTTTGATTATCTTGTCCTTCGAGAGCTAGATTTCCGTCAAACAGCTCTCTGACACCTCTTTCAGTTGAGAGTGAAAGCGGGGCTAGCCGTGTTTGCTGCACGACCCTTCTCCGTAGTCGTCTGACCTGGCTCTGTATCAGCTTCTTGTAGCCCTGCAGCGGCTGTATGAGGAGGGGAATATGGTCGGAGGGTGAGTCACGTGATCGAGGGCGTGGCGGTCTAGGCTTCATCTTAAGGCTTGAGCTTCAAGATTGTGTGAGGGTTTGGGTACTGGTAGGGATCGAAAAGAAAATAGGCGGGTATTTCAAGACTAAAACCAGACTAAACGATATTTTATGATTTTTTATTAGCAAAAGGTACTGTCAGTGGGCAAACATGTCAAGCGTTTGCATGTATAGGCCTAGGCATTTTGTTTATCTCGTCTATTCCAAATTTCTGCCAACAAATCTTAGGTGTGAAATTGAACACACGAGGTAATCGTGTGGTTGAAAATTAGAATAATAAAACATGATATTTTATTGGACCAGTAATGAGAAGATTGTTAAGGAGGAAGGCATGTGCACCTAGCTAGGGACGTTACACTCATGGTGGAACTACCAGGCGTTGTGCTCCATTAAATAAATGCGAACCTCAGTACAAGATTAACGAGGATAGCCTATAGGTACTCTAATTGGCTATGTTCTATTAATTTAGCTTGTCCTGTGCGAGTGTACTCCAGGGGAGGTTTCTACACAGTACACGAAGATGATGGTGATAAATGCGTGCACCGGTGACTCTAACTTCTAAGTATTAAACATCGCTTGTCACAATTTCGATCGGTTTGGACAGGTTTTTTTAGAAAATAATCATTATTAACTCTTAAAGTAACAAGGAAAATAAAGCAATGATGGTGCGTAACAATACAACGTAATAGACCTACCTTATTTTCGCAATTTTCCGAACTACATTCTTCATCCATCGTTCTCCACTGCAGTTATTTGACGATTGACTGGAAACTGCATAAAATCCACACGTTTTAAAAGATTTTGTTTCATTTTTGTTCGAGCGTACGCGATTTGTATCTATGCGATGGCGGTTAGGAGAGACAACGCGCACCTCCATGGCGTTTTAAGAATTGTTTTTCTTTGTGATGTCATAACGCGTCGCTCGGCAGCAATGTTTGTGTCAAACATAATCTGCTGTGGTGTTACGCTCACGCGCATGCTGCACTTGTTTGAAAACAAAGGGATATTATAATAGAGATCAGTGCCTGGAAGCGATTTTTTTTAACACAACTATCTGGTGTACTTTGTGCTCTTTCCTATGGGGCATGGTTATTATAACCAGGCTTGAGTGGAGGCTACTATTTTTCAACTTGGTACGGATTTCGGACTTTAAATATTTCCCTTTTTAAAAAAAATCCTCCAAAGCCTCGGATCAGAAAAGAAAAAGAAAATTGCTGCTATACAAGTAGTATACGACTGAAAAATAACGTTTTTAAGATAAAACTTTAAATTGTTGAAAAAAATAGAGCAAAATCTGAAGGGGTAGAGCAAGGAATCGAACTCAAACCTCTGATCATTAACCAGCATGCCTAACCACTGGGCAACGGCGATGCTCGACGAAACCTCTGCAATTCATAAATTATATACTTTCATACATGTGGAGAGCGTATATGCGCGCGCGCGTAGGTAAAAGGTTACAGGATTGTATACGCGGCGCTCTACAATCCTATAACCTTGATTCAAGTCGCCTGAAAATGGGTACCCTGTACTATTGTGTAAATAAAATATTCACTGCCTGAAATGCGCCGTGCACAAGTACCCCTCCAACGGCCAGAAAAGGAGAGTTGGGGGAGACCTAGACTGGTTCCCGGTCCTTCTACTGCGTATTTATTTAAATATAATGCCATGCATTTCGCTGGGCGCACAGGCCTATAAATCGTACGTGTGCTGAAAATCAAATCACAGCCATAAATGTGAAACAAATACCGTTTTGTTGTATACACCCCCATCAGAGTCATACCCCTGGCCAAATCTGCAGCCAATATATGTCGAAACGATTATTGGTATACATGTACACTTTATGTAGGGGCGACCTGGTACTGGGAGGCAGCGGCGTAGCCAGGGTTCTCAGGGTTCACCTTTGACCTGGGGCGGTTCATCCTCAGTTGTCTGCTGTGCACATCACACAGAATGATGTCGATCGTGAGGTCCTCGAGTCAAAAGTATGACACTAATGTTGCATTTTGTCCACCCCAAACCTTGAATTTTAATATCTGGAAAACTACAGAATGTCTTCGTTCTAGTTAAGCGGGCTGGTTATGACAATAGGGAGGTTTCGCAAGAGAACGGATACGCTTACACTTACGTTTAGCTATACGTATCCGTTTTTTAATTACGTGTAGCGAGCGAGATATGCGTGTCGTCTGCACGTTTAGCGGATAGTGAGTGGCGTATGACGTCATACGTGCAGACGACACGCATATCTCGCTCGCTACACGTAAGTAAAAAACGGATACGGATAGCTAAACGTAAGTGTAAGCGTATCCGTTCGCTTGCGAAACCTCCCTAACTCAATCAATACCTACCGGACTAGTTTGAAATTTCCGTTAATTATGATTGAGGACAGGTAAAATAAGTCTATAAAGTATTAAGACAAACCATTGTTTTTGACACCAAAAAGAGTTTTTTTGTCATCACGGAGAAACTTAAAGACGTCCCAGCGTACAGAAAACACGCAGAAAATACCCACGCGTTGCTTGAACAATAGGGAGGTTTCGCAAGCGAACGGATACGCTTACACTTACGTTTAGCTATCCGTATCCGTTTTTTACTTACGTGTAGCGAGCGAGATATGCGTGTCGTCTGCACGTATGACGTCATACGCCACTCACTATCCGCTAAACGTGCAGACGACACGCATATCTCGCTCGCTACACGTAAGTAAAAAACGGATACGGATAGCTAAGCGTAAGTGTAAGCGTATCCGTTCGCTTGCGAAACCTCCCTAGTGTCTAATACTTTCACCTATGTAGGCCTACAGACAACTTCCCAAACTTTGAAGCTGTATTGCCTTCACGATTAAAGTTGCTCAGCCATGCATATGCCCTGCGTGTATTCGGTAGCGGAACCGGGGGAGGCACAATATGTTCCCCCCACCTGTACTCCCGTAATGTTTACTTCATTAGATGCAAATAAGTTTAGATAATGAATGAACAAGCATTCTTTATAGTGCGACTTGTTTTAGTATATTAAGCAAAAATATGAATACCTTACGAATGAGTAAGCAATATGAGCTATGAATCGAGCTAGCGTATACATTATGGTTAATCTTAAATTATATGGATTATTTTGTAGTGGGCCTACAGTACACTGTGGCATAATGTATTAAGAGGAAACTACAACATTTGGAAACATCCAAAAACGAAATTATCAAATTACCATGGAATACCTTACTGGACTGTTAGTGAAGAACAGTCTAAAGCATCCTGTAAAATCGTGGCTCCCGGTGTGCTAACATTTTCAAGAAAAATTGTATTTTTCCAACGCTGGTCGGCCGACCAGCGTTGGCGAAAACTAGCTTTTTTCAAAAACTGCTCCTAAGGCCAAAAAAAATAAGTCTCCGGTTTCTGGTATGGAGCTTGTCCAAAAAGTGGTGCGGCGACGCGGCTTTTTTTTTTTTTTAGCTGACTTTTTTGCTTCAAATGTCGGCTGATGACTGCAAATGGTGCCCGACTAAACTTAGTGCAAATATATGGGAGTCCAGAGAGGCCACATAAAGCTTATTCTCGATCATAACCCCATCTAAAAACACGTTAAAATTGTGCAGTAGCAGAATTCCAGTCAAACCAGTGAGTTTGGGGGTTTTGAGACATCATCTTTTATTGAAAAACAAACTTTTTCATTTTGCCGACGCGCATGGCTACGGCGACGCGCGCGCATACCAGAAACCGGAGCCTTTTTTTTTTGGCCTAAATGTTCATATTTAGTTATTCCGCATTTTCTTTTCAATTGATAACACACCTGTGAAGGGGTACAAGCGTGCTAGACTGATTCTCTGACCTTACAATTCCCCAAAGTCTATAAATGGCTCTGTTTCATCTTAAGTGCGGCCAGGGAACCAGACTACAAGAACATGATTGGTTTTCTTGGTTTCTCCAGCATCTACAAGCCCAAAACATGAAACTAGTCAGTTTACCATTATTTCCTATAACATACTAATCCTCAAATCCATTTATTTCTAAAATTTGCGGCAAAATCAAATGTTGTACATTCCCTTTAAGATATGAATACCTCATGAAGGTATCAATACAAATGAGATAGTGTACTTCGTAACGCAACGTTTTCGAGTCGCATTCTGGATGTTTTCTTTGCCATATAGTAATGCTCTTACGGCAAGTATAATCCTCAGAACATACTGCAGCTGCAATGTGAATTCATACCTATTCTTTTAAATTAAAACATGAAAGACAATCCCTGTTCGTAAAACAATCGCCTTAAAATTACTGCAAACTACATTGTGTAATTACCATGTAAACATGACAAGGAACACTTCAGTCGGGAACAACAAATTAACCAACTGCCCTCAGTTACATCATTTAACATTTCTGTATATGAACGACCGCTAACGAACGTAACAAAAACTGTGCCCTCGGGCGGAATTCACCTTCAACGAAACCACCTCCAACGATTGTTGCCGTCCAAATGATTTCACTTCAGGCGGAATCATCTCACAGGGTAGGTCCTATTTTGGTACCAGTCCTATCCTCACTTTGAGTAAGGAGTTTCGCGTCAAATCGGTATTGTACGTTTAATTGCAAATGTTAACATGTGCCTTCAAAACATCACTTTAGTGAAATATCACCGAGATTGTCACCTCAGGGAATGATACTGGTCACCCCCTCAGAGAAAAGAAGTTAGTTTCGTTTTGGTATCTCACCTTCCAATTAAGCCGATCCTAAACTGATCTAATTGCGCCAAGTTCGTGTGTAGTTTACCAAACCGACGTCGGTCGATGAGTGATTGCAGTTGCAGTTCTATTTCCCAAGAACGCTTACTCATGTTTATTGTGCTTATGTATTATTCAACATGTGGGATGGGGGGGGGGGGGGGGGGGTAGGGAAGAGAGAATACAGTTTGCTCGTGCGAGGGAGCCTTGACGGCTAATCGATTCACCACCCTCGTCCCTATAGCGCGGAGCAGTACGCTACTTCTCACCCTGGTACATGTATTATATTAAATAAACACAGTTTTTGAATGGTTGAATTTGGCGCAGGGGCGCCAAAATACTTATACACGCACGCGCACGAACAAAGCCTTTTGGGTGGAGATGGTGATAGCCTGTTGTTGGGATCTATTACTTGCGAGTGTAGTTCACGATTGCCTGAAAGAGTTTCAAGGAAAGTCATTTTTTGAGCCATGAATTACATGAAACTATGAGTGGTTATCACTGTGGTGTTGACTTAGCTCATTAAAACGAAATCTTGCGATACCGCATAAAACCGCGCGGTTCAAACCTTCAGGAACTGCTTCTGGCCCCAAGGGGTGTGGTTTATGGAAACAGGTGGCCGTGCGTGTGGAAAATTGCTGGATCGTGAAAGTTTCGAAAAGTTGGATGGTGAGGGGGCGGGGCGTAATGATTTAACGATAATGTGGGTCATCGAGTGACACTCAACAAAATGAATCGCTAGACCTACACCGTTAATAGCTCGTCGACACTTACAATAATGCATACAAGTATAGCGTCTCTCATGACATATGCCAAAGCCTTTATTAGTTCTAAGAGGTACAAAATTAAAAAAATATATGTATATTTTCTAAACTTTAGGCAAAGAGTTCAGGTTACATTTGGTTCTTCTATAAAGTGCTGAATATTTTCAATTTGAAGTGTCTATGGAAAACGTGCCTTTCTCTTCCAGTTCTACTAAAGGCATACACTGTTATTTGCATTGCATTTTTTTTTATCATATTCATTCAACTAAAATTCGGTTAACTCAATTCAAGTCTCAAATTAAAAAAAAAGTTGATACTAAACGGGCGACAACTATTACCAGTTTTGAAACTGACATCTTCGAGGTGGGAATGGATAAGTTTATATTTTGTATTTTTCATAAAGGAGATTGGGACCAGCCTCTTATCTTCGCCCTAATACCCTCTCCAATCTTCCCGAGGTTTTTGCATGTTAAGACCCCCCCCCCCCTAAATTGTTGTGCCCCAACCATGCCAACATTTCAAAAATCATGCCTTAGAAAATCTATTTCTCCTTCCCAGATTTCGTCACATACCTCCAGGGTTTTCCTACACACAATGCACAGAAACGTCCAACAGTATCCCATTCATGTCCTTCAATGTTTTTGTTGTTGACCTTTTTGTACTACATGTATTGAATATTCTAACAAATTAAAGTATTAAAGTGATGAACAGGTATGCTTCATAATTATAAACGGATACATAATAATACCTATATTTCCCACACCTTAAGATCTATCAGGGTTCCTGCGCCTTATTAAGGCCATATGAATGATTCCATAACTTTCCCATGCCCTTTCCATGACCAAATTATAAAAAAAATTCATGACCTAGTTAATCATCGAAACTGCAAAATGTTAATTGTACTCAGGAAAGTGCTCAACAGAAACAGAAAACAACCAAGTAAAGCATGTCTTTTGAAATGAAAACGCTTGTATTAGAGGCATTTGCCGGATTTTGACGGGCGTAATAATGTCCAATGCTAAATTTAGAATTTCCAACATTCAAAATCTAAAATAAATTGGTCCTCCCAAAATTCCATGACTTTTGTCGTTTTGATCAATTTTGTCCAGGCCTGGAAATTGAAAATATAATTCCACGACTTTCCCAAGATTTTTTTCTAGGCCGCAGGAACTCTGATCTTTACATAATTAATAGGCCTACAGCGTAGGTTTTCGTAAAAAGATAAACGTACATTGGTTACATAAAAGTCCATGACAAATTATTTACAGCTTTTCTTGTGTTTCTCTCCATCAGATGACAAATCCTGGAGAAAAGTCACGAAAAATCAATGCAGTTTTCTCTTGGAGCAGAAGACATGAAACTAATGCACTTTATTTTTCCTTTTCCTTTGATGTAGTCACGCACTTGTCAGAGGGTATTTGTAAGTTTTAATACAGAAGTAACTATTCGCCTCACATGAACGTCTTAATGAAAAACATAAATCTTTTTAAAAATATATCACCTTAAAAAGAATAACATTTCAAATTGAGTACTGATACCTTTTTTCTACACAAAATATCACAATATTTTATAAGTATTTAATATAATTCATGAACTACGTACTATACTAAAAGTTTTACTGTTTCATATATATTTTTCTCTATTATAGGGCTCTTGCTGAAATTCCATAAGTTTTACTATTTTATTTTTTGTATATATTTGTTCTATTATAGGGCTCTTGCTGCAATTCCATAAAAATGTAATTATTAATGATTTAAGGGTACAATGTTGATGAACTCTGGTTGTGTCCCGAAAACAAATGTTCAAATTTGAGGTGTTTTTTTTAGCATTATTATAAAGTGATGAGCGTTCCTATGAATCAAAAACAAAAATGGCTCATAATCAAAAACAGATGAAACAATGTTTTTTTTCTGTATTGATTTCTTCATTATTGGACTGGTGCTTTCCTTTTTTTCTTCTTTTTTTTACAAAAACACAGTTCTCTCGCTAGTTCATCTGCTGATGAAAATCCATTAAATGCTTTACATGTGTATGGAATATAGGGACATACATTATGAACTTTAAGCAATAATTCTACATTAAGGCTTTGTATGTTTTACAGTTGGAAGCATTGTCATACAAGTTGAATTCCAGGTTCTCCAGTTTCCTCACTGTTTGGGGAAAAAGTAAAACACAGCACCAATCAAAACTTACTGAGAGGCAAAATCTCAATGACAAAGTCTGACTTTAACTGTAATAGACTTTTTGCACAAGTATCCGCTTAACTGTTACGGAGAGAGTTGGGGGATACTACTGGGAGCCATATCGTCAGCGAGTGTTGATGCAAAGATCCCAGCAGGCACCGACCGTCAGACTGACGTTGTATAATGGTTGTTTTATGGTCGCAACGTCGGATCAACCATACATAACCGAAAAACAACGTTGTTTTAGTCGACCAAAAGCCGACGTTGTCATTATAACGTCTGCCAGACGTTGCTTTAGTGTCGACAATTTAACGTCAGAATTTAACGTAACAACAACGTCGAAATATAGTTGGAATTTGGTCGGGAATATTACCAAACGTAATTTCAACCATGGTATGACGTTGTTTTGTCAACGTCTATACAACTGACTGAAAAACAACGTTGTATTATTGTTATTTTTGCGTTTCCCTTCGCGACGTCGCAATTATGTCATGTTTTCAACCAAGATATGACGTTTGCTTTCTAACGTCGTTTCAACAACTCAAAAAACGACGTTGAATTATGGTTGGCCGTCGGTTATAATATCCGACGTCGTACTTATGTCATGCTTTTGACTAAAATGCAACGTCCGTTTTTGACGTTTTTTCAACGACTCAAAAAGTGACGTTGAATTATGGTCGGCTGTTGGTTATAATATATGACGTCGTTATTTGGTCATGTTTTTAACCATTATTTTACGTCCGTTTTCTAACGTCGTGTCAACGAATCAAATAATGACGTTGTTTTCCGGTCGTTTGATGGTTATAATATTTAACGTCATTATTAAGTCACGGTTTTACCCAAACTATAACGTCAGTTCTCTGACGTCTTTTCAGCGACTCAAAAATGACGTTGGATTATGGTCAGCCGCTGGTTATAATATTTGACGTCATTTTTAAGTCATGTTTTCAACCATGATGTTACGTTCGTTTTCTAACGTCGTTCCAATGACTCAAAATCGACGTTGTATTGTGGTTGGCTGTTGGTTATAATATCTGACGTCGTATGCTTTCAACCAAAACACAACGTCTATTATCTGACGTCATTTCAACATCTTACAAAGCGACGTTGAATTGTGGTCGGCTGCTGGTTATAATATATGACGTCGTTATTAGGTCATGTTTTCAACCATGATATTACGTCCGTTTTCTAACGTCATTTCAACGAATCAATTAATTACGTTGATTTTTGGTCAGTGGATGGTTACAATATTTAACGTCATTGTTATGTCATGGTTTTACCTAAAATATAACGTCCGTTTTCTGACGTCTTTTCAGCAACTCAACGTTGAATTGTGGTCGGCTGTTGGTTATTTACATTACGTCGACAGTGTCATGGTTTCGACCAAAATATAACGTCTATTTTGCACTTAATTTATTCAGCAAATAAAAAAAAGTCATTAAACCGGAATGCATGTGCAACGTAGTAATTCCCAAACGAAATTATCGGACGCCTTTTTAATTTGAACGACTAAAAAAAAGACGTTGAATTATGGTCACCTAGCTGATGGTTATAAATTTGATGTCCAATCGTTATCATCATTGTTTTAACCGAAATATATCGTCCATTTTGAAGATTTTTCCACTGAGCCGCAGCGCGCGCCTACTATAACTACTTGGCCCAGAGCCAAGTGCCGCGCGCGAAAAAACCATATAGCCAAAACATATTAGGCCTACACGTAAGCATATGTATGCCCTGTGCGTGACCTTGCATTCCAACGAACTCCACTGCTGTACGAGTCTGGCCAGTTTGAATCATCCGTTAAACCAACAGTCACAACTGAAGCAGCTTTGGGAAGAGACATGTTGGCCCAAAATGAACAAGGTTTTTGGCACCTTTTCTGCACAATATTGTCAAGATTCGGTTCTGCGATGGAGTGCAGTTAACATTGGAGATGTTCCCACCCCTGATCTATAACTCCAAGTCAAGATACGACATCAAGATATAGGACAAGCACAAGTAAAGATTTCGATTGAACCGCAAGCAAGATGATCTGATTTTGCCATGTCTGAAAATGGTAAGTTTCAAACGCGAATGTTTCCGAGTTAGTGATTTGCAATTTCTTTGAAGGTCAAAAGTTTGGAAATTGTATCTTTATTATTATTATGTACCCTACTAGTCATGTCAGTTTTAACTTTAAAATTCCATCAAAATACCTTAACTTCATTGTAGAAAGTTATTAATGTTAGACTAGATGTTGGATGCTATTGTCATTCCTTATCTTAAAAAGAAAGTTACACTAACGATGCCCTTTGTTTAAACATTGAAGATGTAGAAAATCCAAACTAATCAGCAGTCATGCTAGTTCTACCTGCTTTCTATCATCACGTCCAATCTTAATTAGGCCTAGGAAAAATGAGGTCATTCTAAAGCATATCTCATTATGAGACGACTTTCCACACGTACTGTGTTGATTGAAGATTTAGAATATTAAATTTATTGTGAATTTAACCGCCCCGCAACATATTCCGCATCCATCACTAACTCAAACGATCGAAACGTCTCTTTCATTTTGATGCTGATATTTTGAGACAAATACGTTTTCAATCTAGTTTACGGTGTTCAGAGTTTGGGAATCACGTATAACGATACATTATGCCACTTTTCTTTTGTCGTGTACTCTATTTCATGTTTTATTAATACCAGTATTTACTATAAAATTGGTTTGTTGTAGTCTTTGCAAAGCGCTTAGAAACACGGCGTACGAAGCGCTATTAATGTTAATTTTTATCCTTGTAAAGAAAGTTACGGTGCTTGCAATTTTGAATTCTTCATTAATTAATTTCAGTAAAATTCGTTTCTTGGAATCGCATGAAATCGCCCATTAGAATTAAAATAGGCCTATGCTTCGACTTGTCTTCTTCATACATGTAAGAATTATTTTTAATCCTTTTTTTGGATTTCTAAAAATTAAACTGCTGCTGTAAGTTCAAAGAATCTGTTTTGTTTTAATTATTTACGAGTCACCATTATTTGAAAAATGTGTTGGTATTCAAGAAAATTAACAATGTTGTTCATTTTTTTTCCTTTTCCAGCTCTCTGCTTTGGTCAGTTGAGGGAGACGAATACACTACCCAAGCCCTACTTTACGTGGCCCCATGCACCATCAGGATCAACATCAACCGCCTGATGTCTTCTATACCTGCACAAATATTCACAAAAGAGATTAGAGATCATGTCTGTGTTGGTTGTGATTCCGCGTGGTAATGAAATCTGATGCCAAAATTGATCGGCCTATTAACATTGAACATTTGAAGCGTCTAATTGACATTATTTAAGCCTGTCAGACTGACGCCACTATTTTGAATATTGACTAACTTTAGAAAACTTACTTTTTGCACTGTTATTTCGGTTGTGTACTATAAGAACCTAGCCAACCAGTTTATTAAAAAAAATGAACAAGTTGTGTAATATTATACACAAGTTGTGTAAACAACGGTTTACACAACAGGTTGCTAGCTTCATATATTACACAACCGTTTGATTTTTACACAACCGAAATAACAGTATTCAATGTCTACAAAAATAACATTTGCAACCATGTACTGGCCTAACTTCAATCATGGAATTCAAACATTGAAAGGACGTTATTACGACGGTCAGATAGACGTCAATTTTGACCTCACACAGACGTTATAATTTGGTCATTTTTCGACGTCTAAATAACTTCAACCGCGACGTCCTGTCGACGTCCATTCAACCAGACAAATCATGGTCAGACTGACGTCATAATTTGACTATATATGGACGTTAGATTTCGGTCAGGTTTTCGACGTCTAAATAACCTACTTTTTCAACCATATTCTGACCTAAATTCAACCAACAATCTGACGTCCTGTAGACGTCCATGTAACCAGTTAATCATGGTCAGACTGACGTCATAATTTGACTATAATCGGACGTTAGTTTTCGGTCATGATTAGCAGTTAATCATGGTCAGACCGACGTCACAATTTTGACCACATATCGACGTTAGAATTTGGTCAGGTTTTCAACGTCTAAAAAACTTACACTTACAACCACTACGGCAACCAAAAAACAACGTCGGAGTTGGTCGGAATCTGACGTCAGATAGACGTTAAATCGACCAAAAATGCCTGCTGGGATGCTACCGGTTAATGCCACTATGCCACATCGCGCTACTGCACCACAAGATGCTACTGCGCCAAATTGCGCAGTACGCGCCTTGCGGGCCCCAATCTCCATATAAGGAGATATTTTTGTAGTTGTACTCCCGACATCCACATACCATAAACATAGCTTGAGGGGTGTTTCACAGAACATGAAGTAAAATTGTTAAACACAATCATTGGAAATTAATGACTGCTGACTTGTGACTTTTTGACTGAAAGGTATTTGTGAATGGGAGTAAATGTGTACTTGGCCGGAATTACACAAAAGGGGGCATTTTCTTGGACTTGCCCAAAAAATGAACCAACTTACGATACGTACATCACAGAGATGACATGATCATGATCACTATGCCAGCCATGACACCGATGGCACTGTACACAGGTCCTGCTGCTGCCATGCCTGGCATTTCCTCCAAGGGTGCAGACTGGAAAGAGTCTGGCTTGGCCTGCACTTCCTCACCCTCATACACAAAGCCAAACCTACCCATGGACACCTAGAAATATTAGACAAAAGGGTTACTATTCATCACATCCGTGTAAATCAGAGTGGGTTGTTTTTTAATGCCATCCTAAAGGCAAAAAAAAAACCCCAAAATAGTCGGTCTCTGGTCGGTGATTTAAATCATGTGCGTCATTTTTTTTTTTCTTCAAATTTTCTGCGTTAGCTACAACAGCGATCTCTATTGCCGCACAAGCTTAAATGTTTGTACCAAGGAGCACCCATGATGGAGGACACCAAGGTATATGAGGAGCAAAATAGAACCCACCTTGTCTGTACAACTCAAACTTAGAAAAAAACAAAAAACAAAAAACAAAACAAAAATCGAATCTCTTCCCCTGCCATGCCTTTTACACAGGCTAGTCACCCACAGTCAGATCACATTTCAAGCAAGCACTGTGACTAGTCAAATTCAGTCAACTGACAAAAGCAGGCAAGTGGTTGGCACAGCTGGCAATATCAATGACCTGCAGTCAAAGCATAGCTGTACATGTATCAAGTTACATAAACAGTCAATCCTGCTTTATGTATGCTGGGAGCTCTTTACCTGTAAAACACAGTAATCACTTGATCGATTTTGACTGAAAGGACAACTTTGCTCAGTGTGTATGTTTGCATAGGAGGCCAGGTTATAAGGTACACGAACGTTTGTTTTTCCTGCATTGTTTTTCATGCGCAGCAATAAAATTGCTCTAAATCTGAAAGAAAGGTGCATAACAACTAACGTGTTGAACTTTCAGCTCAGTGGATACCATACAATTTGAGAAAACAGAGAAACTGTATAATAATATTGCCCAGTTTTGGGGTCTTGTAACTGGATTCCATTGCTAATGCATATAAAAAGCTGTGCACGCCGGCACATGTTCTGGTACCACCTTCAATGGCTGGTTTCTTCTGACTGATACCACTTCAGGTGAAACAATTTCATTGAGTATTTGGTACCAGTTCTGTCTTCGATTTGAACAAGGATTTTCTCTAAAATCAGGTGGTCCTTTTCTGGCTAATTACAAATGTTGCTATACCTGCCTTTAACCCGGACAGTCCTGAATCCTCAAATTTCAATACGATTTTGTATACCCCCAGGGAGTTAGGGTTAATGAATAATCCACTCATCTTGCCCTTTTTATGAATTAATTACTGTATGCGCAATTTATGATCAAGTAGTTTTATTCAAGTTTTTCACTATTTGCCCGACTCGGCCTGTTGTCCTCTGACTGATTGAGTCACTGACTGATTGACTTACTCCCCGACTGAGTTTTGACTAACTGCCTAACTCCCCTGTGGGATTTACAAACTGGCACTTGTATTTGGTTTATAGTTCCATTCAACCTTGATAAACAAAACTTCTTAGAGCTACTTAAGTTGGTTCAGTGACTGTTTGTTGGATCCGGTGTCTGAGAAAAAAATCCAAGGTTTTTTTTCCTTCCACCACTAAAACTTATCTTAACCCTAACCGTCCTGAATCCACCAAATTCAATATAATTTTTCACACACTCAATGTGCTCCCCCTCTAGTCACCTTTACCTACATGACCTACAGTGCACTACTAATGAATGGTTGATTTCATTACGAGGCAAAATAAAAATCAAACAATGAAATAATACTGGAAAAAGCAATTCACCTCAGTTTCCATCATGTCAACGGCATCCTCAACATTGACATCACTGGTTGCATCGCTCGACACCTTGAAATCAACAATGACGCTTCCCCTGCGCAGCTGTAAAAATAAAAACGTGACAAAAATACAAAGTATTAACTACTGATTCAACAGAGTTTTATTGCAAAAACAAAGTCATCCGGACACACGTCAAGTGTTCAGCTACTTAAATATATCATGACAAAAGCATTCTGCTGTTCATTCCTTGTTGGTTTATTTGTGACTGACTCAGGCACTAAGAAAAGAGTAAAATTTCTCATCAGAGTCCAATTTCTTGGTCTGCTTACCGTTAGCAAAACATCCCTACCTACTGTAGCAGAAAAATTCCGTGCTAACGGTAAGCGTATTTTATTGGCTAGCGAGAAATTTTGACTTCTGCGCATGAGTACATCCTGTAACTAAGGATTCTGTGCTTACAGGGTCAGCACATGATTTTTCTGCTGGCGTGGTTAGTGCGGAATTCTGTGGTTAGCAAAGCCAAGAAATTGTGTCCAGGCTGCTACTGTTGATAGGCAAGGTTCAATCCAACCTCTGAAATCTCCAAAATATCAAAATTGAAAAAACAAAAAAATCACAGCAAACCTTGAAATCCCTCATGGCATTTGCTGGGAGGCCAAATTGCATCGCCAGGAACATCTTCAGTTTGCTGAAAAGAAATGAAATATTACTTTGTTTTAGGGAGAGCATTATAAAACTAATGTGACTTCATACTGAACTAGGTACATGTATGCTGAAAATTGTTTCCTAACATTTCCTTTCTGAATCTATGCATATATTATAGTTGGGTCTATAAGAGCAAACAATGCGATCTGTTCTAAATTTCTGGAGTGATAATTGGAAAACGCTTCAAAGCTATCAATGTTTTTTAAATTTCAATTCTTGTGTTTCTTCAAAAGTGTGGTTGGTTGGGTCAAGGAAAATAATTGAAAATTGAAATTCCCTTTTCAGTTATAAAACAACCAGCTCTACCATCTGCCTAGTACTGTGCACACATGTTCGCTCCATTTTTTTCTCAAACCTGTCTCCATATACAGATGCGGTTGAGTGTGCAATCCTTACAGTACCATGGGGAAGAGGTTGCTTTTTTTCATCAGGGTATAAACCAGTCACAAAGTAGACTTCATATGTCTCGCTAGGCATGCGTATTAGTGGGCCTTGCGGAATCGAATGGAGTGGAGATTATGCCAAACATTACCCATCTCTCTCTCCCACTGAACATCCGCACTGTGATGTGTGCCTAAAACCTGAGTTCCCCTCCCCTTAAAGAGATGTCCTTAATACAATCAAAACTTTAATTACGCTGTCTAAAAATTGGGGATATTTTTCACCCAAAAAAATCTTTCTTGGCTTTCCATTCCTCAATCAAAAATTTAAATTTAGATATACATTACTGATATTTCGAGGGGTCTCAGGTAGCAATAAGTAGTAAATGTAATCAACTATGCTGAGGCTTTACCAAGTTGTCTTACTGTTCAAGATTAGATTGGTAATCAAGATCCATACGGATCAATTAAGTCCACAGGTTCCGCAGGTTTTTATGGGAATTCTTTATTAAGTCACTTACCCAATAAAGTTGTCCTTCCTCTGCATGATGCGGTCGAATGTCGCATTCAAAGTCAATGAAACCTGGATCACCTTACTGCAGAGAATAACAAGCAGCACCAGGTGAGAAACAATTACACATCCATGCATGAAAGAAGTGTATTGATATTTTTTTTACATGTATGACCTAATGTGTGTTTCCAAGCTACAATGTTAAATTTTTCAAGAAAAGAATACTTACTCTGTTGTTTGGATGATAACAGATGTAATAGTATGGTAGATGAGCATGAAATAGAAAAGAGATGATGTAGATCAGTAAAATGTTCATCAAATTAATAATACAGCATTTACTGCTGTGGAGAACTTGCAACACAGCTAGACTATAAAACACAAAGGGTATGTACGTGTGTGTATGTACATACACATTCCAATCGTGGACCTTGAACAATAGAGGACGGTAGGGTCTATGTCTGACTGAAGGTCCACTTTAGATGTGTGTGTAAAAAACATATGGGAGGTCTTCCTAACAAGTTAAAGTATAAACATAAGAGGGACAAGAGTGGGTCCACGCTTGAAGGTGTTTAAGGTGACTGAATGCCTGGCTGTGCGTGTTTATGGTGTAAATCGAGGACACGTGCAACATCATAGATGAATCAAGGACAGGACCCAAATCGAGGATGACCTCGATTAGAAAACGTGTACAAAACCAACAAGATCTGTTGCATATAAGTTAGAGTATAAACAAAGGAAAAGGGGAGAGGAATACTAGAAAACCCTCGATTTACACCATAAACAAACGTGTATGCTCATGTGCGTGTTCACGAGTTGTTCACAAGTTGTTCACGGGCGGATCGCGCACAAAGCGGGCGACCCGCCCGCGAGGCAGGAACAGGCCGCAAAGTGGCCTTCCCCATAAAGCAGCCGGGACACAGCCTCGTTGTACATAATCATCAAAATAAAATATATAAAATAAATGTTAAATGTAGAGCTTATTCAATTCCATTCAAATTGGAACATGTGTATACACATACTGCACTCAACCAAAAAAAAAAGTCCCCCCTTCCAATACCTTTTTATCTAACTCAAAAACTACTGGGCACATCTTGCTCAAGTTACGACCGATTAGTACAGAAATTCCTTAGCAATCCAGCCATACTCTTTATTTGGCCCAAAACGGTAATAATGTGTACGAATTCATGCAATTTATGACAAATTAAACCGAAAACAGTTGCACTTTTGTATACGTGCATGTTGCGGTTCACACTCACTTACAAGTGTACAAAAGTGCAACTTTTTTATCGGTACCACTTGTCATAAATTGCATCATTTTGTACACATTATCACTGTTTTCGGCCAAACTGGATTGCTAAGGAATTTCTGTACTGATCAGTCGTAATTTGAGCAAGATGTGCCCAGTAGTTTTTGAGTTAGACAAAAAAGTATTAAGGGGGGACTTTCTTTTTTGCTTGAGTGTATACCTACATACATAATAATCTGTAGTTTCTCTCTAACTTATTAACCTAATGTAGATCATTGGAGATAATTCTGCTTCAACTTTTAAAGATGTTTAAATCTGGCAGATGAACTGCAGCCGATGTCGAAAAATATTATCTTTACATTCGCACGAGGCGGGCTTAATTGCATATGTTTCAGTGTCTAGTGAATAACAGCCACTTACCACAGTTCCTCTTGGAACATGTCCAAGTCCCCAGTCCGTTGCATACACTGTAAACAAAAAAGAAAATCAGATAAATACGTTTGCGGATGTAATTGGAATGCATGGTGACATATCAAAACAGAGGGCCAACAACGTTTAAACAAAAACATTGTATAAACCAAATGCATTCAGCAGACATTTTTCACGGTTTAGTTTGTTTTTGGTTTTTTTTTGGGGGGGGGGCAGGGGATAATGAAACATCAGGGCAAATCATGCATAATCCCTGCATCATGCATGTCTCTGCATGATTAAAGGTAGGGCAGATCATAAGTCATTTTATTGTTTGAAGCAACAGAAGTGCTCAAAATCTAAAGACGGGAGCAAGTAACCTCATGAAGTTTTAGCTCAGTGAATGCTGTATATTCCGAGAAAACAATATCCATTCTAGGATCTCAGTTTCAATTCAAAAGTTGCCAAGTCAGCGTCCGGGACTCGTTCCCATTCTGCCGACTGCTACTACGCGATGTCACACATGGAAGGAATGAATAATAGCAATTGCGTGCGCGTGTGCGTCGTATCAACGCTTGCGCCAATCCATTCCAGGATTTGTCGAATTACAAACCAACTGCTAACAAAAATTTCCAAAAATGAGTCTTTAGATCCATCTTTGGAAATGGGTTTTCTTCAAAATGACAGCATGCCCGAAAGTATAATTTCACAGGGAGTTTATTGCCATTACTATCTTTCAACTCAATAATCTTTTCAACAATACTTTCATAAGCTACTTTTGGAATAACTGCAAATGATCTACGCTGTATTTCACCCTTATGGAGCAAAAACGCACACACCACAGAGATGGCTGCACTGCAAATTATTCATTATTATAAATTAGGCAGCTAGCTGTTAAAGGGAATGTACATCATTGGCTTTTGCTGTAATTTTCAGAAATGAACTATTTTAGGGGTTAGTATAATAGATAAAATATTGTTACACTGACATGTTTGAAGTTTTGTGTTCGAAAATGCTGGAAAAACCAAGAAAAGCAAAAATGTTCAAGTAGTCTGGTTCCCTGACTCCACTAAAGATAAAATGGATCCATTTATAGATGCCGGAAAATTGTAAGGTAAGGGAACCAGTTTAGCTGACCTGCACCCGTTCATGAACATGTAACAAATAAGCAAACAAAATTTGGACTGAAGAAATGGTAAATTTTGAGCAGTACTTGAGCAGCAGTAGTTTTTCCAACGGTGGTCGGCCGACCACTGTTGGAAATGTATACAAAAATACCATTTTCTTGAAAATGACTTCACACCAGGTGCCATAATTTTACAGGATGCTTTAGACTGTCATTTACCAACATCCTAGCAAGGTATTTCGTAAAAACTTGGTAGTTTTATTTTTCGATGTTTGCAAATGTTGTATATTCCCTTTAATCTAAGAAAACATACATACACGATAAGAAAGCAGTGTATTATCAGAATTCTTCAATTTAAATTTTTCGGTAGTCCATTAGGGGGAAAAAAGAGTGATTATTCACCACTGGTTGCAGCCATCTGATGAGTCCACGATTGCCCCACTTTCATACCATCCATCGGCACCACCCAACGCCTTGCAGAACGTTTTCCCTTGAAGAGATAAAAAGGTAGGTGTTAAGGTCTATTTTACACATACGCAATTCTGTCGCAACGATATTGCCGTGCAGCAATGTCTGCGACGTTTGGTGTCACGCGACAAAATCACTTTGAATTAAATTCAAAAACGCGCAAGAAATCACACTCTTTCGTATATTTGTATTTATAAAAAAAAAATGTGACATTGTCGCGTGACGAAGTCACGTACATGTAATTGAGCTTTAGGTTACAGTTCAACAACCAATTAAGTATAGAAAGTACCAAAGAGAGATCAGAAATCATAGTAAGGATAGAAATAGTGAAGCTGCTTTGGGTACATTGATAAAAATCCATCATTACGTTGTTACGCCTAAAAGGGCTGGGTGGGGGGGGGGGGAGGGCGATAGGGCGCCCATTTACTTTTTAGCCTTGAGTCTTGCGCAGGTCTCGATACCAAAACCATAAAATTCCGACCATGGGTTACCGTGCAGCGAAAAAGTTTTCGCCGCTGCTTGCTGTGAAAACTGAATTTCCCATTATGTAGTGTACACAAAGCAGAATTACCGGTACCAATTGGTGCATATGAATAATTAATTAGCTGATAATTCCAAAACCCTTCGACCTATAGTCATGAATTTCTTGGGTATGTTCATATTAAGTTGTTCTTTGCATGCACCAAGTTTCACAATTTTTCGGCGCTCAATGGCCAGATGGTCAAAAGAACCCGGCTCCTTTAGGGTTAAGCAAATACAACTAAATTTCATGAAAATGACCCTCAGTGAATTTCTCATGTTTCCACGACTCTGTCGTGAGGCAGGATAGTTGAGGACCTCCAGTGCATGTAGGGGCCATTAAAAAAAAGCTGATGACAAGGAGATGTGGTCAATGACTGTGGTCAACTAAAACAAAACTTGTCGCTCCCTCCCCCTTTTGAGTTAATTCAGTTCTTCAAAGAGCCCTCTCACCTGCGCAGCTTACTGCCTCCAGGTCCTGGTTGAAAAACCTGGGACGACACCGTCCGCACTTGTCAGGTGCACAGGTTGCATCGGGGACAGATGGGCAGGTAGCAAACTCACACGGATCAAACTCACAGATCTCTGGTAGTTCTTCCTCGCACATGACTGCAGGTATCATGTCATTGGAGTTATCATTAACATAGACAGATATTTAATAACTGCTCATTATCAATTAGACAGGGAGGTGAACTTATCAATTATCCCATGGGCGCGAGTAGAACACGAAAATATCACAGTGCATTTGTGTCCCACATACCACGAGGCTGACGACTGAGTGGTGTGTTGGACACAGACGCACTACATGACGCCGACGGTCACCCAAAGGTGCATGATTTTTAAGCTTGATCGAGATTTTCGAACACACTACTGTAGCGCTATCTCAGCAACACTCCCGTCGGCCGGAAGTGGCTTACATCACATTACATTGCACTTACAAAGTCTGCCATTGAGCACTTTTCTTCCGATTCAGTTCCCGCCCTTGACTACTAGATTTTGGAAGCTGGGCCTCTTTGCCGTGATGGCTACTCTTGGAATTATTCACCTGATCTGATCTCTGTGAGATATTTCTTGGCCAAATTTAAGACCGTGTTCTTTTATCTGTTCATAATTAGCAAAAGCACCCAAGAGCCAATTAATTAAAGAGAAGTCTGAAGTCCGATGATTGCCGTGTTCAAACAGCCTCCCCTCCTCCTAAACTGGTGGACAGATCTCCCCCTCTGACTAATACAGCAGGGTCGACCACTACATGAACGTAAAGAAACGCAAAGGGAATTTGCAATACAATTACCTTCTGGGCGAGGGACCAGACACATATGTTCCTCACATCCAGCTTCGCAACATCTCTTGCGTCCTGGGCAGTTATGGTCACCAGTGCACGACTTCTGCATACAGTTGCTTTCCAATCCTGGTGGCACCATCGGACAGACTCCAACTTTCTCCACTGTATCATGTAAAGAAAATCAACTTTTTTTTAAACGCAATTGAGTACAGAATGAAATGAATGAGTAAGATGAAAACTAAACATCAGCTTGCCATACAACAAGTACCAAGTGGTACAACCCACCCCACGGCTGCCGGGTAGCAGCGAGGCCGGGTAATGTATGAAGACGGCTATACGGCACCGTCCGTGCACCCGGGCCGTACCTCTACAATAATTTTCATCATGGCTTACAGCAGTATGAATTTATTTCTGCTCACCATAATACTGTTTCCCTCATGGACTCATCAAGGGAAGAATTTCCTCCATAACAACTCATCGGATATTGCTCCAAGGTTAATATCTACATATACTTCTGGACATGATATTCAATTGATATTCAGCATCATCCCCCATCATTACCGTGGAGTCGTGCAAACTTGTACCACACAACCAACAAGACCATTGGCTGACCATACACACTACAGTGGTTTCTTCAACTTATCATGGCTGACATTGTACAAACCAAGTACTAGAAGCTACAAGCGTAAGTTTGGACATGCGCCAATCAGCTATTACTCCAACTGTGTTGCCTCATTCAACATTGAACTGGATGTTTGTGGTGATGTTGAAAGCAATCCCGGTCCAACTGCAAGTGCAAATCTTCTACCACCATCACTACCATCTATCCAGTCCACTCTCACATCTCAACCATCGGCACTATCCGAGACTACATTGGGACTCTCATCCAAGTCTACCCTTAGTGCAGTTCTGTTCAACGCAAGAAGTATTGTCAACAAGTTACTTCTTTTTCAAACTGAACTAGATGTCTACAAATACGACCTGGTTTTCATCACGGAATCCTGGCTAGACAACTCAATACACGATGGAGAACTATCTTCTGATTGTAACTATGCCATTTTTAGAAAGGACCGTAACAGACATGGTGGAGGCGTATTTGTCACAATTGCCAAACATTTATCTCCAGTTCGTAAATATGAGTTTGAACATGTTGATATTGAATTGATTATGATTGAAATACATACTAAACGTGGTAAAGTGTTGCTAGGTTGCCTGTACAGGCCTCCTAGTGCCTCTGTTAAGTTTTTCGATGATTATCAATCTGTTGTAGAAAATATATTACAATTTTCTCAACAGTATGTTGCCATAGTAATACTTGGTGATTTTAACATTGATTCCCGTACACAACCATCATCGGCACGTCTGAATAATATCTCTGATATTCTCAGTTTACAGCAGTTAGTCACATTCACCACTCGTGATGGTAATTCACCTACTGTTCCTGGTTCGGTGATAGATTTGTTATTTACAAACAGACCAGACTTGTTTTCCAATGTTACGCAACATCCCGGACTTGGAAACAGTGATCATAATGGTGTTAAGTTTGATATGTTAACCTCTTATGATTACAAAACTATGAATCGGTCTTTTTACCAGTATAACAAAGCTAACATCGATACCTTATGTGACACTCTCCGTATGGTGCCTTGGGACACTTGCTTTTCTTCAGACAATATTGATGAGATTTGGGGTTATTTTAAAGACCTGTTGTTTGCTGCTGTAAAAGATATTGTTCCTATAGCCAAATGCAAAGGTAGAAAGAAACATCCTTGGATCTCACATGATATCACTATTTTATCCAAAAAGAAGAATAGAGCCTTTAAAGCAGCTATCCGTAACAAAGCTAATCATAACTTATGGGCTAAGTACAAAAAGCTTCGGAATGAGGTCAAATACCGTACTAGACAATCGTATTGTGCTTTTATCAATGACATGGCTACGAATTGTTCAAATAATCCCAAACAGTTCTGGTCTTTTGTTAGTACTCAACGCCGTAAGAGTACGATTACAAGTTTTCAAACTGATAATGGTGTCATCAATGATCCAGTTAATATTGCTCAGAATTTCAATCTCATGTTTCAGAGTAATTTTAGCTGTGACTCTAACAATATCATTGACATATCCTGTGATCATGTTAATTCCGATTTTCGTCTTTGTAACATTTCCACAACCCCAGCTGAGGTTAAAAAACTCCTTTCAGAACTCAACATGCACAAATCCTGTGGGCCAGACGATATATCTCCTATGTTGTTGAATCTAGCTTGTGGGAGTTTAGCCCAGCCATTAGCTAAAATTTTTAACTTGTCGCTTGCCACTGGTGTAGTTCCGCATGAGTGGAAACTAGCAAATGTTGTCCCTTTGTTCAAAACTGGTGACGCTCATGTTATGTCGAATTATAGACCCATCTCACTATGTTCTGTGGTTGGTAAAATTCTTGAAAGGATTATCTGTAAACATCTCATTAATCACATGTATAGAGGGGGGATAATCTCACCTACACAACACGGTTTCTTGCCTAAAAGATCTTGCGTTACTCAATTGACAACTCTTTATCATAGCTGGGCCAATGCTCTTGATGTTTCAAAACCGCCCCGCATTGATGCTATATTTCTTGATTGGTCAAAAGCTTTTGATCGTGTGAGTCACAAAGTTCTTTTGAATAAATTACATAAATACGGTATTTGTGGCTCAATGTTGCACTGGTTTAAGTCTTATCTTTCAAACAGATTACAACGGGTTCAGTTTATGGGTTCATCATCTGACTGGGCTGCAGTTCATTCTGGCGTGCCACAGGGTGCTGTTCTTGCACCTATTCTTTTCAATATCTTTGCTTTTGATTTACCATTTTGCATTCAATCTAATCTCCGTCAGTATGCAGATGACACTGTCTTGTACAGAGTCATTAAAAATCAAGAGGATGAAGTGGCACTCCAGGATGACCTGCAGCACATAAACACTTGGTGTAATCTAAACTGTATGACTTTAAACCCAAATAAGTGTAAATTGATGACTGTGACCAGGTCTAGAAACCCTGTTAAACCACTGTATAAAATTGCTGAAAACACTTTGGAAAATGTGGATAGTTACAAATACTTGGGTGTTATTATCTCCAGGGACTTAAGCTGGAAAACACATGTTAATAAAGTCACTTCCAAAGCCACTAGACTCAACGGATTTATTGGTAGAGTAGTTAAAACTAGAAACCCTAACATTCTGACTTCACTTTATCGCTCAATTAGCAGACCCATACTTGAATACGCAGCTCCAGTCTGGTGCCCTGTTCTTTCGACTCAGCAAAAAACGCTAGAGAAGGTACAGAGGCGATTCACCCGTTTTTGTTTGGGTCTGCCGAGAAGGGTTTTAATTGATTCTGTAAATGAAATTGAATATTCAGACAGGTGTGTCAAGCTGGGTCTGCCTCTTTTAATCAACAGGGTTCATTTTCTTTCAATTACGTTTGTTATTAAATGTTTATATAATAAATTTGACGTTGACACTGACACTCTAATTCCCATTAATTGTAGACATATCGAATCTGTTAAATTTGTCCATCATCGGGCTCGTTCCAATGCTGCCCATCATTCTCTTTTTCACAGATTCCCTAGATTATGGGATGAACTACCGGCCTGCATTAAAGATACAATTATCCATAGTTTATCCTCCTTTACAAATTCTCTCAGAAATCATTTATTAGTCCCTGGCCAGGAGGTCCCTTTGACCAAAACAGTTTAAATTTCTAGATGCCTTGCCCATTCAAATACCTTGCTGCTTGTTTTTTTTTCTCAATTTTATAGTGCCTTTTGCATTATAATTCACTCGAATCTCTCTTACCGAATCTGTATTTTTTAATGCCCATTTGTGCTTTTAAAGTTTTAACTGCTTGTATAGTTCTATATTCTTATACTGTAAGCCATGTTTTAATAATGTCCATTTGTAATGTCCTTTTGTATTGTCTCTTCTTAAATTGTGGCATCAGGAGATTAACTCGATAGTAATTTAGTTTACTTTTTTAAAATCCATCAGGGGTGCTACTTTTTTTTCTTCTCTTTTTCTTGTTCTCTCTCCTAACTGTATGTGCCTGTTTTTGTTTTCTTTACTGTTCTTATTGTCTGTACTTGAATTTTTACCTGTGAAATTAATAAATGAAATGAAATGAAATGAAATACAGTACAGAAAACAAAAAGGAACGGGGCGTGATATAATATGCAAAAAGTATGCAAATTAGACGCATGCGCAACAGTGTTTGCAAAACCGGTCTTCGAATGCCAAGCTGTAATACTTGCAAAGCGGTAATACTTGAGTTGTATGATTCTAGAACACAATATATGGCCGAGTAAAGTGTCCACCAACCAACCAACCCACCCACCCACCCATCCACCGACCAACCAACACAAGCAGCTCAAGCCCATGGCGTGTTTCACACCGCCGTGCGAAAAAGGGTACCAGTCCTCACAATCCCTATCACCATTCCATCACGAGTCAAACACTATAGTCATCGAGTCTCAAGTCAAGTAAAACGCTAAATACCTTCAGCTTGGTCCATTAACAGCGGCCATCCCCTAATCCAGTCACTAGCACGCAGTGAAGACCGGGTCCTCACACTGTTATTCCCAAATTCAAAATGACGTGCCACAGGTGTTCTTTTGTTTTTGGGGTTGTCACCTGACAATTGTGATATGACGCGCACCACTGAAGATGCAGAATTTGGAAAATTGATCAACATTTTTTAAGGTTTTGACCAAAAAGGTATCAATGAACGAGACTACTGGTATGATGGAGAAGTTTTAAACATCTGGTCTCCCACACTACTCTGCCTGATTCATAAAAACCTGCGACAGTTTACCCATTCCTACTGCAAGAGCGCCTCACATGACCGCCACATTGTGCAGCACGCGCCAATTTTCATATAAGGAGATACTTAGCACCACACGAGCGAGGCACACACCAAACATGTAGTAAATATCGTTTGCCAAAACCGTTGGAAAGTTGTGAATTTGTGGGTTTTTTTTGTTATTGGTACTTGTGTACGACAACATACATGTACTATACAATTCTTTTATACACATACGTGGAACAGGTTCTTGGCAAGAGTGTCCACAACCGTTACTGCAGCACATTTGCATTCCTGGACAATCTCTGTCTCCACTGCACGTCTCCGCACAAATCCCACCAACATCAGGAGCGGGCACCGGGCACATGCCTTGTGAAAAAGAGAAACATGTCTGGATATGAAAAAATGAAATTGTAGCTTTGGATTTTGCCCTTCATCGAGTATGGTTTTAAAATGCAATGTTTACTCATCGGCAGTTGGGTTAAAATGTCCCTCCCATCCCCAAGTGGTCCCCCACAACTCTTTCTTTAGAATTGTTGAGTGAGTGCTTGTATGAGGAGGCCATACTATTAGGCCCCGTGGATTAATTCCGATTTGCATGCGCTCCCGTGCGCCCACGGTTGCAGGCAAACAAAGGAGATTTGGGACCCAGTGACCCGCATCGGCACGCACCTGCCCGCATCGGCACGGACTTGCACGCAGTGGCACGCAAACGGACTCATTGCCAGGCTGTATACCATTACCAACAAAAACCGCAGAGATGCACAATAGACATCGTCTTGGACTGTAGCCTTTGTGTCCTTTAATCCACTTATCTGCTAGCTTTTTAGTTGGTTGTAAACACTTGGCAGGGCCAAGGATGACTCATCTAGTGGTCCCAATAATTACACGTATTCAAAGGCACGCAAAGGCAGATAATCAAAGGCACTTCCACGCAAAGGCACGCAAGGGTCCGTGCAATTGTGGGCTGACCCGTGCGGCACGGGGTTGCCCGCATGTGCACACGTGCGCCCGCGGGCGGACGGGGGCACACGCAAATTAGAATTAATCCACGGGGCCTTATTTTATAAACATACCTGGAACAGGTTCTTGGCAAGAGTGTCCACAACCGTTGCTGCAGCACATTTGCATTCCTGGGCAATCACTGTCTCCACTGCACGTCTCCGCGCAAATCCCACCAACATCAGGACCGGGCACCGGGCAAATGCCTTGTGAAAAAGAGAAACATGTCTGGATAAGAAAAATGAAATTGTAACACTGGGTTTTGCCCTTCATCGACCAAGGTTATTACAAGTAATGTATACTCATCGGTAATGGGTTAGAATGTCCCTCCCATCCCCAAGTGGTCCCCCACCATTCTCCCTTTGCAACCGCTGAAGGGGTGCTAATGTACGCTGAGTGCATACTATTGTTTTATACACCTACCTGGAGCAGGTGCTTGGCAAGAGTGTCCACAGCCGTTACTGCAGCACTTTTCGGCTCCAGGGCAAGCCCCGTCTCCACTGCACATCTCCGCACAAATACCACCAACATCAGGACCGGGCATCGGGCACATGCCTGGCTTCACATCTGGGAAACAAGGGACGTGTCAGGACAAAAACATCATTGTAACATTGGGTTTGGCCTTCATGGTTTTCTTAAGCTAATTTTTTGTACAATGTATTTTAAGAGTTGTCCCAGAGCCCTCACACAACAAAAACAATGCCAATTTTCTTGGAGTAGGACTTGAACTAGTGACCTCTCAAGTGCGGGTGTCTTACCCACTCAGCCTTGTCAGGGTTAAGTGGGTAACATATCAGGTCCAGACAGGTTGCCGTTATGGTACTTGCCTCACCTTACACCTCAGTGACCAGTTTCAGCTTCCACCAAGGCCAACAACTGTATTCATTTTTAATCCTTGCTGGTCTTTGTTCAAGATGCTGATCAATAAAGCCGCGGCAAGGTGTAAGGTTTGTTATACATGTGCACCCTCACACATATTTATGTGTACCCTATACAAATATACGACCGGGCACTATACTAACAATTTTTGACTGGTGTACAGCGCCCTCTGTTTCAATTCCATGTATTTTGTTTAATTGCTAATTGTTGAATTGATTCGGAGTCAAATAATAATAATAATAATAATAATTTGGGAGGCTAATCATCCTTACTCGCAGCTGGGATGCTGAATTGCGAAGGACGCGGCTACAACGTGGTCGGGCCGCTGGCACGTAAAGGCGCCTCTGGCTGCCGGCCACATCGACCCATATAAGACTACGGAGCACAGCCTGAGATCGAAAGTGTTTGATTTTTCCGGAGGGAGGAAAACCGGAGGGCCCTGAGAAAAACCCTCGTGGCACAGGAGAGAACCAACGCACAACTCTACTCACATGCGATCAGCGGCCAGGATTCGAACCGTGGTCACCTTGGTGAGAGGCGAGTGCTTTACGCACAAGCCACCCGTGCCACCCATAGATGAGACCATAGGTTGGCATGGTGTGCATTGTGGACATACTTAATGAATGGGAGGTTGGTTTGCAGTAAACACCATGTGAAAGATATCTCTTCGAGCGTTATAAAACACATATGGACTGGCATAATTCAGTCACTAGTGCACGTCTATGCCCCTCTTGGGCCTGTGAGTGACCAGAAGAGGGTCCTATACCCCGAGATGTAGGACCCTCTTCCAGTCACTCACAGGCCCGAGAGGGGTATAGTCGTGCACTAGTGACTTCATTGCCAGTCTATATGTGTATAATAAACATACATGGAACAGGTACTTGGCAAGAGTGTCCACAACCGTTACTGCAGCACATTTGCATTCCTGGGCAATCACCGTCTCCACTGCACGTCTCCACGCAAATCCCACCAATATCTGGACCAGCCATCGGACACATGTGTTGCGCTGTGCAAAGAGAGACACATAGCTGGATGTAAAAGTGAATTGTAACATTTCAGTTTTGCACTTCATCGTCCAACGTTTTGAAATATAATGTATACTCATTGGTAATGGGTTAGAATGTCCCTCCCATCACCAAGTGGTCCCCCACAAAACCGTTGAGTGGGAACTTGTACACAGCTCATATACTACACCTACGGACTGGAACAGGTTCTTGGCATGAGTGTCCACAGCCATTACTGCAGCACATCTGCATTCCTTCGCAGTCACCGTCTCCACTGCACATCTCCGCACAAATCCCACCAACATCAGGACCGGGCATCGGGCACATGCCTTGTGAAAAAGAGAAACATGTCCGGATATAAAAACTGAAATTGTGACATTTGAGTTTGTTTTTCACTATATCAGCCAAAGTTTTCATCAGCAATGGGTTAGAATCAGGCCTTGACATTTGACACCTTAGCCTTAATAGTGTTATCAAAATTTCACACGGAATTTAGTGATTGTAAATGTTTTCTACTATGAAGTTTTGGGGTGTGTTCATGTCTATTAATTATTGGTATGTATGTTGTGAATAAAAAGGGCATGCTGGCCAATTTGGCAGTGAATTTTGAAGGAAAATTGTGGACAACACGGAAAGGCATGCGGCCAATGGCTGCAGTGGCCGTGGTTAATTTCGAAGCCTGTAGAATGTCTTTCCCATCCCCAAGTGGTCCCCCGCCACTCTCCCTTTGTAAACCTACCTGGAGCAGGAGCTTGGCACGAGTGTCCACAGCCGTTACTGCAGCACTTTTCGGCTCCAGGGCAAGCTCCGTCTCCACTGCACATCTCTGCACAAATACCACCAACATCAGGACCTGGCATCGGGCACATGCCTGGCTTCATGCCTGTGAAAGAGAAACAAGTATGTAAAGAATGAAATTGTAACATGGATGTAAAGAATGAAACTGTAACATGGATGTAAAGAATGAAACTGTAACATTGGGTTTTGCCCTTCATCGACCAAGGTTTTAAAAGAAATGTTTACTCATCGGTAATGGGTTAGAATTTCCTTCCCATCCCCAAGTGATCCCCCACAACTCTCCTTGTTTAATCGTTGAGGGGGTACTAGAGCACAGAGTGTATTTATAAACTTACGTGGAACAGCTTCTTGGCAAGAGTGCCCACAGCCGTTACTGCAGCACTTTCGGGTTCCAGGGCATTCTCCGTCCTCACTGCACATCTCCACGCAAACCCCACCAACAACGGGACCGGGCATCGGGCACATGCCTTCCTTCACATCTGCAAAAAACAGAGACACATGTCTGGATGAAAAGAAATTGTAACATTGGGTTCTGCCCTTCACTGATGCAAGTATTGTACATGTCCACTCGGTGCTGTCCAAAAGCCTGCGAAAAATATCACCAGCTCACCGGGTAGGGCTTGAATTAGTGATAGGCCTCACGGTGTCACTCAACATCAATGGTTTTGAAAATCAAAACATGGGTTTTTAAAGGTTTTCTTAATGCCAAAACATCGACATTTATAGCTTTTTAGGGTGCAAAGCATGCAACGTTCAAGGATGAGTTTGTTTTATAGCTCAAATACAGCGAATAACTAAACTCACTCAAGTTCTCCACACTAGATAAAGTTACCTAAAACCATTCTGAAAAACTTGTAAACAAAATTCTTAAAGAGGTATATTGACAATGCAGTTATTTTAGCATTATGATAAACTGTGTGTAATATTGATTAATAAAACAATTCTTTTAAAATTTGTTTTTGTAGGTTATATATAGGTTACTTTAAAAAATAAAATAGGCTTTCAAGTTTAAAAAGAGGTTTTTATAGGTTTGAAATGTTTCGCTGTGAGGCCTGCAGTGACCTCTTGAGCGCAGGTGTCTTACCCACCCACACAGCCTTGTCAGGGTCAAGTGTACGGGTAACAAGATCAGGTCAAGTAAGGTTGGTGTTATGGCACTGGCCTCACCTTCCACCTCCGTGACCCAGTTTCAAATTCCACCTAGGCTAATTAACAACTGTATTTGTTTTCATTCCTTGCTAGTCTGTGCTCAAGATGCTACTGATCAATGGTACGTACCGCAGCATGGTGCAAAGATTGTTACATAAGGCCAACAAAAAAAAGTCTCCGGTTTCTGGTATGGAGCTTGCCCAAAAAGTGGTGCGGCCACACGGCTTTTTTTTTTTTTTTGGACCTGATTTTTTTGCTTCAAATGTCGGCTGATGACTGCAAATGGTGCCCGGCTAAACTTAGTGCAAATATATGGTAGTCCAGAGAGGCCACATAAAGCTTATTCTCGACCATAACCCAATCTAAAAACAAGTTAAAAATTGTGCAGCAGCAGGATTCCAGTCAAACCAGTGAGTTTGGCGGTTTTGAGACATCATCTTTCATTGAAAAAAAAAACTTTTTCATTTTGCCAACGCGCATGGCTACGGCGACCCGAGCGCATACCAGTAACCGGAGACTTTTTTTGTTGGCCTAAGAAAGGGCTTTCTTATCCAACCTTCAGCTACACTCCGGCTCCCCGAGGTTTCAAAGGTTTCCAGTGTCAGAGCAGTTTCAACAGGCTGAGCTGCAATCATGAATATCGGCTGATACAGAGAGGTTATACTGAGCCATGCCCATTAAGAATTAGTCAACATCACCAAAGGATTAACAGGCAGTGGCCAGCGCAGGAGACAGAAGCATCGGCATCAAGCAGAACAATAATGCTCAGGTCGCAAAACTGAGATAAACTGTCGCAGAACATGCGGCATCTCAACACAAGATAAACGCAACATGCTCACGTCACCCCCCCCCCCCCACCCCCACTTCCCCAACCCCAATTATAGAACCGGACATAGGCTAACCACCGATACCTGTCACCGGTTCTATGCAGATCTGTCCACAGCCGTAAGCACAACACTTGCTGCGACGCTGGCTACAGTCACTGTCACTGCTACATGCGACTTGAGGTGCTGCATATAACATCATAAGATCAGGTCTTGCTGGGCAGTCGCCTGGTTGCTCTGTTCACAGAAAATCATAAAGGTTTTTTAAATCTCATCGGATAAAAGGACAGGGAATAATGCAAAACCAGATATTGAAGCCACAAAAGGTGACTAACAAATTCAACAGAAAGCATAATACTTGAAAGATAAGAATAACAACAATAAGTACTGAACATTTAAACATTGGGATACTTTAAAGGACGAGAAAGTTTAAGAAAAATGTTTGTTGTGCATCTGCATAAGTATAGAGCCACTTTGTGCTAGTAGAAATATAGAAAGGATGGAAGAGCAGAAGATCTGTACCTTCTGGGTCCATGCAAACATGGCCGCATCCATTGCTGCAACACTTGGCTCGGGCCTCACAATCGTCATCACTCGTACAATCCTCCGAGCAAATACCAGCGACATCCATGGGCACCATTGGGCATGTTCCTGGTTTCCTGCCTGTAAAATCAGCAAAATTTACGACCAAATTAACTCGGATACTATACATTTGGCATTAAAATCTGTGTGCAGTATTATGACTGTACCATTTGTTCTGCATGGAGGCTGATTCTGCATCGAACTGAAAAAGAGTTGCAAACTCAGAACAGATAGGACACTGTCTTTATAGATCACATTCTTTGTTATTGCATACATGTACACACAAACTTGCCTACTGTACATGTTTAACCCAGTGGGCTTATCAGGTAGTTACAAATAATTTGTGGGATCTGATTCCAATATCATAGCAACATTTGGAATTCTGGCCTTAGTACTCCTTCATACAGTCCTCGAACAGGAATCTGCAGTTATTACGATCATATACGACCAAATCTTTAATGGTGGGTTGTAAAATATACATGATGGCATGCTTTGCAAACAAGCCAATATTGCTTGCTAACCCATCAAATATGCCACAGGAACTATTACAGAATAACTATAATTTTTCTGTGAATCTTTGCCAATACAGTCCGGACAAATCAAACCTACTTCTGACTGGACTCATGCATCTAGTTCCGCAAGCAGTAGTGCAGCATTTGGAGCCAGGACGGTTCATCTGGCACTCATTGTCCAAGGTACATTCCTCTAGATCCTGACAGTCACTCATGTCTGCACCTTCAGGAACCATAGGGCACTGACCAGACATTTCTGCACAGTGAAAAAAAATCATCTGCTTGTCAGCTACTTTAACATAAACATGATCTGTTCTCTTAAAAGACAGTTTCTTCTGGGCAGATGATTGAAAAATGGTTTGTTTTTCAATATAGCTAAACATATAGAATATTTGCCCTTCACTATGACAATTTCACTTTTCCACACGGACTTTCCTTGGCAACTTATGCCAAATTGAAGTTTGTGATATCACATATTGTGGAAACAGAGAAATTGTCTGTTATAGTTCTGGGTTATGCACTGCTTGTGTTAATAAACTTTTATGATACAAAAATACCCTTTCAGGTAAATTCCAAACTCTGTACATTTATTTTATTTACTTCAGACTTTTATTTTATTCCAGATCTTCAAATCAAGCTCTGCTGGTCACATGACAGAGTACCCGCAAATTGCTGATACATAATTTCCCTACTACTTTTTCATGATTATCATTGACAACTCCTTATAAAGCCGCAACATAACAGATTTCTCCAAAGCTATTCTGGTTAGAGGTAGCGTTCATCATTTGTAATTTGTGCATTATGTTTGTTTGAAGCAACAAAAGTGCTCAAAATCTCAAGAAGGGTGCTGAACAACTAACCTGATGAAGTTTCAGCTCATTGAATGCTGTATATTCTGAGAAAACAGTATTCTAGGCTCTCGATTTCAAATCAAAAGTTGCTGCATCATGTTTTGAATTGGGACTGAATTCAGCGTCCGAGACACGTTCTCACTGAGCTGATTGCAGCGATGTCGCGCACTGAACAGACAAATTATAGCAACCGCACGCGCGTGTGCGACGTATCAATGCTTGCACGCATCGCCAAATAAAAAAAAAGAGACTACTAACAGAAATTTCCAACTATGCATCTTTAGACGCACCGTTGGAAAGGCCTTCTTTCAATGATTTCTTCAAATGACAGCTTGCAAGAAAGAATAATTTCACAGGGAGTTGAGTTCCATTACTATCTTCAAACCAAGTAAGCTTTTCAACAATTATTACGTCAGTTACTTTTTGGATAGTTGTAAATGATGGACTGTACCTTTTACCAAACTGACAAAGGACTTCTATACATGGTCTCCATGCATGCACAGCACATGGTGCTTCCTGACTGCTCACAAGAGCTCCATTTGGAGGGACAAACTACGCATGTGTATTGCGTGAGGTACCGGTATGCGTGATTCTGAATGCGAAAAAAACCCATGCATAGCGTCTTTGTGTGGAAACCAGGCGCCATGCATCTGCAATGCGTACATGTATCATTCCTCCCATTGGTCCCTCCAATCTCAACTTCCTCTTTTTAACCATTAACCCTAACCCTGCCAGACGCAACGCATTGCATCATGTGGAAAAGAACTAGTGCACTTTGATGCATTCAGCTACCAACACCAGTGCATGAATGGCCAGCTCTGAAACAATGAGAGCTAAAGTACCATTGAACAATATGCCACAGTTGTATCCTGCTGCGTGCAGTGTGGCCACGGACTCTGAGGCAGTGTGGCCTTGAAACTTAATTTCCCCTGATGGATCCTCCTACATTTGGCAGGCTTGCAAGTGTTGCATGTTGCTACGTTTTGCAGGGTTCGGGCAAACATACCCTGGAGGGTTAGGCTTAAGGCCGGTTTCATACTCCACGCGAAAGCAAAAGCAAAGCGATTTTCATGATGTCAACAATTGAAGTTTCATTGTAACGTTCGCCATAACCCTAACGAATATGCCTAGCACTCAAATTCCTGTGAAATGTATGAACCGGGCTTAAGAGTACATGCATGTGCATGGATCCATATGATGCCAGTACCTCTTGGTGGTCTGCAGGCATGTCCACAGCCATTACTGCAGCATTTCCAGTGTCTTGGGCAGCCGGCATCACCATACTCGGCATTGCATTCCTCTACACAGATTCCACCAACACTACCCATGGGTGGCATAGGACAGGTACCAGGCTTCCAGATTGGCTCTAGTGAAGGATAAAAGTTGGTACATGTACATTAGTCCAGCCTTTCATAATTCCAGCCACAAGTAAGGGGTTGACATTGACAAAGGAATGCTTTTGTTATGGTCCATTTGAATAGCTATAGTGACTTGACTTGAGAAACGAAGGACTTATGAAAGACTTGTTGACTAGTTGCAGGGACTTGTGGGAGTTGTGATGGACTCGACCACATCACTGGCGACTGGTGTATATTTTTTGGCCCTATTGTACATTACAGGAAATGTTCCGCTGTGCTATGAGCAATTTCAAGAGTTTTAGAGCACGCATCTCGAACATGTCTTAGAAAGGAGTCGGCAAAGGTGTAATCAAGTCAATCACATTTCAAATGCTAAGTCAAATCATGAGTCAACTCTTAAAAGGGGATATATCAACATTGACAAAGATTGCCTGAGTCTCCGCTCATTTGAATAGATTGACTGTTGATTGACAAGTGACTGACTTACGCTGACTTGCGATGACTTAACTGCAACTCTGGAAGTAAACAGTTTTTGCATAATATGCAGTCACACAGCTAACCATTCCTGAAGAAGTATACCCTTGGATGCCTAGAGGCGTCACGGTCAACCACTTATCAGTTTATAAGTGTCTTCAATACTAAATATATCATATTATATGCAACGAGGAATTAAGACGTGTAGGCCTACATTCAACAGACTAGTGGATACGTGGTGGATCAGGATTCAGCAATATGCATAGCCTCGCATGTCCAAATGAGATGGTACTTTTTGAAAGGTTTAGTCTATCAAAATTAGGCATTGCCAACATGCAGTCAAAACAAAGTTATAGAGTCAAGTCTACAACAAACTATTTCTGACTGTCAAATCACAAGACAAAGTAAGCACAAGTAAAGTCAAATATAAAAAGGGATGAACTTGACGTCTGTGTCCGCTCTCTGAGGGTAGTTTACTGCATGTCAGTTGGTTATGCCAATGCCCTCCAGCTGCAGTTATTTGGCAGATAACAAGTCTTAACAGTGAAGGCTCCAATTGGCAGGAGTTGGAGGCCCTGGAGGGTGCCTGATACTGACCAGCTGGGGGCACTCACTTTGTTATCAGAGGACTCTCATTGTTCTCTGTGGCATGTATTGGAGTGCCTGTCCAGTTACCCTTGAAATGACATGGCAGATATTGGAGGGCCATGCAAAAAACATAGGAGATTTTCTTGAGGCACAATTGGCATGCGTTGGAGGGTCAAGTAGGGTAAGGGTTAAACAGCATGTACTGAGGAGCACTGCATGCTGCAGTGCTCTGTACAGTGCACCACATTATAGTACACACAGAATTACTTCAACTCCCCCCCCCCCCCCACCATTAAAGAAAAGTTCCACCGACTTCAAAAGCTGTCACGTTGAATTTCCCACATCCCTGAATGAAAATTGTGCTGATCGGCACTTGAGACTGAATGTACATGTATTGTGATTGACGTGTGCAGATGGGGGCTATTATGATAGTGTCCATAGAGTTATACAGACCTAGGGCATAGATAGACTTCTAAAGGGGCACTTAACTTAGATTGGGACCGACTCAATTCATATTTGAAATGAGTTCCAGACAAGTTGCTGTACAAAATCAGTCACCTTGTCCGGAACATACTCTGCATGGACATGTTTCGAGGAAATTTTCATTAGCAAGTGCTTGACCCACCATAACTTGATTGCGGGAACAAATTGCAGGGAAGTTATTCAAAATCCTGCAACTTACACCCGATACCACGCCTGCAACTTGTCCGGAACGCGTCCCGGATAAGAATGAGATGGGCCCTTACCTTCCATGTCCATGTCCATTTCGCTGCCATCGTTTTCAGGGTCACGGCAGACTCTACCTCCGCATTCATTGCCACAGCATTTCTCGTCTCCGTCACAGTGTGTGTCATCCATGCACTCATTGACACAAATTCCTCCAACATCCCCTGAGGAGTCGACCATGGGGCATTGACCTCGCTTCACTGATTGAGCAGAACATTAAATAAGGGTGAAACGATAAATCATGCACTGTGATACAAAATGCCGCGAAGGAAATCATGATATGTATCGTGTTGTGACCCCAGGCATCATATTGTGAAGTTTTGTTTTGTTACACTCTTATAACCATTTACTCACGATTTATCCACATACTGTTAAATGTCACTGTGATTTGGCTTGTAACTGACTTGTTATTGACTAGTGATTGACTTAAAGCTGTAGTCCATCATTTGCAGCTATCCGAAAAGCAACTGGCGTAATTATTGTTGAAAAACATACTTGGTTGAAAGATAGCAAGGGGACTAAACTCCCTGTGAAATTATTCTTTCTGGCTAGCTGTCATTTTGAAGTAATCAACAATAGAAGGCCTTTCCAAAGGTGCTTCCTAAGACGCACCGAAGGAAATTTAAATTAGCAGTTCGTTTTGTTATTAGGCGAAGCGCGCAAGCATTGGCATGACGCACACGCACGCGCAGTTGCTATAATTCGTTGGATCAGTGCGCGACATCGCATAGCTGCAATCGGCTCATTGAGAACGTGTCTCGGACGCTGAATTCAGGCCCAAATCAAAACATGATTCAGCAACTTTTGATCTGAAATTAAGATCCTAGAATGCTGTTTTTCTCGGAATATACAGCTAAAGCTGAGCTGAAACTTCATCAGGGTAGTTGTTCAGTACCCTTCTTTAGATTTTGAGCACAATTTGTTGCTTCAAACAAACAAAATGCCCAAATTACAAACGATGGACTATATCTTTAACTGTGATTGATAAAAGGCTGACCAAAAGGTCCACATGGTGATGATCGCGGCCGGTTTACATTTCCATGTTTCCCCCATTAATTTAGTAGATCAAGAATCTGGGTAATTGTACATGTACATGCATAATTCTATTTATTTTTAGGGAAAATTGATATGAGAGTTTCATTATTCTTGGAGTGTTTCAAGGCCTGCAGTGAAATAATGTTTGGAGATCCTTATGAGAGAGCACTTACCTATGCTGCACTGTACGGGCCTTGCCCTAGCATCGAAGAACTCATACGGGCATTCAAGGGGTGAGTTGGGCCACACACACTGTTTAGCAGTACACTGGGCCTTGGGACGGGCAGGGCAGGTGGCCATAGCACAGGCCTGGGCTCTATCCACTGGATTCTCAACCAGGCCAGGTGGGCAAACTGAGGCTGAAATTGAAGAGGGAAAAAATATCAAAATGGGAACATTCAGCGGATAACATATGCAACGAAGACTCTTGTATACTAAATCTTATACTTTTTAAGTTCAGCACAGCACTCTCTTGAAAGAATGTGAGGCAATCTTGCAAAATGAAATGGAAGTGGGCAGAGGTCGAAATGAGGGTTTGTGGGTTTAAGGGAAGAAAATAACGTTCTCCTTACAGTAACGTTTGTTGCACTTCCATTGACAAGTTATGGCTGTTTAAAGTTTGTATTTACCAACATGTCAAAGTTGTGTGGTTGTGAAAACGAAAGAAAAGTCAATTATCTTGTATTCCACAGTTTTATGCCGTTTCTTTAATGGGAAGTTGACAAAATCAAAGATTACAAATATCAGTACATCAAAATTTTTTGCCTATATTTCTCTACTATGGCCTGTTCCCAGTTCCATCTCATTTTGCCAGAACGTCTTACCAATTTCAGAAAATGAGAAAGTCAAAAAGAAATTTGCTGATTTGGAGTCACAGTGTTTTTTTCATAATTTTTTTTTTGGGGGGGGGGTTGGGATTCTAGATTATTTATTTCCTACATGTACATAAATGACATACAATTCTGCAAGCTCACAATGCTTATATAAAAAGACAGTACAAACCAAAACTGTTAACGGATTTCCACTTCTCAATCGTTTATTGTGACATGAATGATTATACACCACATACCGGCACCGGACGTGCAGTTGATGTGTTCCCCCTGGGCATTGACAAATACTGCCTTACAGCCCCCGCAGTACACGCTGAGACATCGGGCCATGGGATCGGCAGGGCATTCAGCACTATCGCATGGGTTGAGCAGGCAGTTGACCATCTCATGACCGGGAGGGCACTGCACAACTACAACATCAAAAACAGATAAGAGGGCAATCACTGAGATGAATGGATTTTTTAATTAGATGATGACCCATTTCTGACGTTATTGGCTTTCACAATGAGTTTGCCAGTGATCACTAGTCTAGGGCTAAACCTTGTTGGTTTGATGCACGATAACCAGACGCAGCAATAACCCTCCGCCGCAAGAGGGCGCTATCACGACTAACCAGTATAATCCACAAACCCGTCAGAGCGTCTATGTCTACTCCTAAAATCTCCCCCAGAAAAATGGGTGAACTAGTGCACAAGCGCGACTTCTGCAGGCAATTGCTGTTCATTTTCAGTCCCACACATACTACATACAATGAAAAAGCTGACCAGTGAAGTTGCACAAACGTCTTACTGAATACTGAAGAAAATTGGAAATTTGTTTCGGAACCATTATGAATTTTTGTGCATGCGTGCTGCATTTATTAGGCCAAACAGTAGTGAAAGCATTACACAACCAGTACGAATTGGCCTAGACGTTGTTTCAACGAGTTCTTGGGAGATTTGGTCGTGATAGCGCCCGCTCAGGGCTGCGATGGGTTATCGTCTAGCCCCTACATTAAGTGACCACCTTCTTTATATTCCAATACGTTCAGAATCTATTTGATGGCAATATAAGGAAATAAACCACTCATTCATAAATGCATACCTGAGACTGTTTACATGGGTACCTATTCCTACTGGTCAAGAGGCCCTCACGGCTTCACCTGTGGGTCTTAAACTGCCGTTTAAACACCAATCAGTGATGTTCAAGACCGGTCGCAAGAAAAGTACCCTGCTCTCCCTGAAATATCCACTCTATACATGCCACATACACAGGCTACAACCGGGTGCTTGAAAACTACTTATATGTGATTTCATTATCAGGAGACATTGAGAACCGTGCGCACTACGCGCACCACAGAAATTGTCCGACGATGAGGTAAAATAGCAAAGCAAAATCGTTTGAATTTTGTCAATTTTTGGTTACTTTTGATCAAACCGGTATTTATGAACGGAGATTAGTGTGATGGAACAGTTACAAATGTGACGTTTTAAATCTGCTAGGGGCCTGGTCGCATAGCCCTGGCATTTTGCTCTTAGCATTACCAGCATCCAGGTCCCTTACTGGTTTTAAACCACGCACTCATCAACATCACAAACTGACCCTCGGTTGCGTGTAAGTGCCCAGCACATGCAGATAATACAGAACTGCATTATTTTGGTTTTCACGCACTGACACCCAAAACTTCATGCGCGCACTTGGAGCATTTTCGTTTTCACTTTCTGTCACCATGCCATAGGGATTGAGTAAATTTTTGTCAAAGCATTATCCCGCCACAACCTTGAGTTTCAGTTCATCACACAGTGCGTGCATATCAGTGCGTATGAAAACAGTGACGATTTATACCTACTTCATCACACTATCAATCGCAATCACTCAGATGAATGAGACAGTTGTTAACAGTTTAGGCTGGAGCTTAATTTAGGCTGGATCTTTCTCATTGTATTACTGACAGATCAAAATTAAAACTGTCTTTTTATGTAGGTACATTTTAATGCCGGAAGGCATAAATCAGAATCCTGAGACTTTCAACATGAGACTGTCAAGCTGAGACTGTCCAACTAAGTAAGACTGATCAACTAAAGCTACCCAGCTAAGACTAACAAGCTGACAAGTTGTCAAACCAAGTTCATTTACCCAGATTGTCAAGCCTATAAGAGAATGAGACTGACACCTACCTTGTCCGGTTGTGCAGTTGATGCGGCTGCCTATTGACGTGATGTGCACCGGTCTGCAACCCCCGCAGTGATCCACCAAACACCGGGCGCTAGGCAGGGCGTCGCAAGGAGACGAACAGACGTCATCATAGGTGCAGTTCATGAAGGGTTGGTCAGGTGGGCATGGATGCATTTCTATCAGAGAGGGTTCAATGAAAGTAAGAGTAGCCTACATGTATACTAACGATTGTGCCATGGAGTCCATACTACCATAGTCTTTACAAAGACTTTGTGCAGCACGCTCCAATTTTCATATAAGGAGATACTTAGCACCACACGAGCGAGGCACACACCGTCATTTAGGGCTGGAGGAAGTTTTTCACCTGAACCAGCAGCGTTGGCACTTGGCAGGTCCCAAAAAAAATTTCAAAAATGTGCCAAACACGTAGTAAATAGCATTTGCCAAAACTGTGGAGAGTTGTGAATTTATGACTTTTTTTTGTTATTGGTACTTTTGTTTATACATGTGTACGACAACATACATGTACTATACAATTCTTTTATACACATACCTGGAACGGGTTCTTGGCAAGAGTGTCCACAACCGTTGCTGCAGCACATTTGCATTCCTTCACAGTCACTGTCTCCACTGCACATCTCCGCACAAATCCCACCAACATCAGGACCGGGCGCCGGGCACATGCCTTGTGAAAAAGAGAAACATGTCTGGATATGAAAAAAATGCAATTGTAGCCTTGGGTTTTGCCCTTCATCCAGTATGGTTTCAAAATGCAATCGGCAGCTGGGTTAAAATGTCCCTCCCATCCCCAAGTGGTCCCCCACCATTCTCCCTTTGCAACCGCTGAAGGGGTGCTTGTACACTCAGTGCATACTATTGTGTTATAAACCTACGTGGAGCAGGAGCTTGGCACGAGTGTCCACAACCGTTACTGCAGCACTTTTCGGCTCCAGGGCATTCTCCGTCTCCACTGCACATCTCCACGCAAACCCCACCAACATCAGGACCGGGCATCGGGCACATGCCTGGCTTCATGCCTGTGAAAAGAGAGGCATATCTGAATATAAAAAATGAAATTGTAACACTGGGTTTTGCCCTTCATCGACCAAGGTTATTACAAGTAATGTATACTCATTGGTAATGGGTTAGAATGTCCCTCCCATCCCAAAGTGGTGCCCCACAACCCTTGTGTAACCGTTGAGGGGGTGCTTGTACATGGAGTCTGTACTATTCTTTTATAAACATACTTGCTGCTGGTTCTTGGCAAGTGTGTCCACAGCCGTTACTGCAGCATTTTTGGGTTCCTGGGCAATCTCTGTCTCCATGGCACGTGTTCACGCAAATCCCACCAACATCAGGACCGGGCATCGGGCACATGCCTTCCTTCCTATCTGTGAAAATAGAGACATGTCGGGATGAAAGTTAATTGTAAGGTTGAGTGTTGCCCTTGCACCGACCCCATTCCGAAATATGGACTAGGCTGTTGATTGGTCAAGTTGGATGCCACATTTTTGCAATACAACTCCGTAGATACGACAATATGCTCTCAAAACTGTTAGAAAAATGCTGCTTGTATAGAATAAACGAACACTCATAGTACTCATGATGTTTCTGTGCTAGGGAGTTCGCTCAACACACGTTATTTAAAAATATAATGTGTATCATTTGAAGCCATGTACAGAACGTTCATCTATCGGGTAACATATCGTTAAAGGCCGTGTGATGCAACCTATCTTTGCTAACACAAAGGTCTACGTTTTATTTATAGATGTTAATGACAACGGCCGGGTTACCAAAGACCCGATATAGAAGGCACCCGCTGAATGGTCAGAATCCCAAGGTCAGGACGCAATCTTGTTTTGCGTAATTATCTGCCAAATCTTTTCTGACAATCAGGAGATTCTAGGGGGAAATCATTTTTAGTACAAAAATTGAAAACCAAAAAGAAAAAACTGCTGAACAAATTCTTGAGAAATATCCTTATTACTAGGAGATCAGCGTACTATACAACACTAAAAGAGATTTGGGAGTCTAGAGCTCCCCCCCCCCCCGAACCCCCTCCACAACAAACGATGCTTTGTGGGTGAACCACCAACATATACTTAGAATCCTAGAATAAATGATAAATAAGATTACTACTGGCATTGCAGATAAACTTAACAGCTTATCCTGGATTTAAATTTCTTGTTCACTTGATCCCACTGTGTGTATGAACAACCTAATACCGTTTGAGACCAAAGACAAGTTCTTTTAGAACTTCAAGCAGGACTGTTCTTATCCATGTCATCAGAACAAAAACTACTTAGCGAAAGTTAACAATAAGCAGGACAAGTTCTTTTCAGAACTAAATATCTTCTAAGCAGTAGTTATTATCACATGGTGTTACCGCAAACCGAAACGATAACCTTACCGTGGACAGGTTCATAGCAAGCAGTCCCACAACCATTGCTGCAACATTTTTGGTTGTTTGGACAATTCAGATCCTCGCTACACTGCTGCGTGCAATTCCCCGTCCCAACAGGTTCGGGGCACATACCTGGCTTATCAGCTGAAGAAAAGAGAAAAATAAGCACAATGTTTTTTTTTTTAAATATGAAAATAAAGTCACATTGTTTTGTTTTTTTGTTGGTGTTTTCTTGATGGGTTGGAAGGTGAAATCTGTTTGTTGGTTTAATAGCTGTTTTGTGGCTTGATCTTAATTAAGTGGTCAGGCAAAAAAACAATTTATTTATTTTGTTGGCATTTTTTTGTGTACGATCATATGGAGGCGTCTGTGTGTACTCAAGGGTAAAAGGTAGTAATATTTGACAGTTTTGGGTGTTTTTTCCCCTAATTTTTCCCATTAAAAAAATAGGGTAGGGGCTGTCAGAATAGGTTAGGTAGGGAAACCGGAAGCAAAAGTTTTTTGGCCTCAGTCATAGGCCAAGCAGTCAATCGATGTAAGCTGACAAGTTGATCAGTTTGTCATTGGGTCAGCCATCAACTGACTTGTTTCTTCATTGCCGTTATCCCTGTATCCCCTAGGGCCTTTTTGCTAGGAACCATCTTCAATAATCCCAAATCCTAAAAAACTTTGCACTTATGTTCAAATGAAGGATACCCAGCGCCTCAATCCTTCAAAAATAGTCAGACAGTCCTGTCTATTAAAAAAAAATTCATTCATCCTCAATCCTCCAAAATCCTCTTCTTCTTCAAACACCATTCATTCTCAATCCCAACAAAATCCTCATGTGCTAAAACACCATTCATTCTCAATCCTTGAAAATCCTCCAAAACCGCTATGAGGATTTTGGAGGATTGAGGAGCCCTATTGGACTTATGGGTTAATGACAACGCCTGTAATATTCAAGTGTAGAAGTTCTCTTACTGCAGTTGACCAAATTCCCATCTCTGAGAAATGCAGGGTCACAGGTTTCACACAAAGGGATGACGCAAGTTGTGTTTAGTCGATCAAGAGGGCAGTATACACCTGAATCACATCGGTTGAACAAGCAGATCCTTGATACCACAGCTGCAGGGCAAACTTTAAATGGGAGAGAGAGAGAGAATAGATAAATGTGTTGTATGGCAAAAAAATATTGACACTCTTAAACAAAAATTACCTACCTGTTACATGCACTTAGAATGTACTTCAGCATAAACGCAGTTTGGAAAACATGCTAAATTGTGAGTATTAATGTTCCAAGTCCAACCGCCACGCATACATGATCAGCAACAGAACTATTTGGGACATAGCTGAACGCCTCTTTTATATCACCACTGTTTAAACCATAAACACAAAGAGGTTAAGGCGGTCGCATACAATTATACAATTCAGATTTTGGGGATTCTGAACTTTTGTGGAAGAGGCTTCAAAGTAAAATATTTCCTTTCATTATTGTACTGCAACATTAATTTTGTCACAGTTTGAAACGTGATGACAGTTTTCAGAGGAAAGAATGTAGTATCCAGACGCCACGTCTTTGGTGTACACAGTCTACATGTATGCCAGAGTTGAGTGCATTTTCAAAGTGGAAATGATTCTCAGTCCCAGATTCACATTTTTTTTCAACATTTTCGGAAAGTGGTGTCTAGGATGCAACATTTTTTTTCCCTTTTCGGATGTTGCTGTTGAAATTGCAGCATGTACATTAATGGCATGTTGAACGAGATCCAAATCCCCCCCCTAAAAATGAATAAATAAATGCAGGGTCTATAAATTGGAAGTACAGATCAATATATATATACATATATATGTAGGGTCAACAGTTTTCATTTGCACTTGGTGCATCACTCGTGATGCAGTTTCCTATATCCACACAATTTTGGCAGGATCAGACCTAGCTCTTTTTCTACACATTCTCCATACGGTCATGCCGCCAGACTGCACTACTGATTGATCAATGTTTACAAAAAGTTGAATGCGCACCAGCCTAGTCTTAAGTCAGACTTGGGCCTTGAGTGCTGAAAAACATATGCAAAACAAAATCATGATCACGAGCCAACTTTACTCAGGTTGGCAGACAAAATGATAGATCCTCCAAGGTCCTTACTTTTTCACCAACCAAGTTTGAGGTCTCAATTTAATCTATAGAGGAGACTTAATTTTCTTCTATATTATACACTTGACAGGGAAGAGGAGTGATATCAATGTTACGCCAAAGACTAGACTGGTACATGTCCAACCATGGGTCCCTTTTTTAGTCACCTTAGCATTGAGAGTCCCAAATTTTCGGACTTGTCTTCATATAGCTTCAAATTGAAATCACTTGACTTCCCTGTCAAGTGTATAATATTGAAGAAAATTAAGTCTCCTTTAAAAAAAATTAAATTGAGACCTCACACTTGGCTGATGAAATACTGACCCCGTCTTCAATTGCTCTATGAATCAGTCCTTCTGATTTGAGGTGTGCGATTGCACCCCCACACCATCACACGCCTTCACATTATAAAAAGCAATACCAGATTGTTCAGAACCAGTTTGGAACACAGAATCAGATGCTTAGAAAAAAATCACACGCTTAGAAAAATCACACGCCTAGAAAAATCCAGGTGTGCCTTTTTCCACACGTCTGTAATTTTCAAATCAGGACGGACTGATGAATGATTTTGAAGAATTTTGTTGGCTAAAAGTGAGTAAAATTGGTCTGATCACTCAAGCATGCCAAGGTCCCAGTCTGCACGAAAGCATGCATGATAAACTGTTAAAAACCAAAACAAAATTTGCTCCCCAGCAAAAATGATGACAGTCTTGTTCACGGGGCCGTATCATAAGTCCAATGCCCCATAGGTCCGACGCCTCATAAGTCTGAAATTTCAGACTTATGAGGCGTCGAACTTACGAGGCATACAATTTATTTATTCTGCCTCATAGGTTCGACGCCTCATAAGTCCGACGCCTCATAAGTCCAACGTCAGAAAAACAAAGCGTACGAGGCGTCGGACCTATAAGGCGTCGGAGCTACATGAATGAGGCGTCAAAGCTATGAGGTATCGGACTTATGAGGTATCGGACTTATGAGGCGTCGGACGTATGAGGAGACCCCCTTGTTCACTAGGTTTAGCATGTTTATGTTCTCAAATCTTTTGTTTAAGGCTTACATTTCGTGACAATTATATGCTGTAGGCCTACTTACCATTGCAAGTCTGCACACAAGACCACACCTTGGTTACTGGATTGCTAGGACTTTCTAATACGCACGTGCTGTGATTCGTAATAGAAAGGGTTCAAATTATTACAAATGTACTAATACTTGTACTATAGCACCACTCCTACAGCATGAGCATGGGACAGGAAATTTAACTGCATTCTGCATATGGATGACCAACAATTTAACAAAGGCCTACAACTTATGGACAAGCCTTTAATATTTGGTAATGAACCTGTCAATTTCATTCCCCCATAAAAAAAATTATGTGTAGGTTCGTACTCGGGCACCAACTGTAAACTACATAGGAAAATCGTAATTTCTACTCCAAGGAAAAAAAAAGTGTCATTTTATTGAGACAAGTCTACTTGTCTACATTTCTACATTTCTGTTTTAGCCTCTGAAGAAGAACTTGCTAAGTTCGCAACGTCAGGCCACATTAATTTTAGAAGTCTACTTTAGGTTAAAAAGGTAATTTTGATTAACTGATATAAAACACCCTTGACTCTAATTTGATTGAAACTACACAGGGGCCCTGTACTACACGATTGCCCGAAGTTTGTGGATAGTCAAGAAATTTTTCTAACAAAATTTCCAAACAAAATTGGAAATGTTTTTCAGTCCCATATGTGATCAACTGTGGCAAAACGAGGAATGTCCTCCAAAGTCTTGTTTTGACTAATCGACGCCAGAAGTCGTATGTATTAGAAAAATCAATTTTGATATACTTTTTTGTGTTTCTGACTCTGAGTAGCCAAGATATTCAAGATTTGCATTATGCATTTTTGTTGGGAAAAAATATCCCAAAAAGTGAAAAAACTAAAGAATTGTATTACTGCCGTCAGTGGCGCAATGCATATTTTTTTCTGCATGTAAACAGTATAGTCCGTTGGTGTTGACCCGACAGCTGTTGGATGTCCTACTCAGTGTAAATAATCAAGGAATAATCTGATTGGCTGATCGGCACACAACCACCACAGCACAGCCATGACAGTGTGGCACTGGACGGCTTTTCTGAAAAAAATCATCAATCATCAATATTTTTCCTATTTTAGTAACGTTTGTTCTGTTTCAAGTCAATCATTAATTAGCTTCGTGAATGACTGTCTGAGTGCCTGGCAATGGCATGTGGCACGTTTAATTGAATCTGGGTTGGGATAGAGAGAAAAAGGACTATTTGTAGAGGCCGTTTTTTAAGGGTCTCTTAAGATCTCATTACATTACGTGTGAATTCCTGTTGAGCATGTCATCTGGATGTTGTTACTCAAGCTATAGGTTGCTCCAAAGTCATGAATTTTTATTCATGAACAGAACAATGATAGGCCTATCAAGACTCTTTATATCATTGTTCTGTTCATGAATAAACAATGATTTAGTCAACATGGTCAACAGTAGACAGTGGTCAACCAGTTGTATCGTGCTGTCAATGTCATTCAATGCAATACAATGGTACAGTCCTTTTCCTAGTTCTGGATAGCAAACATCAATCAGGCTGCTTTCGGCTCAACTACTCCACAAATTCAATTGACATAATTGGTTAAAAAGTTTACCTTGAGTGATGGAGATACTACAAAATAATTTTCCAAATTTAAGCTCTTTTATTTTGACTTTGCGACGGCCAAAGTAATGATGCCACTTTTCCTAGTTCTGGATCAGTTTAATCAATTCCGAATCGGTCAAAAACTGCTTTGCGCGAATAAAAAATTACGCGAGATCAGAAAGTGCCTTTTTTCAGATGTCTATATTTTTCATGAAATTTCCAGATTCGTTTTCACACATTTGTGTATCAAAATTTCAACATGAAATTTCACGAAAATTAGACATCTGAAAAAGGCAGCACTTTCTGATTAGCCTACATTTTGTATAATAAAGAGGGTGAGTATGCTTCTAAAGCAAAAATAAACTACAAACTAAGCCTAGGCCCCTAAATGTTAAAATCAAAATTTGACAAAGTTTGACATGTTTTTGTACATGGTGGAAGTGTGGCCTTTATTTACGGAGGGGTATAGTCCAGTAAATTGGCCACATTTATGGGGCAAGGCTAGTCCGAGTAACTTGGACCCAACTTATCGCCTTTTTAACATTCGGACATGGTCTGGCGATAGTGGGGTCCAAGCTAAGTGCGAGCTGGACATCACAATTCTGTCACTGTCCCAAAAACCAACATTTTCCAACAAAAAACAAACCAACTACCCTCACCCTGTTGGCGGCTACGCGGATACGGAGTGGGAGTGAGTCGGGAGTGCAGTGCAGTGGAGCATGACGCATACCGGTACATAGCCTATGTACCGGTATGCGTTTATATGAGTATAATTTATAGGCCTACCATGGAGCTATAAACACATGGGCCTACAAACAAGTAGCGCTGAGATGGTTTATTGAGGGCAATCAACCGTGACTCCGTAGCCGGCTACGATAGATGGAGTGGCGGGGTTGGCTAGGCCTATTCTGCAATTGTGCCGAAAATTTTCCTGACTCTCCATAGCGGATAGGCCTAGGCCTAGGGCCTACTCCATTTTGTACTCCATAGACTTTGTACACAACCGAAGTAGGCCTAGCCCTAGCCTAGCGTCATATTTGCAACATTCTTTCCGTGCTCGTTTCTCAACCTTAGTGGTGCCAGCCGAAGTGTGCCTTTTGCTTATACCATGGAGGTTCTAATTCTACCTCCATGCTTTTACATCGGATTTTCGCCACTAATCTCATGAATCTTGACTTTCTTAACTTTTTCGCGCGATTCGAGAATCCGCGGCCATCTTGAAAATAGCGCCACCATGTGTTGTGACCATTGATCTCCATATACACAGACTGTGTATATGGAGATCAATGGTTGTGACTTACTAGTACTAAAGTAGTAGAGGATCAGGAGAACCCCGAACCTCGTCTCCAGGGTGTCGAGCAGTACGCGCCCACCACTACCTGCTCTCTCACCCTGGTATTGATCATTTGCATACTGTGCAAGATTTTTGAACACGTATGCAAATGAGGAGTAGTCTGGTGCCTGCATGTGCGTTACATTAGCGTTTGTTTGTGCATGAAACGGAGTCTGAGTGTAACTGACGGGAGTTGAAAATTTACCAAACAGATGGGAATAAAAGAGTGATGAATGACTCAGTCTTAACCATTGATCTCCATATACACAGACTGGATAGGACATCGCGTACGAACGTGCGTCCGCGCGCGCGTTTTTTGAAAAGGGTAAAGAACACAAACTCGCATTCGAGTTGTGTACACTTTCGAACGGAGGATTAAAAAATGAAGTTGGGTTTACTTCGGTTTCTTTGTCATTTTTGAAAGAATAAAAGAAACAGAGATCTCAATTGATCAAAATCGACGAGGAGTATAGTCAAGGTGTGCGCAGCATTAGATTGCTGGAGTCGGGAAGTAAGGAGCGTTGAAGAATAGGACAATTATTCGCAAGTAAGTTGTTTTTTAACGAGGCCTATACAACATGGCATGGAGGAATATGAACGTGGGAATGACAAAGCAAATTATGATGTCGAAATGTTGCCGCTCTGAGTTTGGGGGGATGGAGGCCTGTGTGGTAGCTAGCGAGATATTCTGTTCAAATTCCATGCGATCTATAGGCCTGTCATGCTGGTCGGCATCATCATTTTTTAAAGACCTAGGCCTAGGTCTTTAAAAGAAAAAAAAATAAACTGCCTAAACGTGCATGACTGACCCGGCAATGGCATCAATGAACAAAAGTTGACTTGTTTAAAATAGTTTATTCAAATAACTTTTATAATTTTTATATACAAAATCTGATTGAATTATGTCTGCCTTGGCTTAACGGCTACCGAAATGTTTCTTTTCTTTTTCTTTATAAAGAGAAACCGAGGAGATGTCTTATGCTAAATTACTGTACACCCGGCCGATTGACCTTCATATCAAACAAACAACTTCAGCAAAGCCATAGCAAAAACCACCATGCAGCTGCAGGACGATATCCGAGACGGACGAAAATGGAGAACTTCACGGAGGGATGGAATCGACTGTATCATCCACTGAATGGAACATGCAATGTGAATCAATTCTTAATCAATTCTTAGGATGTGGAACTGTTAACATTGATTGATTTTGTTTTTGGAAAGAAGCTGTGAATTTCAACGCAAGTATTTTTATGAGCTCCCAAGATGACTGTCACTTTTGACAGTTTGTATGGTGAAGAAAGCAATGAGTACTTTTACGGTTTGAACTTATGTTGTGTACGCCGTTATATAAGATTACTAGCTATAGCCATTAATACACCGTCATATTCGCTCACAAAAACGATTCCCATTACACTTTTTACAAGTAATTATATTTCTTTTCAGAAGTAACGCTAAACATTTAATTATAAACAAGACCGTGCATAGCTTGATATTCCTTGACAAAATTAGAATTTTGGTTTGTGATTCATCTCCTTTCACACAATATCACAAGAGGTGAACGATGTCATTCCTTGATCAATCTAGGGACGGGAAGAAGTTTTTATGATTACTTTGTAAAATTAAGGTTTTTCTTACCTTATACATTCTAATTGGTTTATGTTCGGGTTTTTTAATAAATATATCAATCATTTGAATGAATCTCCATACAATTTCTCGTGTGAGTGTTCAGTTAAAAATTTGATGTCTTTTCAGCATGTTATTGATACAATTATTCATTTCATTGATGGAGTAGTTCAGTGTGCTCTAATGACCGATGTGCCAAAAATGAAATGGCAATTTACTTACAATCATTTTTGGGAAGAGGAGGGGGAAAAAAACAAGGGGAAAGTAAAGGGGGGTTCTTGAATTTCGAAAATGCATAATAAGAAAGTGTATATCAAGAAAGTGTGGAAAAGCTGTATGGAGGGATTGAGGGTAACTCTCCATCGTTCAGTTATTTTTTTTAAAGATTTGTTTTGGAGGAGCGCTTGAACTCCCTTCTGTACGAAAAATTTCACTCGATAATCCATTTTCCAAAGTAAACAAACTGAAAGCACAATGCGCGTTTACCCGTCTGGCAGTAAACGCGCCGCCATTGTTCGGCCGCGCATTCGTGCACAAACACTGCGCGATGTCCTATCCAGTCTGTGTATATGGAGATCAATGGTCTTAACGGCCGTTTCAAACCTTGCAGGGTCGTGGTCATGATGACTTGCAGGTCACAGGTCACGCAAAATCTATCCAATCAGAGCGTTAATTCGTCAGCCCTTCCCAGCGTCCTGTACGAGCGAAATGATCCAATTTCTTCCCAGCGTGAGAGAGCAGCGCAGTGATTTTTCGAGGAGTGATCTGGCCGTACCGTACCCACCTCCTGGGGCCGTTCGCGTAGCTAGTTCATGATCTAGAAGTTATCGCGAGAGGAGCATTTGTATTTGCAGTATTTGACGGCCAATAATTTGTCCATCTCGAGAGGGGGACATTTCTATTATTGCGAGAGGGGTATTAATGTGCTTTCGAGGGATTCCATCTCGAGCGCGAAAGGGTGCACAATCTTGTTAATGCGAGAGGGGTTCTTGTGTTTTTGAGGGGAATCTTATTTGTAGCCCGATCATTAGGCTTTCATACGTGTGCGTTTGAGGGGCAGTTTTGTTTTCATATTAAGGGGGCACATTTTTTTTGTTGGCGTGGGGCAAGCAGTGGTCACGGCACCAGACTCTGACACTTTTTTGGGGGAGGGGGCAATTAAATATTTTTTTTTGTCCATTGTCAATGGTCCGGAAATAAGCCACTAGAGCAACTTAGAGAGGTAGGTTTGTAGGGTATCGAACTGCAGAATGGTGTATAACAAAATGATCAAAGACGTTGGCTGCACACTATCTATACGGCTGTATAAATGCATGTGTGGCGTGTTTTGTCTTAAGCACCATGTTTTAATGCTTTCATTAGCGGCCCTAAATTTTATGAATCTTAACAACAAAGAAAATAAATATAATCAACCGGGGAAAAAGCAATACAAAATACTCACTTTTGAATTAGGTATCGAACGAAAAATCTGTCCACGTTAAATCATGGTAGTGAGGCCTACTTTACAAATTTCGATGATTTTTGTTTTAACAGTATTAACATTCTGGTTCTCCATGGCCCATGGGATCGGGAACCTATAAGTCTACTATAGCCTATAGGCCGGATTTTTAATTTAAAAAAAAGTATACTAGCCTGTTTTCTGTTAAAAAAGTGATTTAAGTTGAAAATTCGTTTGAAGTAAAACCGAATTAGCTGAAAATCTTAAATTAATGTCAAGTAACGAACTACAACTCACCAGTTTACGCATCCTTCGTTGATTGTGTCCCCGACATCAGAATGACATAAGGCCTCTCCGCCATGGACAACACCAACTCCTACAGCTAATCAAAGCCATAAAATGGGAAACAAAATATAATAAAAGAAACCCCGCTGAAGTATAAAGTTTTAAAATGTTGGTGTCATTTTGACGTTGTGCATCTATTTTTCTTCTGAAACCAGGGAGTTGTTTTTCGGGAGGTTGCATTGCTTAAAAACTTTCCTGAGTTGATTTGAAAAACAACGGCCTGATCATCAAGAGTGTGAACCAAGATTTTGTCCTGTTTATGCACTACTATGCTACTATGCCCGCCATTGTATTAACATTATGTCCAACAAAAATAACTTTTGACTTACCGGCCAACATGCACAGAATTACTAGCGTTTTCATCCTTGCTGTGGCGATAAAAGCAGTTTGCCTTGAAACAAAAAAGTGTTGACTCATTATCATTGACAAATCCCAACGAGATGGAACAAAACAATACTGTGCGGAATGGGTACGGTATGCAATTAAATGATTATGCGAATTGTGAATACCTTATATGGATAATACAATTTTGTGTTTGTGTGGAAATTAACCAGTGCGTGTACATGTAACCATGTGGGCGCTTTCATAATGCCTGAAATGACATTCATAAAGTAACCACATGTATTTCGAAAGTTGTCCTTGTGTGTGGTCATTTCCCTCACATTTTGTGCATTTTTGTGGGTTTCCGGTAAACAAAGCATAATAATGCACATATTTATTTGATGTTCATATAAATTTCTTCAGAAAATCCCTCAAAGTTGTGTTCCCCGTGCTCTTCAACAAAACCATTTTGTTTTTTTCTTATTTAATGTTCCACTATGTTTTACATCCAACCTTAACCTTTTTTTAGGGACGCCGCACCTGCAAAACGGCTTTAACTCTGATCACAAACAGTTCCGCCTAGCAAGCAGACTGGCTCCCGGTCTATTCATTATCGACACTTATTGTGGGGCCGGGCGGGAACCAGCCTACCCCGCGAGAACGGAATTACTCTCGTGCTGCTAGTAATTTGACATTATTATTTAATGCATCGTTTGTTTTGCCAGAAAATAATGACTTCTTTTTTATAACAAGAATCTATTTTTAGGGTGAAATTTGAAAACTGGTAATGTAAAGTGACCAACTGGTCCGAAGCACCAAACTTGCTTGTCAGGTAGATTCGTATAGTCCTAGAGAAGATACATGCATTTAGAAGGGGTGACAGCTGAAATTGTTTTAGGAAGGTTGCCTCATTTGCATTTATTGTAAATAGGCGCCATGAAAAATATGATGGTTTATATAAAAAGAATTATTTTTTGAAATGTTTTTTTTCTTCGGGGATTCTACTTGCCTATCCTTACTTAAAAACCGTTTTCTAAGGCATACAAGTGACTGAATCATTTTGAGGACCTAATGAAAGATCCAAAATGGCTACAATTTTACCCTGAAGTTTCGCACACTTACCTTTCCTCCAGAAATCATCAGAATAGTCTTGCTAAACCTCAGTATTGATGAGCTTCAAAATATCAAAGTTGCATATACAGTAAATCATGTGAACAATGATAACTTGATATTTAGCCCAGAAAACAAAAAGAGGGGCAAACCGTTTCCGTAAATTGGGCTAAAAAAATTGCGAGGCAAAGAGCTGTCTAATGTGGAAGACCAGAACAAGTTCAAAGAAATCCCCTTAAAATGAGAGATTATGCTTGTTTATAATAATTAGGCCTATGTCCACGTCAAAAGTTCTTTCAAGAAAATTTGGGGGTTTCTTTGAGCTTGTTGAAGACAAATTAACCCCTCTCGTAATGTTAAGCCCAATTTACCTCTTTTTTACCCTTGTTTGTTTTCTGGGAAAAATATCATGATGTTATCATTGTTCACATGATTTTCCATACAGTTTTAACTGTATGGAAAACTGTACGGTTACCTTATTTAAAAATAAGGTAACCGTGCCACTACGGTAACTTTGTGATTGTGAAGCTCATCAATACTGAGGTTTGGCAAGACTATACTTTGATGATATCTGCATGGGAAAAGGTAAATGCGCTTAACTTTAGGGTATAATGGTAGCAATTTTGGATCTTTCATATGTCCTCATAATCATCCAGTCACTTATATGCTTTAGAAAATGTTATTTAAGTGGATATGATAGTAGAATCCAAAAAATATACTTTGCACAAAATACGTTTCATATTAAAGGGCAGCTATTTACGATTTATGCAAATTATGCACCCCATCCCGAGGGAATTTCAGGCGTCACCCTTTCTGAATGTCTTCTTCAGGGCTATACGCATCTATCTACCAAGTTTGGTGCTTTGGACCATGCCAGCAGTCCGATCTTGTCAAAAATTGGATCTAAATTCTAAGCCACTTGACTTTCCCCATTAAGTGCGCAGCCTTATTTAAGTGCAGGGACCATGAGGCATTCTAAGGCACTTGACTGTAAGAGCTTAATTGACGTGGGGAAACATTATTTTGACGACTGGATCCGCATAGATAGGGATCTGGGAACGGCTATTGTTGTTAACAGATCACAGAGGAAAAGACTGTTGAAATCTTTCAAGTCTTAAGCCCAACAAGTCACACATTCACGGTTGGAGCTACGAATATCCACAGTTTACCAATAATCAATCGATCACGATGAACCGTTGAGATTCGTGGAGAAATCGACTTTCTAAGAATGCACTACGGTTTCAGGACGGATAGCCACGACTGCCCTACGACTGGTTACACTACGATTCACTACGAATTGATTTTCTTCATGACGATTCACCACGAAAGTTTGGAGCAGTTTAAAACTTCCGTAGCCCCTCCACGAATACCCAAGGAAGATGACGGATAACCACGGAGGTACTACGGTACTCCCACGGAGTATATTTTACACAACCATTTTATACAACCACTTATCCAGCAATAAAATATCCCTGCACGCTGCACACCAGAACTTACCTAATATGCCGACGTAACAAGAAGTCAACACAAGCCCATCAAATTTAGTTACAAAAAAGTGTCGGAACAATTCATATACGCCTTCTCACTGGTTTAAAAGGCATAAACTTTATACCTACCGCTTCCTCCTCAAATATTATACAGTACTTGGTTCCGCTTTCATCAAGGGATGCTGACAAGTGACGGATACGCTACTGCTGACGTTGAAACCTGAGCGGTGTCTGATGAAAACCCCGAACTTTCCCATGTACTACACACGGGGACTAGTGAACAATAGTGTTGTTGAGTCTTTTGAAAACGCTGACGACTCTTCATTCCAGAGCAATTATTCTCAACAAAAGCGCATAACCTTGAGCGTTGAAGCGAACGCTGGGTTGCGTGCCAATGGCGTGCCGGCTCGTACCACTTCGTGAGTGCAATGTTGACGGTCATGAACACAACGCGTATACCAGGCCCAATTCCAAGGAGCCCTTAAGCAGAAAACCCGTTTGTATGCTTAGCACAAATTCAGCTGAGAAACTGTCACAAAATGGCCGGTTGCAGGGTTTAAGATGACTTAGATTCAGTCGTCTTACCACACACACAGTCTAGTCGTGCGTACGTGTGCCGTCTATGTTTCAAACAAATTCCACGATAATGACTTCAGCATCTTTATGTTTTTAAAAGCCACACAATAAAAAGATATTAACAGGTAAGATATTCGAAACAAGCTGAGGTGAATAGTATTCTCCTTGGGCATCTACCTAAGTTTACTTTCGGATGTGATCGTTCCAGACTTCCGAGATGTTACAAGAATGTTCCGTCGTCATATCCCCCACGTACGTGTTAATGAAATATTGTGTTGAGCGAAAAAAAAACCCCAGGTATTTCGGAATCCGAGAATCTATTTTCGAATTGATACAGTTTGAAGAATACTGGCCATGGGAACAAAACACACTGGATCATGAAAAGCTCGTAACTGTCTCTTCAAAATTGGATTGCTGACAAAATCACTGCAATACTAGTCTGATGAATTTGAAGGAGTTCACAAGTAGGCTTATAATTATTCAGAGAGAGTTGCATTCACGGTCAATAACAATAAGTAAGAAAGTCTATTTGAAAGGGCTCGTGTAATGGATTTGTACTCTCTGAATTCCAAAGAGTGAAAATTCACTCCATTCGAGTGAAGATTCACTCCCACTAGTCGGAAACAAGGGACTTGACGTTTAAAGTGAAATTTCGTCAATCGTAAAGATCGAGTTTTCACTGAGGTGGTGCATTTTTCAGATTATTTCAATCGAAAATGAGAATGATTTTCACTCTAAAACGTCTATTCCCTAATTTCACTCGGGGGAATTTAGAGAGTAAGGTTTCATGCGATGAATTTTATTTGGGAACACATTTGTGCAACATTCTACTCTTCTTAAACATATGAAAACTATTTGACTTTCCTGTTTGGTTAATTTTGTTGAAAAGTGCACTTCTTGCGTTAAAAAAAAGTGTCCCATGATTTTCCCAGACAACAGGTTACTGAGGGCAATCTTGCTCTGATGTTATTTATACGGAAATTCGCATTAACATAAAAAAACAAAAAAAATCACCAAAACACTCCTCAAATGGCACAACGAACATTGAAAATAAGGTAAGATGGGACACAAGTGTGCATTTTCAAGGATTGCATAAACACAATTCATTGTATGGGTCCTATAATGCAATGTTTGAAATGTACCTTTGTGTTCCATTTAGCTTTATTTATAATCTTCATATTGCAATTTTAAGGGCGTTTTTGTGCCCCTTCGGTTTTTATGCTAATGCCAATTTCCACACAATCATGAGTGATGCCATTCAAGACCAGTAACTTCAGTTTCACATCTGCTTGAGCATGGAAAGTCACCAGAAAGTCAGGGCTATGTTGTTATTTTTCCGCTGTCAGTGGTTCATTGTTGTTTCAGCATATGACAGTAAAAGACAATGAGAAAATTGTATGCGCAAAATGTTTCAACAAGCAGAATTTTGGGGGTTACATTTTTGAAGAGAATATAATCTGAAGAGTGTGTTCCTAAAGTGACATCACAGCAACAGCGCCATCGGTTGTTAAGAAAAGCATGAAACGTCTTATGCTCGCACCCACTGTTTGCAGGGCGGTGGATGCGAGCGAAGAAACCTGTTAAATGTTTAAAGAAAAGTCACTTTGCAAAACCTTTCACCAAAAGTTATGTCTCATAGTCAATTACAGAGGAAGGGATATTTGCTAACACAATATGCTCCAGTGTAAAACTTATTTCATGGACCCTCTACACATTGTCGACTCTTACCTGAATAAACTATTCTGAGAGCACATAGCAGTATTGAAAAATAATCAATATATTTCTTATCCAACAATACAATTTTCCTCATATAAATTTCAACAACAAAATACACCAAAAAAAACGTGTATCTGCAACAACCATCGGGCGACCAGTCAGAGTCCGTTTGTGCATCATCACACATGTTTTCTTCTTGGCGTACCAAACTTTTGCATAGAGAAATTGGCAAATTGACACCAACAATTGTGTAGTCGACGAAAAAAAAATTAACATGCTATTTTCAGACTCAATTACGTATACGTCAGTGAGGGCACATAAAATTCTACAGGTGCGCCCTGTTGGAGGCCATGTAGTTCTTCATGGCGACTGACGAAGCACAATTGCTATACAACCGAAACCAAAGTATAGCTAAGTCACACTTGTTTACTGATGCCTCGACCTTGCATTAAAAGTGTTTGGTGCATGCACATATCACTTGTAGAAAAAAAAATATGGGTGTGTTAAAAATAGTTTTGTTATACAGTACAATGATAAGGAAAACACGAAAAGATGCTTTGGTGGCTGTGTTTGCCTGTCAGCAACCGAAAGGTATAACTGCGTTTTCTTGAGGTCCCCCCAAAATATATATAAGTGCAAGTGAATGGTTTACATCCATACCGTTTAAAGGTAGTGTACATCATGTGTAGCTATCCAAACAGTAACTGACGAAATTATTGTTGAAAAGCATACTTGGTTTATAGATAGTGATGGCACTTAACTCCCTGAAAAAAAAAATAATTCTTTCTGGCATTGCGTAGCTGCAATCGGCTAAATTGAGAACGTGTCCCGGACGCTGATTTCGGCCGTAATTCAAAACACGACTCGGCAACTTTTGAATTGAAATAAAAAACCTTGAATGTTGTTTTTCTCGGGAACATACAGCATTCGCTGAGCTTAAACTTCATCACGTTAGTTGTTAAGCACTCTCCTATTTTGATTTTAATTTAAACACTTTTGTTGTTTCACACGAAAAAAATGCACAAATGACAAATGATATACTCTACCTTTAACGTATATGTTGCACGTGACGCAGAAAATCAATTTGTATTACATTCCCCTTGATGCCTTGATGCATTATTATAACCGATGTAAATGGGCCATAGGTCAATATTTCGTTTTCTCCCCTTTCGTTCAATTATATTGTGACGTGAGTGGACTTGGTTTACACAAATACGCCCCAAATTGCAAATATAACTCAAATGCAGCCCGAACCCCCCCCCCCCCCAAAAAAAAAAAACAGGTCATGCATGAAGACGCTTTTGTGGGATCCAAGGCCAGACAAGCTAACATTTGAATCTGTTCCTTGCTCTGTGGTTGAATGCAGGTTGGGAAGGGATTTTTTTTCCCCAAATGGTTCGGTTTCCTATGATCCATAATAATTCCTTGCTCTCGACAACTCAACCCCACTTCCTTCCTCAATTTAGTTTAAAAATGAGAAGCGAAAAACACTCAACAGGATTTGAATAGAAAAAAATGTGATAATATTGTTTTATAAAACCCGGAATATTGTTGGAAAACTTAACGCAATAGTATTGCAAAATAACACGAGATAGTATTGCTAAATACGCTAGCCGAGGATTGACAAAACTTTTGCGTTACTTCACAATACTATTGCTTTATTTCGCAAAATTACTGCATTATTTCGCCAACCTACTGCGTAAATCCGCTATAAATAACGTTAGCGATTTTTTTTTCGCTTTTAAAACCTGGCACGAACCGGCTTTCTTTTATTTATTAAATAATAAATATCGAGAATTGAAAATTTATGTTGCCTTCGCTATCTAAGAACTAGAAGTGCAAGACGAAGTTGACGAGAATGTTGCACTTATTGACGCTGCCCAATTACACAGCACATGCAGCGTGATCTTCGCTTGGGGCGGCGTGGATGGTATCCCAAAGCACGCAGTTATTTCTTGGCACTCGTGCTGTCAAAGGGAGCCCTGCTGATTTGTTTTGGGCCCCTCGAAAGCATTTTGTGTTACTTTTTATTTCGTAGCCGTAATGACGATTTCAGGGACTTTTCCAAAGACAAATAGGACACATCCTGGAGAAACGGAGAGAAAATGACAAAACTTTGTTGGCCCCTGCACATTTGCAATGGGCCGATTTCGCTTTTTGCCTCACGGCCCATTCATGCGCATGCGTGCATGAATTTCAATTTATTAGGAAACGGTCTATATAGACCTTTTTTTGTTTGTAAACATCATTGACGCCATTTTATATGGACTACCGCAAGCGCATAAATTGAAGCCAGGGTTGACCATTATTTTTCCAGAAAACGTCCTCATAACGCCTTCAAAACATAGTCAAAAGGCATGCGTAGAAATTATGTTGTATGTTTGTTGACAATGTTGTATTTCCATCTATCAAATAATATTTGGGTTATCTGTAATAACTCTTCTTCATTTTTGCAGTGAGTTGGACCTTCCATAATTTATGAGAGGAAATTTATAGAAATGCAAGTATACTTTGCTCAATACTCTTCATAAGGCCTTTTTTTGTTTTTTTTTAATGACATTTGAAGACCAAAAAAACAATTATGTTCCAACACGGACCATTTATGGTCCGTGGGTCCAATGACTGCATTAAGTCGAGTTTGCTCCTGACGCGGGTACGCGCACCTTTATCTGCTACATGTAACTACCCTCAACCAAAAAAGAAAGTCCTCCCTCAATACTTTTTTGTCTAACTCAAAAACTACTGTGCACATCTTGCTCAAATTACGACTGATCAGTATAGAAACCACTTAGCAATCCATCCATAGTCTATGTTTGGCCCAAAACAATGATAATGTGTAAAAAATGATGCAATTTATGACACCTGCTACCGAAAAAAAGGGCACTTTTGTATACGTGCAAGGTGAGTGTGAACCACAACTTGCACTTAACAAAAGTGCCACCGCTTTCGGTATCATTTGTCATAAATTTGCATAAATTCGTACACATTATCACTGTTTTGGGCCAAATAAGAGTATGCCTAAATTGCCAAGGAATGTCTGTACTGATAAGTCGTTATTTGAGCGAAAGCCTGCTCAGTACTGAGTTTTTGAGTTAGACAAAAAAGTATTGGAAGGGGGGGGGGGACTTTCTTTTTTGGTTAAGTGTATGTGGCCTCTAAGGTGCAGACATGTAAATTCCTGCGCGCGAGCTTATGAATATTTTGTGATCCCACAGATAATTTTGATGAAGAGGTCCTTGTGGCCTATTTATTGGGACTGATTGTATAAATATCTGTGGAGATCAGGCGTTTGTGACTTGTGGCTTCTAAGTCGGGGGATTTTGTTTTAAAAAAATGCCCAACTTGTAGGTCTATAAAAAAAGAAGATCCGGCTATCTCTGGTAACATTGAACAGAACAGGTCGGCGTATTCTATTAATTTGCAGTGAAAACACATTGCCATCTTTAAGGTGGCGTTTATGTCAGATTTTGCGTTGCATGTTCCTAGACTGAGCAGGATCCTGTACTCTATGATCCCAACCTCGTCCCCAGTGCTTACTTTTTTTCCAACTGCGTTTCCAATAGTGGTGGGCGCGTACTGCTCGACACCCTGGGGACGAGGTTGCTATGATCCGTGCTTGATAATTGAATACAAGTTCCGAAGTTTTTTTGTCAAAATGAAAGCGCCCTCTTGAGTTAAGTTCTGCATTACATCGACAAAAAAAAATGGTGGATCGATTTGAGGATTTGGGGTTGAGATTTGTCTCACAAAAATGCCTTAATTAAATAGCCTAAGCAAAGCTACACTGTATAATGATGACCTTACCATGATACCTGCTAACATGTAGATTGGTGAAGAGTTCAGTTATCAGGAAGATCAAGATGGATCGTCGTCTTCTGGTGCTACATCTGGTAGCTCTTTTTTCACTCGTCGGTAATCGCGTTGCGGGCACGTCGTACGCAGCAGGACAAGGCGCAGCAGACAACGGGCACACAGCGAAGAAAACCCCCATGGACTACAGCCGCTACGCGCAGGATGCACGCGAAATCTCCGGCCACAACGGACTCCGCGGATCCCTGGCCTCGAATACGTGTGAGGGTCAATACGATGTGAAAAACTCCACAATAATTCGCACCAAAGATTCAATTAACAATGGGGCAGATTTCGTAGGCGACATGATTGTGGACGAAGCCGTCGAATGCCGCTGGAGGTGTTGTCAAAAAGAAGGAAAATGTGACACTGCCGTCTTTGTTGAGGATAAATCCAAGGACAAAAATTGCTTCTTGTTCAAATGCTGGGATGAGAAGATTTTAAAATGCCAATTTTCCAGCCACTGGGGATATGTAACTGCCATAATCGGAGGGTTTGTTGACGCACTTCCAACACGTCAAGTTGCAAGTGCAGACGATTCTGGCAGAGATGAAGAATTTATTCACAATGGCGAGGATCTTCAGTCTGAGAATGTTGACAGTAGTGACAAGCTTGAAGGTACGGTAATGTCACTATCAGACATTGTACAAAATCAGCATGGGTAATGAATTCGAATCTTATATTCAACTTCAACTTCAACTTCAAGTCTTTAACTAGCCCGACTGCGTCTGGCCGTACAGTACTATCGCAAGCTCTGTAGTACGAGCTTGCGATAGTACTGTACGGCCAGACGCAGTCGGGCTAGTCTTTAACATAAAAGAACAGTCACGACCTAGCTTGAGTAACTCCAGCTGACATGCTCATTTCATTCACATGTAGCGCTGGAGACATAACCTAGTCGTGAGAGTGTGGTAGCAAGAGACCCTAAAATAATGGCCTCTCAAAAATTGTCAATTTTTCACCCTCTAATATCCCACCCCAGATTTCATTTACATACCTCATACATTCAGCAGTCATTCATGAAGCTCATGATCGACTTGAAACAGACCACAAAAACAAACAAATGTGAAAAATCTTGAAGATTTTGCTGGCTTGTCCGTAAAAAAAATGCCAGTTCCAACGGCTGTCGTCCATTTTGTTTAGTTAATTATGTAAATGTATGCATCACGTACGTGATGACATCGAAAAAAAATCTGCGCGCGCGATGTACATGTATGTGGGTACCACACCGCTTTCAGGCGCTGCAAGTGGGTTCAGTTTTCGTCTGGTGCGTTGTCTCGGAAAGCAAGACAACGAGAATGCTTTCCACTGAGCAGTTTATCAACCAAAGATAGGCCCTATCACAAATATTTCCTTCTACATTCAATCTTGTACAATTCAAACCAAAAGTAAAAAAGAAACCTTTCACAATGACTTGTTTCTTTCTAGTTCATTGTACATGTAGTTTGTAGTCCACACTAAATTCTAAATTCACCAACTACATGTACAAATGTACAAATTGTTCTACTCATGCATGCATCCGTGCCAGGTGGTGCCAAGGATTGCCACATTGCCCCTCTATGATGGCGGCTATAAGGCTATACATACGTACCATGGTACAACCCCCCCCCCCCCCCCCCCTTTTTGTTTTTTGTTTTTAAGCAGGCTTGAAATACCCCTTAATTCTATCATGTTTTTTTTCTTCTTTTTTCTTTTTCAGGGGACAGAGATGATGTCACTCAGTGTAGACGCGGTCAGATTCAGTGTGCCAGTGGTGAATGTATTGTTGCCCGCTATGTGTGCAATGGTATAGATGACTGCGCAGATGGCTCAGATGAGATGGGATGCAAGTATGGTGAGATGACAGGGGTTAAAGGTCGTTCTGATGATAAATAAAACCATTAACATGGATTCATGTACTCATGTACACCACAGTATCTGATTCCCAGTTTGCTGCTGTGTGGGAAGTGATCCAATGAAGTGTACATCACTACATGGGTTCAGTTCCTGGCCCGTAACGATTATTCGGTTATTTTATTGACCAGAATGTTTATCACTTGCGTCCTTTTTTTAGCTTGATAAAATTTGAAAACCACCATGTTTAACTTTAAGAGAAGATGTTTTTTTGAAGGAACAAGAGCTAGCATCAAAATAAACTCATAAGCCAAACACCTAAAAAAAGAAAAATGCTCAAAACTACATGTACCTCAAACGGGATTGCTAATAACACAAAGACAATTGATCCGAAAAGGGTCAATAGCTTGAGCTTGAAGCATCTGTTGAAATGAAAGCTGTCTTTTCTGCTATGTAAGAGTTAGTCACTGATTCAAGCATGTATTTCAGATCTGACCATGTTGAGAATGAACATCTGATGTACTACTCCTCTTCTGTGTGCTCTTATTTCTTTCTATTCAAGCATAATTCTAACACATACTGTATCTTCCCTTTTTATTCACTTCCTTTGGCTTTCATTTTCTCAGACACAAATACTCCCTCCTCACACTCCTCCCATGCCACTAACCTTCCTCAGATAGGTCCCACAGCTCCAAACATCCAAAGTGACGAGAAATTGCAGCTCCCACAGAAGCTGGATCTGAGTGAAGTAAGGAGCGAACTGGCTAGCGAGCTGCATGGGCAGAGTATGCAAGAGAAGATGGAATCTGGGGATCAGAATAATAAGGATGGGGGTTTGAAAATGGGGCAGGACGAGAGTAAGATTAATGCTCAGGGTGATGTCAGTCAAGGAGATGCTAAGAGTGGTCCACAGGATGGGATGCACAACTCCGATGTTGGCAATCAGTTGACGAGCAGCAAAGCAAAACCAGAAGCATCTCGTTCTGATGCACAGGGTTCACAGGAGGACACTGGTGGACACTCTGATGTGGCTGCTGACGGACTGTTTGAAGGTCCAACTGGTTTACGCCCACTTCAGCCGAGCGGTCCAAAAGATGAAGATGGGTCCAATCAGGCCAACGCTGAGGAGAGGAAGTTGGAGGAAATCCCTGACAAAGATGCAGGGGAGAAACAAGGGCAGATGGGTGAGCAGATGGAGCAGCTAGGAGGTCCTGATAAGCCTCTACTATCCCGTCCAACCAACCCTCACACCGGTCAAGATAAACAGGACCAAGCGCCAAAGACTAGTTACCAACCCAGCAACGATAACCAGCCTGGTAGGTATGACGCTGATTCCTCAGAGATTCTCGACCAACCTCAGAGAGGTCTAGAAAATCGTTACCAGCCTCTCCAACCAGACCATGCAGTTAAAAGCCCCGGGGATAACTCTCAGCGAAACCGCAATCCCTCCAGACCCGATATCGGCAACAGCCCTGGATTCGCAGATCGCTTCAATCCAAACTACTACCGCAACGACGATGGAAAAGACAACGTGTACTCGTATGACAACTATGGCATTTACAATAAGCCATACGCCAACCCACCAGATTACAACTACCCCAACGACATGTTCAAGGAGCTGACCAATCCTGGCCAGAACTATCAAGATGGTCTGTATGATGACGCTCCCCTGTACACTGATCTTCAGGAGACTGGGTACGATCCTGATCGAATCAACTACCATCAACGTGACCGGTTCAACAGTAAATACGATCGCCAGGGAAGTAGGGAACCTTTTCAGAGACCGCATTCTTATGATGGGGTCCAAGACGGTTGGCGGCAGAGAGGAGGAGATAGTGGCATGAGGAATGGAGGAGGAAGAGGGGGTATCCCAAGGGTCAATGGTAGACCTTATCAGGACAGGCCTGGACCTGGTGATGGTACTTCTGATGATGGTCAGTAGAACAGACCTATTATGCTGTTCTTGTGAATGTGAAGCATGAATGGTTTGTGGATGCATGTACATGTATAGTTGATAACTTGATGTGATACATGTAATAAACACAGTGGATATGTTGCATGCCCTATTTGATTTCAGAGCACAGTATACACGTACATGTACAATGTACATGTTTCTGGTTTCCATGTCGTGTCATTTCATTTTTCGTTCCCAGGTAAAGTAATTCAAAATTGTTTGACACATGAATATTAATTAAGGTTCAGAGTGAAATTTTTTAAAGTTCCCCCTCTTTAAATTATGCAGGTTAAAGACTATTCAGGTGAATCACAACTGTACATAATGTACAATGTACAGGTTTGTAGCCATATGATTTTTCTATCGGAACTTGAGACCATGTACATTTGTACAGAACTTCAAAAGTGCAACATAATTAAACGCGTACGTTGTCCCTAGTCTCAAACACTGTACACGTGTATGTATACATGTATTAAATTGTCTGTACATGTACCCGGTACATACATGTACATGTGCGTGTGAAACATGTAGGGCCTACATACCTGGTACATGACATTTGCACCATACCCCCAATACATTCTTTTTACTGTAGATGCAAATATGATCGATTAGGCCTATGTGTATATTTGAATGAACAAAGACCGCAACCATAAAATAATTTGATTTTTCTAAATATGTTTTATTATAGTTAATTTCATTGTTTTGTTCTTTTGGACATGGCATGTACATGTACAAATTTCATGGCATATAGCTCCATGCTTGTACTGTACAGGTGTACACTACATGTACATGTACATGTACATGTATATGTACAGTTTGTAATTTGTACCATGGACATGATGGAGCTATGGTTGTACTCATACTAGTGCATTTCATAGTACATGTACTTACATTATTTAGTGTACAATATGCTTGATGTCATATCAGCCTCAGGTACAGTAGCATACTACATGCATGACATGTACACAAATGTATAGTATAATGCATGCAGTACGGTACATGTATACATACATGTGCATGTACATGGAACCCTGTTACGCTTGCCCAATGAATTAACCTCATTGACAAATATGATTAATACCTTGCAGCAGCAGTTTGAGCCGTGTATTAGGGACAAGATTATTAACAATGTATGCATAAATATTCAACATTGTTGATGCAGTTCATCAAAAGATTTATTTACAAAATGTACATATTTCATTTAATGTTTTACGTGATAGAAGCATGCATAGTGTTGTTGTACATCTACACATGGATGTACAAATGTATGCAAAAACTGCATACATTTTGTACATGGGGTTTGTAATTTTGTGCAGGTTCCTGGCAGTAGAGCTTGGCAGGGCTGTCCCGATTATACAGTGTAGTCAAATATTTGATTATCAACCAAATATTTGAATAGCATTTTGCCTGTTTGAATATTCGTAAAAAAAAATTAAAAAAATACACTGTACGCACATTGTACACATGATGTGCATGACTGTGATGTTATTTTATTGTCAAGTTGCAGAGCTATATTATCAGGTGCCACGTTTTTTAAACTGTAACTTTTTTGTCAACGGCGATGCATTGTTTACATCCTTTTAGCAGGTTAAAGCCCTTTTGCAGTTAAAACTTACTTAAAAAAAATTCCCCATGTCGATCGCCGCATGGAAATTTGAATACTCTTTGAGTCTTTGTGCAACTTTTTGCCGGCGCAGCACACATGCAGTTGCAGCTAGCAGTTTCGAATATCCGAATGTTCGGTCCAACGCAGTTTTGAGTACTTAATCAAATACTAAATTATTCAAGAATTGACACCTCTAGAGCTTGGTCATTGAATTTTTGTGACATTGTTGTGAATTTGTACTTGTTTATACAGAACTATTGTATGTACATGTGTTGTACCACATGTACATGTACATGCATGCATGTAATTGTTTGTGTCAGTATTTCTTGTGTAGGACAAAGAAAAGTATTGAAATAACAAATTTACTAGTATACAGTAGTTCTCGTGAGTGATGTAATATTTTTGTGCTACATTTTGCCTTTGTGTCATTGTGTTCTATAGACCATGTGCCGAGTTTTGTGACCTGTGACGTCATGCGTTCAGGCAGCTGCCGGGCGATCCAAAAATTAAAGAATCTTTTGCATGTTGTTTGGCCCGATTTAAACAATACCGGTAAATTATGCCAACACTCCTAAGCCCGGTTCATACTTCACGCGAAAGCAAGCGCGAAGCGAAATTCATGTCGTCAACAATGATGGATGCGCTTCGAACGTATTGTTGACGTCACGAATTTCGCTTCGCTTTCGCTTTCGCGTGAAGTATGAACCGGGCTTTAGACCATTCATATTGTACATGCAGTGCAGAAGAGAACCGTTTGCTGAAAGATGGCATCACGTGGCCACAACGTCCAATTTGTAAACAAATGTCACATGGTCTATCATGTCTATATGCTGCTTTCCACAGGCAATTGGAAACACTGGGACGAGTACAACCATCGCGGTGACACCTATCTGCCAGGCTCCCAAGATGGGTACGATGACAATGACAGAGGTGATGATGACACAGTGGGCTACAGACCCGATGACACCAATGAGGAGGGAGACGTACGCGAAGACACAGGAGCAGATGGAAAAGCAGATGGCTTAGTGGAGCATGGAAGCAATACCAATGATGACAAGGACAGCGAAACTGGTGGAGGCGAGGAGGAAAATGAAGTAGCGACTGAATCTAAAGGTATTTGAACTGCAAAGTTGGGTGCTAATTTATAACTCTAATGGAGGTGCTTTTTGGGTGTGGCATCCAATAAAACAAAATTCAGTTGATTTACTAACTTACGCATGAGACTAGCACAATCCATCATACATCAGTAAATTTCGTATTTTGAGCTTGCTGCTCTTTTTAATGTTAACGTCAGTACAGCTTTTCGCAAAACACTCGCAGCAAACCCTGGGCTAAGGTCACATGAAGGTCTAGGGTTTGTTCTCCTGGGGCAATGCCCGAGACTTCAGATTCAAATTCACATTTCAGCTGTCTTATTTGAACAGATCCTGTCATTTCTTCAAATGACTGTTTTGATAATAAATTCCATTAATTGGAGTTTGTGAAAGGCTCTCAAAGTACCATTGAGCTGATGCAGTGTACCGGTACATGTATTTAATCGTGTGCCAATGTATGCATTGTATTGCTAAGATTCGTGTCTCTGCCCAGTCCTGGTTTGGGTAATGAGTTCATTGAACTTGTGACGTGAACAGTGACACTTACTCAGGGTGTACACATGAACGTACATATCATGTACATTCAGTAGGCTATTCTTCCACAGTTGGTTCAGTATAACTTTTCACATACACGACATAGGTCATGCAAGGTACATGTGTAATGTACATGCAATCTTTGACTAGTAAGGCCAAAAAAAAAAAGTCTCCGGTTTCTGGTATGGAGCTTGTCCAAAAAGTGGTGCGGCGAAGCGGCTTTTTTTTTTTTTTACCCGACTTTTTTGCTTCAAATTTGCTTCAAATGTCGGCTGATGACTGCAAATGGTGCCCGACTAAACTTAGTGCAAATATATGGGAGTCCAGAGAGGCCACATAAAGTTGAAATTGCGCAGCAGCAGAATTCCAGTCAAACCAGTGAGTTTGGCGGTTTTGAGACATCATCTTTCATTGAAAAAAAAAGTTTTTCATTTTTCCGACGCGCATGGCTACGGCGACGCGCGCGCATACCAGAAACCGGAGACTTTTTTTTTTTGGCCTAATGCAGAAGGGGTCATTTTGCACTTTCTACTGTAGCATTCATTTCACTTGGCACAAGTAAATGTGTATGTAAATTAAAAAAATACTAAGTGCATTTTTCATGTTGCAAGGGGAAAGTACCACAGCTTTTTCAAAATTTGCAAATTAAGTGATATACAAAGAAACCAGCTAGCAGCACAAGAACCACAGACGCTCTTTACAATGCACTGTCCGTCTTTCGGGAAAAAAAATATCCCCTACCAGGCAGTACGATCGAGACATTGACAGCGCACGGGTGTTCTGCTGCGCAGGATTAGCACCGAGCATTTTCACCGCGATGATGAACACCACTCCAAATTGAATGGGTTCACTTATTGACAAGTTGTTAACAAAAGTGCTCGTCGTAAATGAATTGATAACAATGACTGTACTTGCATGCAACGGGCCCAAAAAGCACTCATCTTAACCAAATTTGGTATTACCAACGCTCATATTAAATTAAGCAATTGTTTCCCCATAAAGAACGAGCACTTTTAGGTTGGGACTGGCGATATTCTGTACATTGTATGCTCACCTTAACCGGAATAATGTCCTAGCTGAACTCGTGTTAACGAGAGTCGACTGTAAATGTATACATTGTACAGCATGTAAAAAGTACATGTATTTTGTTGTCACTTAGTTCATTATTGCCCGTCTTCCAACATTTTATTTTTCTTCCAAACACATTTGAGCTCTGTTGCCTCTCACATTGTGCCCACTTGGAACAGTATTCCCACGGAATTAACACAAACCATTTTCATGGTTGTATGCATAATCATTGCGATGAGGAATCATTGAAAGTCCAGTGACTTCACTATCTGGCCACAATCAAGTGTTTTCCATTCAAAATTCTATGGAAAACAGAATAATAACCACCTGAGTTCAAGTTAAACCACCTGGAATGCATGAAAACCCTCAGGACTTTTGCCACATGTTTTACCCATAGACCATGTAGACTGCAGACATGGTTGATATGATAGAATTATAGACGTGTACTGAAGCACACACGCTGCCCAAGTTTGTAGTAATCCTTTGACGAGTTTTGTGCTTAAATCCTTTCATACAAGTAACCCTGTTCACCAGCAGGCCAAACTACCCAGGACGCATTTTGTGTATTTAAAGGGAATGTACATCATTGGGTTTTGCTGTAATTTTCAAAAATGAATTATTTGAGGGGTTAGTATAATAGATCAAATATTGTTACACTGACATGTTTGTAGTTTGTGTTCGAAAATGCTGGAAAAATCAAGAAAAACAAAAATGTTCAAGTAGTCTGGTTCCCTGACTCCACTAAAGATGAACTGTATCAATTAAAAGATGCCGGAAAATTGTAAGGTGAGGGAACCAGTCTAGTTGGCCTGCACCCGTTCATGAACATAATAACCAATAGCAAACAAAATGTCGTCTGAAAAAATGTTAAATTTGGCGCAGTAGTTAAAAAATAGTTAGGTTTTTCCAACGGTGGTCGGCCGACCACCGTTGGAAATGTATACAATAATACCACTTTTCTTGAAAATGACTTCACACCAGGTGCCCAAATTTACAGGATGCTTTAGACTGTCATTTACCAACATCCTAGTACGGTATTTCGTGAAAACTGGGTAGTTATATTTTTCGATGTTTGCAAATGTTGTATATTCCCTTTAACATGGGGCATGCAGTTGGATCTACTGCATTGCCATGCTCCACTGCATTCTACTGGGAACATGCACATATTGTACCGGCACACCTGTGACCTTCAGAAAACTGAAACTAATAAACATGATAAAGCTCTATATTGCACAGTAATTAGTGCCTTTCAAATCCCTTCACCTGAGCTTAAAAAAGTTGTACAGGATGAAAATGGATCCATTGAGAATGCAGCTAGCTCTGTAGACATAAAGGAGGCTACTTTATACTTAGTGGGTTACTGTTATGTTTGATCAAGTATTCCTCTTGGGAATGGATTATGAGAAATCTCTGTAAAACACCCGACTATTGTGGATCACTTCTGTGAACCATGGATTCCTCCATGTGTGAACCCAGGTACATACCGGTACATGTACTAGCACATGATATACATTGTATTTCTGAAGCTGCCCTCAAGGATTAATATCCTGGATTTTTTTGGTTGAGTTCTGTGAGGAATGCATTCCGAAGCCTCATAAAGAAAATCGTTATTCTCAGAGAAAGTTTCAAACATCACTCCTGACCTTGTTGGCAAAATGTTCCATTTGCCAAGTTGGAAAAAGATTCTGACTTTTCCCTGAGACACGCTTACAGTAACAGTTGTTAATATGAACACGTATCAACCTTGCTTAAAATACGCAAGATATCTCAATTCAAATCTTCAAATCACATGAATACATGTAGTAATATGCATGTATTGTAGGCAATTTAAAACGTTCTAAATCGTGATTTAAATCCGTATTTGAAATCAAGTGATTGAAATCAAACCATCAAAGCAAACTCTTTAGTGTCCACTTGTAGGGTGTTTTCAGTGTTGCAAATTAGGACACTTTAGACCTTGTGCGCGAAGACATCGTAATTAGCGTTATTCAATTTTGTGTTCAAAATTAGCATTGTGTATAAATTACAATGATATCTAAAATAATATAAATGTATATTGATGATATCCTACAGAGCCTGTTGATTCTCCAACCCTCCCCTCCGTGTCAACCGTCCAGCCCCAACAGCCCACCGTTCCCGAGTCAGAAATCCCCCACAAGGATGAGGACCAGTCCCCACCGGACATCACCCCCAAGGTGGACAACAACGATCGGCCGGATCACGACAGCGACCACAAGGTGGAACCGTTTGGTAGCCACCCGGCCACAAGTGCCATCCTCCCCTTAGCCGTGGGCCTGATTATCACCTTGCTTCTGCTCATGATGCTGAGCTGCCGACTGAGGTACATGAACCGGAGATTGCGCTATGGACGACTCAAGACCCATGCCCACGATGCGGACTATCTGATCAACGGCATGTACTTGTAGATTACATGCAGACGGGGGTTTGTTAGTACCTTACTCTAGTTATGTGAAAATGGCAGTGTAACAGTGCATAAACTTCAGTGCTTGTTCAGTAGACCCCTTGCATCTGATGTCACATCTGAGGCAGGTCTTAGTTCTTCTGTGATATGCATGAGTAAATAGTTTGTACATGTATTTTCATTGTCACTGAATTAACATAAAAAAAAGTGTTCTCGGTGAGAGCAAACAGTCTATTTGAACAGCTACAAATGTACATGTACGTGATGTTGTGATAAAACTACCTTCAATGCATGTACTCAGGTGAAATTAAACACGAGTTTTTGAACGGGCAACTACTTACATGTATGAATTAGAGTTTTCCAGGGGTCATACATGTGTGAAAGATTGAACTCCTTGTGGGTCCCCTTTGAAATATATTGTGCGAGAATGTTTTAATACGCACAAGTTTGGCTGTACAGTGTTTGATGCTGTCCAAATTGATTTAGTTAAATATAAATGTTCCAGTGTGCAGATACATGATGTCATGACTGCATGCATTTCCAGTTCCCAGTTAAAGTAAGTCCTGCTTCCATTGTCACCATTTTTCGTAGCTTTTCCGCAACTCTGCGGAATAGCTATTGTTTTTATTCTGATTTTTTTTCTTTGCTACGTCTTCTTGTTTCATTCCACACCACTCTTGACATTGAACAGATATCAAATGTGATGAAACTTTGCACAGACTGAGATCCTGTACTGAATTCGTGCATATTACTCTGACGTCATGATGACATCATCGGGATCATGTGACGTCATCGGGATCATGTGACGTCATCTTAAACAGTGCATTTTTCAACAGCCTATATCTAGAGAACTACAAGGCCGATTGGGTTGAAACTTTGTGTGTCCATAGTCAGGCATGTGTAATAGATGCAAATTGAAGTGATGTCATGATGATGTCATGTGAATTCTTATTGATTTTTTTTTTCATCACATCTGCATACATGTCTCAGGAACAAAAGATGCTACATGTACATAGTACATTCAAAAGTCTTTCTGATTTAGGTTGGGTATGTCATAGAACATGCATACACAATTTCGAAAAAAATGTGTGACGTCATCATGACCTCATCAAAAACATGTTTTTTTTTTAACACATACACTGACATAAAAGGAGATGCCCAATCGTTATGAAACGTGGTGGGTAGTTAGATATTTGTAATAGTATTCAAAATCTGAAGTTGTGTAAAGATGTCATCAATCAATTTTTTTTTTAATTTTTAACATTTAATTTTTTCTCTAATTGCAAAATTTGAACTGAAATGCAATCAGACTGGCTTCAAACTAGGCACAGATTAAGACCCAAGCTAAAGTTGGTCCTAAACAAGTGACATCATGATGATGTCATCATGGGTCATGTGATGTCATCAGAAAGGTGTGAACTAAACCTGGATGAGCTATACGAACGCACCCAATGAAAATTGAAATGACGTCATGTAATTTTTCATGGGTTTTTAATTTTGTTTCATCTTATTTGCGTATCTTAGGAACGAAAGGTGCTATATTCTTTTTGTGAAAGGTTTGGCAAGTCAAAGATATATGCCCAAAATTTTGGAAAAATGGCTGACGTCATCGTGACATAATCAAAAACATGAAAAATGCGATTTTTAAAACATATGGAATGTCTGATTGTCTTAAAACATAGTGGGTACGAGATTATGGAATGACACCGTGATGATGTCGACAATTAATTTCTTAATGAATTTTTAATTTTTGTATTTTACCTGCAGAAGAGTCCCATGTTTCAATTTTGATTTTTCTTTACAGTGTTTCGAATGATTTTGAAATGAAAACAAAAAATGAAATCAATTGATAGGCCTGCCTTCCAAAATCAACTATCAATAAACAACTTCACGGAACAGCCAGTTGTATTGTCCACTATGGACAATCAACAAGTTTAGTTTAAATTTAATTTTGTGTCTAAACCAAATTCCTCTGAAGAGTTAAGATACTGTCTTTGGTCTTTTGTAATTATTATGAAATTGTCACCTCAAAACGTCAAAACATCACATTTATAAAAGAGCTTCTTTGAAGCTATTCCAACTGTATTTTGGACATAGCTCCTTGAAAAGTAAATTTTTAAGTTGAATTGTTAACACCTTGTTTTGAACTTTTAATTTTAGTTAATGTCTAAAAATAGTCGGCTAATGCCAACGGCACAAAGAGAAAGATTCAAAGCAGGAAATAATGTGAACGTCTTGTTCCTTTTCCAATGGTATTTACAGCTGTATGTATCAACCTTTGCATGATACACTTTTTTCTAAAGAGTGCAAGGTGTAGTAAATGCAAGTACTGAATGAGCACTTTTCTTCCATAACTTGTTGGCAGGGACAAATTCATAAATTCAGCAGTAAGTACATGTAATTTAAGCCATTTCTTTCACCTGCTTAGGACTGCTTTAAACACACTTGTGTTTGGGTTGATGTTACCTCCTTAGAAATCTGATCTCATGTGGTTGCAAATCCAATTTTTGAAGTACATGTGCATGCTGCTTGTTAATACCCATGCTCCACGTCTCAAAATTTCTCAGACTATGTACATACATGTGTTACTGTTTTGGTGAGTGTTTCTCAACACTTCTCATTTCAGGTTTACTTGTAGACACCAATCATCGAAATATCGGAGTCTGTCATTTCAAAGACTTTGTTGAAATGATAAACGGACTTTTAGTTAGACGAGGAGTTCCGAGGTGGAAAATGTGAGGCAGAATGATTGTTTAGTTCACTGAGTATGATAACTGAATTGCTGTTCCTACATATAATTGAGTTCAGGTCTTAACTCACGCTTTGTGTAAATACACGTGTGCAATTGTAGGCTAGCTTAGGTGGGACCTTTCTCATGCATATGGGTGCTGTACTCAGAAAGCCATTTGTAATGGACTGCCTAGCGTTCGTGCATTTTGTTAATTTTAAATGCAACAATGTACCGTACTTGTATGGTTCGAGTTGATTTCACGAATGAAAAGACAGTACAAAAAACACATGTACATGTATGGTACTTATTAATATAATATAAAAAACTGTATTCATGTGCGCCTATAAGGAAAAAAAGTAGATTGTACAAGACATGGTAGTTTAATGTACACTTGACGTCATTCCTTAAAACTTTCTACCAATTGAGCAACATTCTCTACAAAATAACTTTATTCCAAGTTCTATCTGTAAATTCAGCATTGCCTGTATTCACACAAACTTTATTTTACACATTATTTATTGTTCTTTGTATATATTTGGTACTGATATCCAAGAACATGGGAATGTAAGATAAATATCTTTATATTTGTAATGTTTTGTGTATGAGAAATGATATAGAACATAGGATATATTGTATTTCGTGTTTGTGTTTGTGGTACTATGGTCTAGTTGTGGACATCATCGGTAACTTTATGTGGATTTCAACATTGCGTGATGTGTAATGTGCTCCTATAATACTGTCTTTGTATTCTTAGGTTTTCTGGAATTACCAAAATACAGCAATTCGAAATTGTACATTTTAAATATGCCTTCATAAATACGTACCTGGGTGCACATACATGTGTGTATTGTGAGCCAATGAAATGAAGTTGTCACTAATCAAAATACATGCATCCTCATTGTTTATTACGTGCTGCTATTTAAGATTTAAAATTCTAATAAATCTGACAGTTCACCCGCAAAGTCATCAACATTTCTTGCCACCACATCCATGTGTCTTTTAACTAGATGTTTCTGCAGATACGCTTCACACCCATAGCGGTAAACATTTTCTAAACAACAGTTGGGTCGTTCTATAAATTTAGGTTCCCCCTCCCCCCCCCCTGTCCCTGTTACATCTGACAATACATCTATGATTTTGTAATGCTGATGCACTCCTTAATGCAGTCGTCATCCAAGCGTGATTTTGAATAGTGAGCTATTAGGCGAAGTAAAAAAAAAAACATGTTTAGCGTCCCCGCCCGCTTCCATTTTAGAGGCCGCCTCCTTTTTTTTTTTTTTTTTTTTTTTTTTAAAAGACAAAAATTGATAAATGTTAACGATCTCTGACGAAAGAAATCGTGTTTTTAGACTTTTATACCGTGTATAAAGCTGTGGAAATAGTCAATGAGTCCAAGTGGCGGCCATTTTGAAAAAAGCTGGTAACCATCTTGAAAAATAGCCCGGCCGCGTTGTCTTGAAAAATGTGTCGGGCGGCCATTTTGAAAAAAAAAAGAAAAAAAAAAGGGCCTCCTCCTTCCTTTTTGTCAAAGAGGCAGGACGCTAAACATGTTTTTTTTTTTATTTTGCCTTACCTACCCAACAAATGTCAAAGTACCAACCAAGGTTTATGAAACAGGGACAGGAAAAATGTACAGAAAAACCCAGTTACAAGACCCGCCTGTAGCATACGGCAGTGTACGGTTTTGTTTTGTCAGTACATGTAATATATTATGAACATGTTTTGTAATTATTAGTTAAATAATATAAGTTTTCAGTGTGTTGTACTTTGTTACTAGAATAAATATTAGTTTTGGGCCTTCTGAAGGAAAATGGTGAATGATTGCTAGAGGTAGGAATGCGGTAGGAATGCACCTGACATTTATACGTTTATATTCATCGATCACGGTACATGGAGAAATAAATGCATATACTTGCAATGTAGTAAGGCATGGTGCAGTAATAACGCATGGTTATCTTTTGTTTGTGTGTAACATTTGTTTTGTCATTTTGTATCCAAGTGCTTTAAACAAATTTCCCTTTTCTAAGACACCAATTTTTGTTTTAAGTTTAGGTTCCAGGGGCAGCTCCAGGTTGGGGGTTATGGGGGGGGGGGGGATTGGAGATTAACAGGCGTCTGGTAACTCCACTTCAACATAAGGCCAAAAAAAAAAAAAGTCTCCGGTTTCTGGTATGCGCGCGCGTCGCTGTAGCCATGCGCGTCGGCAAAATGAAAACGTTTTTTTTTTCAATGAAAGATGATGTCTCAAAACCACCAAACTCACTGGTTTGACTGGAATCCTGCTGCTGCACATTTTTAACGTGTTTTTAGATGAGTTATGGTCGAGAATAAGCTTTATGTGGCCTCTCTGGACTCCCAATCCCATATAGGCCTATTTGTACTAAGTTTAGTCGGGCACCATTTGCAGTCATCAGCCGACATTTGAAGCAAAAAAGTCGGGTAAAAAAAAAAAGGCCGCGTCGACGCACCACTTTTTGGGCAAGCTCCATACCAGAAACCGGAGACACTTTTTTGGCCTAAGGCCGACAGGGGTCATTCTATACATTTACGTTCCAAAGAATAAAGTTGAACTAGTCAAGGTTTGCTGTAACACCATGTGTGGAAATCTCTTTTGGGAAGATGTGTGGTTCTCAAAAGGAATTTGTGAAACTTAAATTACAGCCCCCTCCACCAGTCCGGCCATCTCCGGAAGACGATTCATAGCATACTGATCGGAACGTCGAGTTTTACAAGCAACCGGTTCTTTCAGAACCACACATCTTCCCAAAAGAGATTTCCACATGGTGTTACCGCAAACCTTCACTAGTTCTTACAAACACCGTGCAAAGTTTCAAATCTTACTTGGTTTACGGTAGCACCATGTAACAAATCTCTTTGGTGAGTTCGTGAGGTTCTGAAAATAATGGGTTTCCTCCGGTTCTATTTAGAATCTCACCAACTCACACACACAAAAAGAAGACGACATTTGTTACATGGTACAACCATGGACGGCGCGGGCAGGGGGGGGGGGGGGGGGGGGGGGCCCGACTTCCCCTTCCCCCTGGAAAAAAAAAATACAGGAGGCAAACAATAAGACGACATGCGAAGCCATATTGCTGTCAATTTAATGCTTTGCCCCCCACCATAGAAAAAAATCCTGGCGACGCCCATGGATGCAACCGTAGACTTTATCTTTAAGTTATTACTTTCTTCACCATGCAGATTTTCAAATGTTATCAGGTTCTAAGTCTGGTTCCCAGATAAAAATAAATTATGACTATTTCTGATGAATTAAAGGTCAAGCAGCCGCCATGGCACTTGACTAAAACGGGAGATTTCCCTTCCGTTTTTCGTCGACAATTTCGGATATCGCCTGGTTATTTTCGGGTATAAAATAGATTGTATTTACCATAACCTGCCATGCTTATTAAACGATTTAGATAGAGTTGATAATTAATATTCCGCATTTCTTGTATTTAAAGGGAATACACATCATTTGCTTTTGCTGTAATTTTCAGAAATGGATGGGATTGGGGGGTTGGAAATATAAAGCAAATATAGTTACACTGACTTTTTGGAGGTTTGGGGTTCGAAAATGCTATAAAAACCAAGAAAAACGATCATTTTCCTGTAGTCTGGTTCCCTGACTCCATAAAAGAAGAAACAGAGCAGTTTACATACATTGGGGAATTGTAAGGTCAGGGAACCAGTCTAGCTGGCTCGTACCCGTTCATAGGTTTGTAATCGATTGCAAACAAGTGCGATGGTCAATTGGGGCCAGTATTTGAAAAAAAGCCAGTTATTTCCAACGCTGATCGGCCGATCAGCGTTGGAAATTGATACAAAAATACCACTTTTCTTGAAAATGACAGTATACCAGGTGCCATAATTTTACAGGATGCTTTAGACTGTCATTTACCAACATCCTATTAAGGTATTTCGCAAAAACTTGGTAGTTTTATTTTTCGATGTTTGCAAATGTTGTATATTCCCTTTAAACAAATCTTGAAATTCATCGACTACTTTGTGGATCAGTATGCACTCGGATCGTACGAGAGCGAGCTTTAACTTATTTTGAATCTGACGACGGCTGCCTAGGTGTATTCCAAAACTCGGCGTCCTCTCCCGGATTCGCCTGCTATTTGGGTTCCTAACTTAAAGATTCCTTACAGAAATATCAAACTGTATTGTATAACTATGAAGCAATTGTTGTTTTTGTAATTTGATTAGAAACGAAGACGAGCTTTGAAAAAGGGCCATCATGTTTATAGACAATCATGGCGTCAGGGAATTGTCAGACCAGGGAACCAGACTACATTGATTATACTTTGTCTTGGTTGCAGAAAAAAACATGCCACCGTGCGCTCCCCTACCATCGAAGTCAGAAACAATCATGGCTGGGGACTGGGAACCAGTCTAGGGACGATGTAATCAGTTGTCATAATTATGGACAGAGGGCGCAATTTACTGATCATCCAATTTGGTTGCGTTGATTATGAACGTCCTACAGCCATGCCAACACAGATAACTAGAGTCGCGTCCATTAGGAGCAGTCTCTGCAGTCATAGCACTAATTCGCCCTCGTTCAACAAAATCCTTCCAAAAAACCTCCCTTAATAACCACTTTGTCCGTAAACATTGCAACCACCAATATTATCTGATAATGATACGTGTTCTCATGGGCTGGGGATGTGGGCAGGATTATGAACCCCCCCCCCCCATTTTTGTAAGCAAAATTATTGTCATGTTGGCAAAGTCTTGTGTCCTTCAACAAAATATGCCACAACTGAATTATTGTTCTATTGTCCACTTTGAATTGAGAAACCTTTTCCCCTAAGGAAGGTAAGGTAGAAATAGGCCTTATCCTTTTTGTGCTGGGTAGGCTGCGGCCCAGACCCGCTAACTTTTATCGCGTTATTCCATTAGTCTTTGTCGGCCCACAGTGACAGATCTAGGGCGGGGTTTGGGGGGTAACACCCCCCCCCCCCCCGTTATTCAACCGCTAACTGACATGGTCCTTTTAAAATTGGGCCACAAATATTAAATGGAATGCTAATGTTCCGAAATGTATTTTCAAATTGCCTTAGAATGCAAATGATGAGAAAGCTGTGGTCTGAGGATCAGACATTTTGTGGGATCAGATATTTTGCAGAGACACGGTCGAACGTCGAATGTATCCTATAGGCCTATGCGCATTTTGCCCACTCTTTTGTTTAATTAGTGTGTTCGGTTTTATGTTTTTATTTTTTCCCCTTTGCTCTTTTATCTTCTGTTCTCAATTCATTCATAAATATTTATTAAATCATTCTAAAAAATAAATAAATAAGTACTTGACTTGAACAGGGTAAAGCACGCATCTTTAACAACTGCGCCATTAAATCATCTAGAGATTAGAGCTGATTTTCCTGAATGCCGTAAGTAAACCTAGTTTAGGAAAATTCCTTTGTTCTGTGTCACTGAAGGAGGCAAGACGAACTTGGCCTAGAGAAGAAGGCATGTCACTGGGACGCAAACTCCTCCGCGAATCTGAGTCCTGACATCCCAAAGGCCATATGCACCCGAGACCTTGTCTGCTCGTCGTGTCAACATTGCTTCGCCTACGTGTCATTGGTGGCTAAATATAGCTCCGGCAGGGGAGTATACCATACCACGCATTGGTTGCATTCAGTTCACTTGCTTGCGTGCCGTGGATTGGGTCACACTCAACCTTTTGATTTCTGTGTACATCCCCCATCAATTAAACTGGGACGTCGGCTGGCTTTGGAGGCAAAACTACCATCAACAGATAGGAGAGCATCCAGGCACTACATTGTGTTCACAAAGTAGAAGACTATTACGGTGGCTCTTATACGCACCAGTTCGAGATGGTGTTCACGACGTCATCTTGACATGACTTAAGAACGACTCCGCTCCGTCTACCAAGATGGTTGTATCTGTATTTCTTTACCCTGTACTGTACGGCTTGGAGTTGTTCCTCGCCTCTGCATTGATCACACAGATCGCGGTGTCTCTGGCCGCCGCGGTCGTCTCCACTGTGACAATTTACTTCTGCAGGCAGCAACTGGTCCACTGGCACCAGGAGAGAGTACTAAAGAAGCGAAGGAGATGGCAGAGTGATGTGAGTATCAAGACATCGAAGAAACAGCGGCGTGGAGACAACTCGGATTCCTCCGAGGGCGAATTGAGTGACCCTTCCTTGCTGCGCAGGTTACGGGCGGGTCTGCGGAGCAGGTCCCACGAGCACATCAAAACAAGAGCCAGTCGTGACAGTGGAGAGAAGAGGATCCCAAAGTCGCCCTCTCGGCCGTCGGAAGAGGCCAAAAAGGACACCCAGGACTCTGGAAGAGTCCGCCCCAAACTGACCAAGCCGGTAGGGGCGATGCACCGGTCTCACTGGGTTGCCAAACCGCAGCAAAGCCAGCCGACCGTCCGACGAAGGAGCTCAGAAAGTGATGCGGAACTGAGGGCAGGCAGTTCTTCACCAACAGCAATAGCAGCAGGAACAGTACCAGAGCGTCTCGTGCAAGAAGAGCCCAGCATCTCTGTTTCCACCCAAGTCATGGTGGGTCAGACTGAAGGAATGACGCTCAAGAGGTCTCGAGCCACAGCCAAGATGACCCTAAAGAAGCACCCGCGGTTCTCTTCATCCGATTCTTCCTCTTCAGTATCGCCGGCTTCATCATCTGAATCTGATGACCTCGTACATGGTAAGTCAGAATTACTGTAGCTAACCTTTATTGTTAGCCTTTGTAGCGTCTGCGTTATAATTAATTTTGTTTCAGCCACCATCTCTTGTTTGTGCCGGATTAAATCCCCTGATCCCGTAATCACTCATATAAGTTATCTAGACAAACTAGATTGAGCCCCCCCCAAAAAAAACCCTTAAACTTTCAAGATATACTGATTCGATCAGCAAAATACATTTCAAAGAAAAGAACAATCAGTGGTTTAACTGAGTTCAATAATTTGCAGGGGATGGGCTATGGGGTTATACCCCCTGAAATCATACGCCACTGGTAAAAATGGTTTCGAAGCCATTGCAAATTAACCATTATCGCAGAATCACAGAATGATCATATTTACCGATATAATTTTGACATATGACAGTCACCTTGAAATAGGAACTATTCATATACTGTGATTTAAAGGGAATACACATCATTTGCTTTTGCTGTAATTTTCAGAAATGGATGGAATTGGGAGGTTGGAAATATATAGCAAATATAGTTACACAGACTTTTTTGAGGTTTTGGGTTCGAAAATGCTATAAAAACCAAGAAAAACGATCATTTTCCTGTAGTCTGATTCCCTGACTCCATATAAGAAGAAACAGAGCAGTTTACATACATTGGGAAATTGTAAGGTCAGGGAACCAGTCTAGCTGGGTCGTACCCGTTCATAGGTTTGTAATCGATTGCAAACAAGTGCGATGGTCAATTGGGGCCAGTATTTAAAAAAAAAGCCAGTTGTTTCCAACACTGATCGGCCGATCAGCTTTGGAAATAGATACAAAAATACCACTTTTCTTGAAAAAGAAAGTAAACCAGGTGCCATGATTTTACAGGATGCTTTATACTGTCATTCACTAACAGTCCAGCAAGGTATTTCAAAATGATTTGGTAGTTTTATTTTTTAGATTTGCAAATGTTGTATTTTCCCTTTAAGAAAGAAAGCCGTGCGGCCTTCAATAATTATTGTTGTAATTTCTACACAATATGCGTGCTACCTGTGGTTTTTTGTGTCATTGCATAAACTGAATTACATGAAAGGATGAATATACATTCCAAGCAGGCAGGTGTCAAATAAGTATTTGTTTTCTGTCAGGTATTAATTTAATTGCGACATCGGGTCGTTGTGTTCTATATTGACAACAATGCAAGGAATATGATCAGGTTTTTTCCATGTGTACTTTGAAAAAATAGACATGATTCGGAGAGTCACAAAGAAATAATAATAAGTAGGATTTCCGAAGTAGTGAAAACTATTTCTGTTAAAAATAAGAAATAAAATGTACTTCCGTTATTAACTTTATTTATTAGGTTTTTTTCTTCTTCAAATTTTCCCAAACATAACGTGCGTTTTAAAACACGAGATTACTATCCGATTAGCTTATTAATATCATATGAATAAAAAAAAATATGAGTAAATAAATTGATCTTTAAAAAGCAACTGGTTGATGGCAGGAGGCGAACTTCGTTTCTGTTAATAAATTGCTTCAAATGTTTTGTGTGCGCGAAATCCTCTCGTGCCTTTCTAGCAAAGTGTGCCTGGTAATTTATGGGGCTGCATGGGCTACGCAGTTGTATAATCACCGCCCTGGGTGAGGTTAGCGTAAACATCCCTTGCCGCACCGCGGGCATCTCGACCAAAAGCCTTACAGGGGGTTCCCAAGCGCGGCAATGCTGCAGCTACGTCAATTTGTAACCGATCTCCCCGTCTGGATGTGGCACACACGCTGGGGGGTTAGCGCGGTGTCACTTCGGGCAGCCGGTGATGGCTGATGGCATCCACGCCAACCAGTCAGGCTAATGAAGTATTTGCGGTAGGACACGCGCGGCCCATTTTGACGCGTGCCGTACTGTTACTCGGTCGCGTGGGCCCTGGATGTGAAGATAAACGAATTTACTTGTACAGTTCTTGGAAGATCATGGTGCTGAACATTATCAGAACCAGATTCTATAGTAAGAAGCTAGTTCGTCCTTAGCCTATAACAGTCTGCAGTATTTAAAGTCCATATTAATTAATTATATATACCTTGTGCATTGCAAATTAGTTCAAAGTCAGTTGAATTCTCCTTTCGTTTTACTTATAAAAACAACTTATCGCTTTTGACCAGCTAAGCTCAGTCTTGTGGAACCGGGTTCCATTAAACCTGATATTGATTCAGGGTCAAAATGACACTTTTCTGGGTCAAAATGAAACTTTTGCTAAAATTCCGGGTTTAAATGACCCGGAAAATGATCAAGAGAAGTGTCATTTTGACACTGAAATATATCAGGTCAATTTATAGAACCGAATTCTGGGAGAAATCTGATCCGGGACATCGACAGTGTTGTGCCCATATACAGTGCGTCAGGAATTCCATATTGCACTCGAAAAGTATCGCCTTTTAGGCCAACCAGCAGGCTGTAGTGTACCTGCCCAAGAACCAAGGGCTGGACCAGACCTGGGCAATAACTGAGGTTGAATCACCCGTCTCTTGCAAACTTTGTTCATAAAAGTAGCGACGGTAAAAACAAATATAGGAATCGGTCTATTCCTGGTCAGTGCAGGGAAATGCAAATGAAGTTAGCACAATCACATTGGCGTAGTGGCGCTTTGTTACAACTGATAATGTAGTAACCAGCGGATAATGTATCACCAACCGATAATTTCACACGAATTGACCGATATTGTAGCACTATCCGATAATGTAACAAATATTGACCGATAGTGTAGTAAATGTTACTACACTATCGGTCATTATTTGCTACATTATCGGTTCAGACCGATAGTGTAACAACAATCGACTGATAGTGTAGTACATTTTACTACACTGTCGGTAATTTTTTTGTCACATTATCGGTTAGTGATACAGTATCGGTCAATTTGTGTGACATTATCGGTTGGTGATACATTATCCGCTGGTTACTACATTATCAGTTGTAACACGCTTTCCCAAATCCTCTTGCCCATGTTGCAATCTTATAATACCTAACGCTTCTTGTGGATTGGATTTACAGCTTTAAGTTTTTTGTGTGTGGCCTGAAAAACGGAACTTGAAACGGAACAATTCTCAGTTTTCTGCGCAGGCAACTTTCTTTAGGCTATTGTTCATGAATTATTATTAACACATTTTTTTTTGAAGAATCTGTTACCTTCAAACTAGATTTAATGTTGTGAATAAGTTTATTTCGCTTTTAAAACTGTGTCAGAAGGCACTTTTAATCTGTTTCCTGGTAGAATGTCAAACAAAAGTAGCCTGACTGTTAAAGTAAAGGTTGTAGATCGGAAAAATTATAAAATCGTCAGTCATGTTTGTTAAAATAATTTGTGAGATGTGCACATCTTTGTCGTATATAACCGAAGCTATTGTCAGATCTGTTTATGTTTCAATGTTTTCCACAAACAATCGACAATCTGTTATCATACTGCTTGATATTACACAGTGTGTAAGTACCTCTGCGAAGCTGCAGACAGTTCGATTTCCTTCAAACATAATTATCTGTTCCCTCAATAACCTCTAAAATAATTGCTTTAAATGCCTTTTAAACACGTATAGATGGCCAGTCTAAGACAAACATTTAAATTGCATACAAAATGCACTCTAGCACAACGTCCATTGAACATTTAAGTCACCATTATATACAGCGGTAAAGCCTTTGTTTGGATAACAGATGAGCAAACAGATTCCATCACTAAATGATTGGCAAATTTAAGGTTAATCGCCTTCATTTGTTTTCGAAGTAGGCCAATACGATCCATGCATTATTCGTTGAAAAGCTCGGTCATTGATCGCATTCAAAGCACGCAGTGTCACCACGCACCAGTGACACTGCGATAATAGTTTACTATTACCTCCGCCAAGGAGGTTATGCTTTCATCAGAGTTGGTTACGGTTTGTTGGTTTGTTGGTTTGTCTGTTTCAAAGATAACTCAAATAGTTATGGACGGATTTGCATGACATTTTTTTTAGGGGTGGTCCTTATACAAGTACGAATCGATTAGATTTTGAAAGTGATCCCGATCTGGGTCTGGATCCGGTGTTTTTTTTAAAGGATTCTTTTGAGTGTACTGACAACATGGCGAGGAATTGTTTAGCCTTGGCGAAGGTTTGCGGCTCTCGGAGTACTTTCTATTTTTTTTTAAAGTATACTTTAGAGGGATTGAGACTTTTAAAGTACATTGCTATCACAAAAACGGGTGAGTTATGACAATGATTTTAACTATCTATCTTGCCCCTCTCTACTTATGATACCCGCACAGTTCAGCGATGCTTGATTCTCAGTATGCACAGAAAAAAACGAAAGTGCACATGAGACGCGCACACAGAGCCGGCGATCAAACCATATCAAAAACAGCTCCGAAGGAAGATGATGTTATCAGACTACAGCTGTTGTATCATTTTACTCGTGACGTGTTGAAGCCAGATGCACGCGTGACGTCTGCGTTGATCTTTCTGCAGGTGATCGCCCGTTAATTTTGGTGGCCTTGCTCTTTCCAGCAAATATAATCAGAAGTTTCGTATATCGGACGACACACAGGTACATGCCGCAAAAAAAAACCCTTGTCGTCTTAGAAACTGGGGCAAGGAGGCTGCGTATGCAGGTCCCTCAGGTTGGCGCAACAATTTGTTTGGTTTCTTTGAAATTCTTGACCCTCGCATTCGCGTCATTGACGTTATTTCAGCCCTTGGAATTCTGTACTCTGACGAGAAGTACCTCTCAAACAACCAGTGCAGTCATAGAGAAACGTCCTTGATATTCCTCTCAATTGTACTTCTTAAATGTCTACATTGGAAGCGATTCACGTGGGAGAAGGCAGCATGACTTTAACATTAATGGCTGCTGAGTAAATACAAAACTATTCCAATTATTCTTCTTTGGCTTGCGCGATTTACTGATAATATATATTGGAATGTTATATTAATTCCTTTTCTTAAAAAAACTCTCATAGTTTCATCTAGGAGGTATTTTCTCAAACGCCACTGACCAATAATAATGAAGCA